AGAAGAACGTCAGGGTGTTTGCTCTTTCTTGGTCATGTATTCTCAGCAACCTCAGACTGGTTTTGCGTGGTTGAGCTGAACCTACCTCCACTGTTTTCAGCCGCATGATATTATTGATACAGATGATACAAATGATACAGGTGAGATGACGTTCCTGTTGGTCTCCGCCCAAGACAAGTGATAGTGGCGTTGGTGGCTCGCTGTCGAGCTCTTCCACTGACGAGGCAATGTCATGCTGAGAGCTTGGCCAACGCACCTCTTGGGTCCCGAGATTCTCTTGATGTACGAAGTATTACCAATGGGCCGTACCTTGGTACCCTTTGCGAGAACCGAAAGGGCAATTATTCCTCCATGCAGTGGAGTGTGTGTACCTCGGTAGGTGTGGATTGAGATACGCTACACTACATCCATCAAGGATGTATACCATGATTGAGGGCCTCTGAGTGGACAACTCGGCTTGCAGTTGCTGTTCGCTTTTCTCCGCATCCTCATTCCACCCTTCTCTTTCCCCAGCCATTGATCCTTGCGTGTAGTTCTTCCAACTTCTCATTGAAGGCTATCACTATGACTTGACTACTGCCATCTTCTTTCCCATTTTCCCTCTCTTATTACTCTTGTTTCTCTTCTCGGCAGTGTTGTTAATTTACTTTCGACTAGTTTATTCCTCCCTTTCCTCCATCATTCCTTCTCTCTCGTGTTCTAGTGCTTCTTCCGCTGCCCAACACAAAACGATGATTACTTTGGCATCACCTGGTGTCAGGTCAGTGTGCGTCTGTGCGAAGACCTTTTTGACAACCCTCCTCACCTCTCACCACCATTCCCACGGTTGGAGGGAGGAAACAATAATTGCATTGATAATCGCCCTTGCCACGGACCTGTGCTCAGACACTAAAAGACCCAAAAGGCGTCGAGGCAACATGCACTTGAGCACACTTGAGCACACTTGAGCACACTTGAGCGCACGTTAGCACACGTTAGCACCACCCGCCGAGTCTAGTTTTCTGGGTCCATCTCCACCGGGGGCCTATCATCGAGAAAGGAACGGAAAACGCGGGTTGCCCTGTGCATGCTCGCATGTCGGGAAAAAGCTCAGGCCATCCGCGCCAACAACGATCACTGCCTTGAATGGCTAGTGAGTTGCGGAACTGAACTGAGGGCACCTATCCTTGGGCCTGGCTGGCATGGGCATGGACATGGGCGTGGGCGTGGGCGTGGACGAGGTGCGATGAGTTTGGCGATTGATCAATCTTTTCGCAGAGTTGATCTTTGCTGGTCCTTCGCAGCGGCACGAAAGCTCATCCATCTGCATCCGCATCCGCAAGCGCGTCGCTCATAATCTCCCCGCTGGGTACCTCAGTTTGCGTGACCCCCAATCGCAAGTGAAGTGGCTGGGCTGGCGAGCTGCTGTCTGTGGTAGACCGTCGATTTTGGCGTATCTAATAAGGCCAGACGCTCTTTATTATTAAACGAGCGCCCATATGATACTGGCCGCCCGCTATTCCATAAATAACCCCTCGAGAAAAGGGAGGGCAGGCAATGAAAATGCGACAGGCCTCGCTGCAGGAGAGCACGGGGTTGTGTTTGCGCCACGGAAATCAATATCGGGGTTAATCTCTTGCCACCACTTCAGCTACTTCGTAGCTGTTGGCTGACAGGGCAGAAGGCCAGCTAAGCCAGCCTGACTTGTCCTGCGAGAGCATCGCATCTATGGATGATAATAATAATACTCTGTATCCGCGACGGCGGAAGAACCCGAAATTCTGGGAGGCTAAAAAACATGCCTGGGTAATAGTGTTTTGCCTCGCCCCAAGATTCAATCTGCCGAAGCATCCACGGATCCATCCCATCTCTTGGATTACATCCATGTATCCAATGGCCTTGCCAACGAACCGGATGTATCCTTATTTCCTCCCCTTCCCATCATGGCGAAAACAAAAGAATTTGGGTACGCAAAGGGCGAGGTGAGTGGTAAAGCGGACATCAACCTCGTAAGACGGAACCATCAGACGACAACCCACATACATGCTCCGCACTTCGACGAACCTGCTGTTTGTCAAATCTTGAGAGGACCCGTTGGCCTGCTTGGATCGCATGCAAGTGCAGTGGTGGCCACCCACGGTGGGAAAATGCTCCACCGGACAGCATGACCAGTCTGAAACAAGAGCCTTCATGTTCCTATCTTCGCAGACACAGGCACCACGGCACAAGGCACACACACATACACACACACACACACACACACACACAGGGCGGGCGGGGGTTGGAGGGTGGAGAGAGATCCCATTAATTGAAAAGGGAGGGCAGCCAATAACGATAAACTGAGGTCGAAACAAGGAGGATGAAACAGATGGGGACGAGGAGGAAGCCCGGTTCAAGGACAGTTTAATCCTCCGCCGTTGCTCCACATCAATCAATCTTGGATTCCGTCTTCGGTGCCACCCACGCTACAGTGGGGCTGCTTCACAAAGGGCAGTCCTGGCCCTTCTTTTCGTGCTTCATCCGTCAATGTCAATACAACGTCGTTGGTATTGTTAGGCGGAGGAGGCCTTCTAAACGAAGAAGCTCCCTCATGATATGTGTCCACTGGGGTGGGGCAAGGCAAGGGCAAGGGGGAGTTGATTTCTTGATCCGTCGTCTCCGGTCTTGGTGGATATGGAATGCTGTGTCGCGTCGCATCAGCGATGGACCTTTGAAGGCGAGGAAGAATCAACAAACGACGGTTGTTTGGGAGGGGCTCAATGTTGAGAGGAGTGGCATTGGCAGCATTTTCCCAGAAATAGAGTTCCATACATGCAACATTGAACACTTTTTACGCCCGTCCACAAGTGGAATATCGAGTATTAATACCGCGGCAAAAAACAAGGGACATGTCTTCGGGGAGTGACCTCTCCTCATGAACCAAAATTAGCGTCAAGGTCAGCCTTTCCTCTGGGCGAGGCGTTCCCGGGTGGTTATCTGCGCATCACGCACCAAATACTAACAAAACATGGCTCGACGGGTCGGTCATGTCTCTAGCGGCGGTGGTGGGTGGCAAGCACTCAATATGCCAGAGAGTGTTGTGGATATCTGGTGCGAATCATCTGTGAAGATATCTACGGATGTTGCGTGCTGGTTTCCACTAATAACTAGTATTTCGGAAAGCAATACTGATTGTTCCTGTCCCAGGGATTCTTGCCCTTTGTACTTTCTCTCCCTTTCCGCCGCATTTTGGTTTATTTTTGGTTTATAAGAAGAAAAAAAGAAAGAGGAAAAAAAAAGTCTGACCTTCCCTCGTAGTCCATTGAAGAATTCCCCTATTTGTCCCATGTGTCACCATCGAGATAGAGCTAGTCCAGCTTTGAGAATTCCACGAGCGAGGCTAGCGATCCTTGTGGATACCTCACTTTCAGAGTCCGGCTGCCCGTTTTCTTGAAGCTGACGCTGCCTTTTCATTATTACTCTCCTCTGGCTCTTGGCGGGAAAATGGCCATTTGGGAATGTCTCCAAGCTTGCACGTCAACTTGCCTAATCGCCTTGGACCTGCAGTTGGAGGTGTGCTTGGCGTGCGAGGACCATCTAAAGAACTTGGTCAAGAGAGACAGAGAAAGACCAAGCAGGGGAAAAGGGGACTGAATCCTTGAATCCCGTTCATCTCCAGCCTGACGTTCGGCATTCAGCAGAGAGCCGACCTGGGCGTTGTCTCCACAGGCTTGGGAACAGCAAAGCAGCAAAATCCAGCTCTGGAGAAGGAGCAGCTCAATTTGCTGGAGTGGCCTGAAATGGTCACGCTAGCCGGCCCACCACGCCGCCTGGCCACCCACATCAATGATAGTGTCGATTGATGGGCACTCGCGCCAATTCTTGGACTCGGCGGCGAGTTGACATGGTGGAGGAGTTGAGGAGCAAAGTGTGAGTGAGGACTCTCCTGATGTGACGCTGCTCTGGTTCGTGTGGTACCCCGGCAAAGCCCGGTAGGGGTTTCCTGGACCCTCTTGTAATCCCAAAGTCGTTTCTGTAGTGGATCCTGGTATCCACGGAGCAAACGGCGGGAGGGGACTCGTGGGTTTAAATCGTTTCCTATACCTGGGAAGACCCTTGTCGCTACCGGCCGGGTACACTACGCAGGCACCTCGACGTTCTGCAGCGACCGTCCACCCCTTTCGGTGATGCATCAATTCAATTCCCCCAAGTCCCTCCCCGCCGTCAATTACCCACCTGCCCACCCAGCTTGGGCCCAGCCTCCAAATCGTGCAATGTTCCTGTCTTCCGTCGTCGACCAGCTGGATGTACTGATCCTATCCCCTTCTGCATGGTCGGGCGGGCGCTTTCTCGTTCTTGCGCTAATGGGTATTATTTTGTCGACTACCTACGCCGACCTTGTCGTCTCTCCTTTTCATTGACCCTTTCCCTCGAACTTCTCTCCTCCCCTTTCAAGGCACTTCGTCGACTCTCTTTTGTCGCGCCTTGCTTTGCTTTGCTTGCTTGCTTTTCGAATTCCGCAAGGAAAACAGCTGGCAGCCCAGTCCAACAATTGCGACTTGCAGAGGTATGTGCGTGTCTGTCTGTCTTCACTTCATGTCTCTCGCTCTCCTTGGTCTTATGTCGCCTTCCCACCTTGGCCTCCGCTGCCCGCCTCTTCAAACTCGACGCCGGCCGGATTAAGCCGAGAAGAAGGGAAGGGGAATCGCTTCGCTCTCGCCGTCTTTGTTCGCATCCCGCCAGACCGCAGCCGCGTCTGAATCGTCTTGTGCTCTGAAACTTTAAGATGGTTTCTTCCCGGCCCCTGACAACCCACTTTCCCTGCCGTTGAAGGTCGCGGATGTGATCGACCGACTCTGCCGTGTTGTAGTCAAAATTGGCCTACACGGATGGGTCTTTGGGCCATTGCGAATCTCTCACCTCTCAATTAGTTGTATTCAAGCACCGAATAACCAGTGGGAGTGGGTGTGAAGCCCTTTCTCTTCGTTGGACCGGTGCATGAATTGAGTGCACGACCGAGTGGATCGATCACACACAAGACCATGACTGCCACGCGCTTCCACGTTTTTCGTTTCAAATCTCTCCCGGTCTCTGAATACTGATTAATCTTGTTGCAGTTCTGCGATTTGCCCTTTCTTTTACTTGGCCTCTGTGCGACACTTTGAATCAGTCGTATTTGTCTGACAGGTTCTCTCGCCTTCCGGCTGTCTTTCTCCCCATTTCTTGTTCCTTTCTCCCTCTCGTCGTTGGAGAGTTTAGTTTGAAAGTGCGATCCGGAAATCGATCTAGCCCTTGGAGCTGGGATCACTAACCGCCACCCCGACTCGATCGCTGTTCCCGAGCGCACGCCTCTCCTTTCTTGATCTAGCACGACGTGAACCGACAGGTCGAAAATATAATTTCGCGAATATCGCTTCGAAGACCCCCTCTTGCGGGGTCTAATCTCATCTTTGCCGCGCGAGACGGACAGGATGAGTTCCCTCTACGACGCAACCATGTCTCGGCCGACGTCCGGCATCGCCACCCCTCCTCGCTCCATGAGGTCGAGAACCCATAGCATATCTAGCGACAGGCCCTCGCTATTTGCGCCTAGCCTCATGTCACCCCTCTATCCATATCCCCCGAAGCCGCATTCATCGCCGGCTCCGCCGCCTCGCAAATTGTCACCAATGACCACGACACACATTCCGCAACGTGGTACGATCAGCATGGCATCGAGCCATCCGGTGAGACCGCTCTCGTGACCAACACGGCCTTGCAACTCATCAACAACTTCCTGGATCAACTCCTTTTCAATATTCTTTCCGTCTCCCGCTCTACTTCTCTCGGCTCCTTGAGACCTGCCGTTACTGAGATCCTCAAACCTAAGCTCGCCAAGGATGCGATAAACCAAGCAGATGAGGAGCTGCGTGAGTATCTGGGAGGTGGCGATGAAGATGACCTTTTGCTTCCCCAAGGAGGCGAGTCTGCTCGCGACTGGGACTTGGAACTGGTATGGAAACGGACGAGGTTGAGGTGCATGGTCTACTCTTCGTTAGGTGACCTCGAAGAGGAGGACGAGGATTACTTTATGGAACAGGAAGGCCTAGAAATGGACACCGACGAACAACCGAATGCTACGATATCTCCTGCCGTCGCCATTTTCCTCACCTCCATCCTCGAATATATGGGCGAACAGGCCCTTGTTGTTGCAGGCCAAGGTGCCTGCGGCCGACTTCAAAACCGACTTGAGAAGGAGCTGCGTGACGGTGCGAGGGATCCTAATGAAATAGCGGACCGTGTCGTTGTGGATGACCTCGACATGGATCGTGTCGCCCTGGATCGAACTCTTGGGCGCCTATGGCGTGCCTGGAAGAAGAGGATACGATCGCCTACTTTTGATTCCCGCCCATTCTCTCGTAGCTCAACCAGAAGCCAACACTTCAGGCAGAACAGCCTGGTGCCTTCGGAGCACCCCTGCCGGAGGCGAGGCCGGACGAGGTCGAAGCGGCGGCTGAGGCAGCTGAAGCGGTTGATGTCCCCGCCGAAACGGAGGTTGAGCCTGAGGTTGACATTGAAGTTCTCGCCGCCTCGGTCCCGCTTCCCATTACCGAGCGTGATGTGGATGAGATCGAGGTGCCCGGCCTCGTCGCAGCCTATAGCGACGATGAGGAAGACGATGAGGAGTTTGAGGTCGAGGAAGACTCAATGCCCAAGAGACCTCTAAGCCTGGTGTTGATACCTTACCAGGTGCCGATTGGGCTGGCTGTAGAAGAAAACTTTTACGTCGATGTACCGGTTGCCGAGCCGCTTCACAGGTCCAACTCGAACCCGAATCTGCCATCTGCTTTACTTTGGGCCCGCCGCCGCCGCTACGCCCTCAACCTTGAGCTGGGACCCACCGAGTTTTGGAAGGCGCGGTGGACGCAGATGACGAGTCTGAATCCGATCTAGAAGAGGAAGCTACTATCCTCGTGGACGAGATTGTCCCAGAACAGGAGGAGCCTCTGAGCCCCCGGCTACCGACGCGGAATCCGCTGCTGAAGTGCAAGGTCATGACGATACGGCCGAATTTGAAATTCTTACTTCTTCGAGGGTATCTGTTGGTAGCGCAATGTCGCCGTCACTGTCTGGGTCCGACCAAGACCGCTCGAGGAGCTCTAGCCGCCAAGCAACGAGACCAACCAGCATGTCTTCGCCCAGGCTGATTGATGTGTCTGGTCCCAAGAGCCCTGTGATGCGATCTCCTGAACCTGAGGTCCCGGAGCAGCCACAACCCCTGGTGAGCGCTTATGATGCTCAGCAGGAGAGGCCGCAGGCGGTTGAAACTATCTTCCGCTCGCCCATCGCAAGCCCAGTCTCGAGAGCCGCCGCCGAGCGTGCTAACAGGGCAGGCCGAACTTTTGTAAACCCCGCCATTTCCGAGGCGGAAGAGGACCGGGATGCCCTAGCCATCCCCGCGGAATCGCTCCCAACCCCGAGGTCTGCTGGCCACAGAATGGCTTCCCCGACTCAAGACCAGGCACCAACTGGAACCAAGGTCACGATTATCTCTACTACCAACTCCGACGGCCGATTCGTTCAGCAGCAACACTCGCCCCCGAGGCACCGCGTAAGAACTCGGGCCCCAACCGCGGCTACCATACCCGGGCCGGCTCGGCCTCGAGACAGCAAGTCTCTCCGGCCAGTATCGGGCTGGTATCCGTCGAGCGCTCAGGCCAGAGGGCTGATACAAGCGATTTGCCACCCATCTCCACAAACGTGGCTCCACGTCAGATTCACACCTCTGGCTCTTCAGTCTCTTCTGGCACCAGCCGTTTGAAGCCTGTTCGTACTTCGGAGGAAAGCGGTACCGCCCGCCCCCAAGACGTCGCGCGCAACTTCGAGCAGCTGATCCAGAGCGACGAGACGATCCAGTACACGCTGACCCCCGAGGGCATGCGTGACATGGATGTAAGTGCCAAAAGGACAGCCTATGATCGTTTCTTTAGCTCACACGCTAACCCCTATCGCAGGCCTCCTCTCTCCACAACAGCCCGGTTCTGGCCTCCAAGTCTCGACGGAGCGATGATGTGAAGCGCATCAACGCCAACCGTTCCCGCTCCTCGAGCAATTCGGGCTCCACAAAGAGAGTGGTTGGTTCAACCGTTGAGGTGCACAGACACCCCTCGGTAAGCCGTCAGAATGGCCTCGCATCCCATCCAACCAACGGATCGACAACCAAGCTCTCTGGTCCCGTTCCTCGTTCACCGGCTGTGAATTCGATTAGCTCCCGTGCGTCGCAAGCCCAGGCCCGTGAAGCCAGGGTTCCTCGGGACTCGACCGCCGAGTTTGCGGATTTCATTCGCTCCACCGGGCCCTATGGAGGCGATAACGCGCCGGTCCCTGTTCGACCTGGGGCTGGCTCCGTGTCATCTGCAAAGAATAGCATTGACACTCGTCGCACCTCGACAACGAGCAACCGCCCCCGCCTCATGGCTAGGGAGGCCATAGTAGACAACCGCGAAGACAACTCGGACCTCATTGATTTCATTCGACGGGGCCCGGGTGGTTCGGCAGGAGACCACAGGATCCCTCGTGCCGTTGCGCCTTTCCGAACCACGATGGATTCGGATCAGATGTCGGGCGCTGTAGGTGGCAAAGCCATTGATGCCATGATCCCCGACATTCGCCACAGCCAAGCATCGGCTAGTGTTACGGATATGGCCCCTTCAATGCACTCGTCTATCAACTCCCAAAGTGCGCTTCTGAGGAATAAGCCCTCGTATCAGAACGCGTTTGACGAGGAGGACTCGATGCCCATGCCCAAGCGCAAGACTCGGAGGGTTCGGGATCCGTATGCCATTGACTTGAGCGACGAGGAAGACGACGAGATCTACGGCATGCCCTCAATGGCCAGCGCTCGGTCGGCTCCTCCTGCGAAGGAGGAAAGCCTAGCTGACTTTTGCGAAACTATGAGCCACCTCCAGGCCCCCGCAAGCCATGGCTCCTCCCCCGACCCAAACAAAACCCAAAAGAAGTCGAGCACGAGCAACCTAATCAACAGGTTCACGCGCAGCAGCAACAGCAGCCACAGCAACAAGACCTTTACCAGCACGCCAAACCCCTTGCCTCCTCTACCACGCACCAACAGCTCGCACAGCGCAAACAGTGGAAAGGGCTATATCCCCATCCAAGTCAGTATGCCTCCGGGCTACGACAAGTATGGGCCTATCGACACCTCGGCCGTGCCCAAGCCGGCACCCCCGTCTAGCTCTGGGGCCGGCCGCGTGCCGCGAAAGAAGTTTGAGCCACGCGAGGCCGTCTCTACCCACTCGAGCTCCGGCACGGCGGACCTCGCCGCGTTCCTCCGAGGGTCTGGCCCCCGCTGGCCCTCCAGGTCCTCGATACGGCTCAGGCCGATAGTCGATACCATGTCTTTCCGCTCAGCCTTTCGCTGAGCAAGCGGGGATTGAGAGCGATGGCCCCATTTTGGGTGCAACCGTAACGCCTCCCGTGTTGCGTTTTTTCCCCTTCTCTACATGTCTTATCTTCTGATGCTTTGCAATGTCATGACTTGTCTACCAAGCTTTATCTATCACTCTTCATCGTTGTCTTTCGTGGGTTTGATTTATTCTGTTACAATAGCTTTATTTTTTCATTACAGAAGTGATATCACGCGGCTGGGGTATCGCCGCTATGTCTTCTCACCCCTTCCCTCCATTCTTCTGTTCTTTTTTTTTCTTCTGTTTCTTGGATACCACTTCAACACCCCCAATCTATTGCCGTTGATCTTGTTTGCCTTGTGCACGTACCGTACCAGATTACTTTGATACATAGATGAGATGAACTTTTACCCTTGTTATTTGTTTCCTTCTACTCGTTTGATCTTTTCCTCTCTTTTAAAAAAATAGAGAGGTGCTAGCCTAGGATTGATAAAGTCTGTCCCGGGCTAGCGTTGCTTGAGGGGATCTTGGATCTTGTTTGGCGGTTTTTGCCATACCTAGAAGAACATTTATCGCGGCCCTTCTTCTCTCTTAATACAATTATTATTGATAAATCAGACCTGGTGCATATCATAGTTGACGATAAAAGCAAGACATGTAATTCCTTCCAGGTTAAACTCTTCACCCAAGTCGCCTAGCTCGTCATGACTGTTTTTTTTGGGAGCCGTGGCTTTCGGACCAAACCGCCGCGGGGATACGCACGAAATCTCCATGTATCTTTACGATTCAGCGGCGCTGCACAGAGGGAGGCCAGGACTTGCAAGGATACTGAGCGTCAAGGAGATTAGCAAAGGTTTTGTCAATTGAATATGCTACCTAATGGCGAAAACAAGAGAAACGAAACCAAGCGAGCGCCGTGGGAGTGGACTCTACAGCTCACTCGCCCCGCTAGCCACAAAGGTATGAACGTAGAAGGGTTGACTGAGCCGCACTGACGGGCCATACCGAAGAAAGAAGAAAAAAGGCATGCGTCAAGTCTCAAGCGTGGAGTTTGCCGAATACAGAATCGAAAACTTGGCAGGCTCGCAGGTTATGGTCAGGGCAGACCATCGCCTACCAATCGCCACCGTCCTCTTCAGCATCCATGTTCGAGCCAAATTCCTCAAGTTCCTCAATGGGTTGGGCCTCAGCCTGGGGCTGGGCCTCGCATGCTCGAGCCAGGTGCTCCAAGCTTCCACATTTGTAGCAGCTGCGTTTATTACCGGATCGCTGGGGGCAGTCTCGAGCGAAGTGGCCCACTGCAAAGGGGATAGGTTTGGTTAGCAAAGCTTCCAAGGCACTCTCTATTTCTCTCCTAGGCTAGGCAGAAGAAAAGGAAGTGGAAAAGAAAGGGGAAAAGAAAAGAGGTGACATATACCAGTATTGCAGTTGCGACACTCAATATTGCGAGCAGAGCGTGGCTCCGTACATTCGGCAGCCTTGTGGCCCTCGAGACTACGGTTGAGGCTCATTGTTAGTGATTTGATGGTGGCAGCAAAAATGCTCGGAGGGTGTTGGGACGTGGACTTACCCGCAGTTTCGGCAAGTCATTTTGGAAGCACGGGGAATGGGGCCTAGAGAAGAGTTTCCTTAGTATCAGCTTCAGTGAGGGGAAAGGACTAAGATGGGCAGCACGTACAATCTCGCATACGATGACCGACACCGTCGCAGTTATAGCACTTGATCTCGAGACGGTTTCCAGGCTCTTCAACATGCTCAACTTGGCAATGCTTCCGGACGTGCCCCATCTCCTTACATTTGCTGCATCGAGGAATTCCCGTCTCGACAATGTCTCCGGCGTCCTGGAGACGGTCGAGAAGCTCCTCGCGGTTGGCGGGCCACCCGGCTCTCTCACGGGGGCGGGCAGGCTCGTCGCTAAAGCGCAGGAGACGGTGTACTTCTTGCACAGATTACCTTGAAGGTCCATGTTGGTGTGGGTGGCCGCCAAGGGCCGCTCCATGGCGATGAGATAGAGACTCATTTCCTTGTCAATAAGAGCCTGCTGGAACTCCACGTACGTCATTTCGGGACAAGCCTTGGAGTATTTAGCGAGAGCTTCCTTGACATCGTCAAGATCGCGCTCGGCAATGGCAGACTCGAGCTCGGCCCAGGCCTCATCTGCAGGCATGTCATTGATGTGGCTACGATCCACAGCGCGCGCATTTTCACACTTGGAACGCGTATGGCCTGAGGAAGATTGATGAGCATCCATGTATGCACCTTCCACATTCGCCTCTCAAGGAAGAGTCAGTAGTATCCGCGGGAATTTTCAGCTTACCCATCTGTCCGCAGTTGCGGCAAACAATCGACTCGCGAGCCGGGCAATCCTTGGCCATATGACCCTCTTGGCTGCAATGGAACTGGCGGGGATTGGGACAGTCGACTTTGTTGTGGCTGTAGGATTAAGCCGTGATGAGTGACAAGACCAAGGGGCTTTTCCCGCACCGAGAGACACTTACCCTTCGTCACCACAATTGAAGCAACCACCGCTAGGGCCGCCGACGTCGTTGGTTCCATCGTTGGTTCCGTCACCGGCAGCGTCACTAAGGTTGATGAGAAGCAGGAGTTAGGGTTGAGTCTCGTACTACCCATCGAATGCATGGACTGCCAAGATGACTTACCTGAAGGAATCCGCCATGATGGGCACTGGAAATGGAATGGATGGTTGGAGATGTGGGTTGAAGCTTGAGATTGGGGGATATAGGGTTTAAAATCCCAAAGGTCAAGGGTGTTGTGTTGGGTTGAGAAATGTAAAGGTTAGAATCTCTAAAGAGATGCCCTGATATGGGTAGAGAAAAGAGGGATGATGAATAGGATCAAGGGAAGACTCTGGAACATGATGGTGGCCCTGTATAGGGGCTCTCCACCAGAGAAAGAGAGTGGAGAGGAGAAGGAAGGAGGCAGTGGTGTTGATGATGGAAGGAACAGAGAATGGTGAGGTCTGGCGCTGGCCAGCCCATACTTCTTGGTGATGCGTCTTAGGGAAGAAGGCGAAGGGCTTGGAGAGGGCCTTTATGAATCAGGGTAGAATGATGGAATAAAGGAATCAACCTCTTCAGCATAAGACTACCAAGAGCTATAGAGTTAACATGTCTAAGGATGTTGATAGTTCACAGGATAGGGGTATGGAGTTTGCTGGTAAACTGGATTGATTGAACAGTTGAAGGTCTATACTGAACTAGCCATATTCTCAGCCCATATTCTCAGCCCTAGACTAGACTATAGTGAATGTGCAGACCTTGGGAGTCAAGCTTAGATAGCTAGAGGCTATTTCATTACCTATAGATCTCTGGATTGTGTTGTTCATGGTTAATACAAAGGACATATATGTAAGAAAGGTCGAGCTTGGGCTATCCCCTACTGGAGACCAGCAACTTGATAATGGCATAACAACTGGTCTGGTAGACAAAAGTCCAATATAGCTAGCCTGCATGTATGAATACATCCATGGATCTTCTTATCAGACACTTTTGCATGTCAACATATATACGTATAGGTACCACCTAAAAGGGCAGAGAGCATGACCAGCGCTGTAGCAGTGGCTTGCAAGCTTAGGAGAGAAATCTCAACACCATCTGTCTACCCCTTATCGTTCGATGAGGCCTTTTGCTACTGCTCCCAGACAATGTTGCCTTGGAATGATTTCCACGAACCTCGGAACGAACACGGAGCATGGTCCTAGAGGAGCAAGCACGAAAGGATCCAGCGGTGAAGTCGGGCGCGGGGTCCGTTCCCCAGGCCGAAGTCGGTTCTGAGCCGGCGTGCCGACTCATCGACGTTGGCTTGGCGGGGAACACTCTTTTTTGTTTGCATGCGGAGCACGAAGGAGCCTGGGGAAGAAAGCTTGGATCAATGGATGCACGTGTGGGGAGAGCTCGCCCGCCGAAGGCCAAGACTTTGCCTAATGCGGTACTCGTGCCACGCATCCCCGCCACGAGTATGAATGTGGGGCAGGGGCCAGCTTCGAGATGACGAGCGCATCTTTGCCTGCTGCACAAAAAAAGCAGCGGAAGTGGGGGTAGGAGGGGTTGTTTATTATGTTGTTATGTGTGTCTTCTTACAATCCCGTCTCCTGATTGGAAAATCATTCGAAAGCGCATTGGGCCCTCAATGGTTGATGTTGGTTCGTTGCGCTGTGCTCTTCTCCTCTCTATCGCTATCCCTGCTTCCGTTTCAATTGCTCAGGAATATCAAGAAGAAGATGAAAAAAGGGACGAAGAAGACGAAGAAGAAAGGCCACGCTAGAGTAACCTTGACGGATCTAGGCCCCCTCGACCACTCGCGCCAACGTCGAGCCTAGCTTTCTGTAGGATCGTCATGGTGGGGAGGCGGCCGGACGGCGAGCTTCCGAACGGGCGTCGCCCAATAATGGGGCCCTCGCAACTTTGGGTAGACGCAGGGTGCGTATTAGAAATCCAAAGAGATCTTCTGCTGGAGGAGAGCTCTCTCCGGCCCGGACTAGCACCAGCACCAGACAGACCATGATGAAATGAAACGCCCGTTGCGCTCTGCCGGTCTAGCTTGCTCTTGCCTGCGTCGTCCGCGCTTCAAAAGCGGCCGACTTCCCCCGCCTCCACCGCTTGCTTCCCCTCTCGACTTGGTTGTTTCAATTGAACCACGCAACGACTCAATTACACCTCCTACTCTAGCTCACTTTAGCCCTGCTCGTGAGCTTAACTCTATTCCCGCCCTCGAAACTCGCCCGTGATTCCTTTTATCTTTTCGGCCGACACCCCTCCTTCCCTTCTCTTCCCCGTTTCCGCCGCCACCATGACGAAGCCCGAAGATCTCCCTCCCATGCAGTACCGCTTCCTGGGCCGTACTGGTCTCCAAGTCTCCGTCATTTCTCTGGGCGGTTGGTTGACGTACGGTGGCCATGTTGACAAGGGTTCGTCTGCTTTTCTTCCTTTTCCAATGGGGAGCTGTTTGCAGCATGTCTTGGCCTGTTGTGTCGAGCCGTACCGTGTCCGTGTGGGGGTTGCAATCATATTCGCTGACCAAGCTTCATCTTGTACAGAGGGCACTTTTGCCTGCATGGAGGCTGCCTACAACTGCGGCGTGAACTTCTTCGATACGGCCGAGGCCTACGCTGGGGGAGAATCCGAGGTCGTTATGGGCCAGGCCATCAAGCACTTTGGCTGGAACCGAAACGACCTGGTCATCTCTACAAAGGTACGTCATAGCAGAGGGGCGTCCGCCGTCGTTGCGTTCTAGGTTGCTAAAGCGAAACTCTCGCCGCCAATTGATTGATAGCTCTATTGGGGTGGCAAGTTTGGCAAGAACCCCATCAACAATACCGGCCTGTCGCGGAAGCACATCATCGAGGGCATGAACCAGTCTCTCGCCCGCCTCGACCTCGAATACGTCGACATCGTCTACGCCCACCGCGCCGATCGACGCACCCCGATGGAGGAGACCGTGAGGGCCTTCAACCACCTCATCGATACCGGCAAGGCCTTTTACTGGGGAACTTCGGAATGGAGCGCCGACGAGATCACCTCTGCGTGGAGGGTAGCCGACCGTCTTGGTCTTATCGGCCCCGTCGTTGAACAGCCCCAATACAACATGCTGTACGTCTTTTTTTTTTCCCTTTTCCTTTCTTCGTTCTCTTGTTCATTCCCTTCTTAACCGCCGGCATCAACACCGTGGCCTTTTTCGAAACTGTGCACGACAACCACGTGGAATTATCGCTAACATGTTGAAAAATAACAGTGAACGCCAAAGGTGGAGGGCGAATTCGCCCATCTCTACCGCGAGGTTGGCCTCGGCCTCACCGTCTTCTCCCTCTCAAGCAGGGCATCCTCTCCGGAAAGTACAAGGACGGCATCCCCGACGATTCGCGCTTCGCGCAAAAGACGGTCGATTTCGTCGCCGGCTTCTGGAAGACCACGGGCAAGGAAAAGTGGGACGGCGTCGTCGAGCAGGTGAACAGGCTGGCGCCCATCGCCGAGAAGCTCGGCACCAAGCTCAGCGGCCTCGCCCTGGCCTGGACCATGAAGCACTCCAACCTCAGCTCCGCCATCATGGGTGCCAGCTCCGTCGAGCAGGTCTACGAGAACGTTCGCGCCTTGGAGGTCATTGACAAGTTGACCCCCGAGATCATGGCGGAAATCGACGAGATTCTGCAGAACAAGCCCCCGCGGTCACTCCTAGGTATTAAGGGTTGAAAGGGCACAAGGGCTCCAGGTTATTTTGGCATGGCTCGAGGAAACGGTGGTTTCAATACTCGTGTTATCATGTAATGTGTGTGAAGGAGCAAAAAGGAGGTTGTTCAAGTCACATATAGACGAGGCATTGGTCCTGGTATTCCCCTCCCATTTTCTTTGGAGTCCAAAAAATAAAAATAAAGCACATGTCATTTGTTGCCATGCTATAAATGTCCGTCGCCCCCACATTATCTGTTGTCACACGTACAAGCGGGTTTCCCAAGGGCCGAACTCACTCTCGGCGCCGGGATGGTGTGGTCTGTGGCCCGTGGCTGCCAATTGACCAAATGGAATGGATAGATCCATTCCATTCAATCAATGATTTGTGCATTTACGCTGCCTGGCGCTGTGTGTGCCAATTGCACTTCATTTTGATCGATTTGACCCCGGACTTTAAATGCCCGAGCCTGAGCCTCGGCAACCCCTCTACAAGTGCAACCACACACGCCCCAACGGTGCTCATGTCATCGGCCGAGCACGCTTCAAACCTCTTTGGATCAGAGGATCCGGAAACTCAATTCTTTTTAAAACCTTCGTAGTTATAACCCCAGACCTAGAAAATATTAAAGCGCTTCGCAGTGCGCCCTGTAGACATCGACGACCGAAGACCAGGCAAACGAAAGCCAGCCGAAATAAAAACAAACTATATACAGGGTCCAAGAGCGGCAGCAAAAACACACACCAACCCAACGAGATGACGTCCCTCCCCAACTACAAGTACGGCCACTTCCTGGTCACCTCGCCGTCGCCCTTTGTGGCCCACGTCGAGATCAACCAGCCCCACAAGCTCAACTCCTTCCACCGCGACATGTGGCTCGAGTTTGGCGACATCTTTGCCAAGCTGTCGCACGACCCAGAGGTCCGCGCCGTCGTGCTCTCCGGCAGCGGCGACAGGGCCTTTACGGCCGGACTCGACGTCAAGGCCGCGGCTGGAGAGGGCCCGATTACGGCGAGCGAGGGTGGAAGCGAGGATATCGCGAGAAAGGCTACGAACCTGAGAAGGTACATTTACGAGTTCAGGATTGCATCTCCCAGATGGACAAGTGCGAGAAGCGTACGTGTCTCTCTCTCTCTTTTTTTCTGTCTTTTCTTTTTCTCTTTGCCTTGCCCCGTCGCGCTCTTCTCTACTCCAAAGAGTGTGAATGCTGTTTCGGTGGTGCTTATATAAAGGGGTTTGCGTGCCGCTTGCCTAGGTCGCCCCGGGCTGGTGTTCGCAAAGTGGAAAAGAAAAACAGGTACGAGCGATGCTAACAAACCCCTAGCCGTCATCTGCATCCTGCACGGCGTTTCCCTTGGCTTGGCCATCGACATCGCCGTCTGCGCCGACATCCGTATTGCCGCCGAGGGCACCCAGCTCGCAGTCAAGGAGGTCGACGTCGGCCTCGCCGCCGACATTGGCAGTCTCGCTCGCCTGCCCAAGGTGGTTGGGAACTCGTCGTGGGTCAAGGAGGTGTGCCTCACCGCGCGTACCTTTTCGCCGCAGGAGGCGCTCGCCGTGGGTTTCGTGAGCCAGGTCCACCCTAACAAGCAGGCGGCGGTCGAGGCGGGCCTCAAGATGGCGGCGTCCATTGCGGGCAAGAGCCCCGTTGCGGTGCAGGGCACCAAGGAGATCTTGAACCACGCGAGGGATCATAGTATCGAGGAGAGTAAGTGTCCCATCCTTGTTTCCCGGGCCTCTTCATGGCGTGTTCAAATCCCGACTCGTGCTAACTGATGACGCAGACCTTCGGTATACCGCTGTGTGGAACTCTGCCATGGTGCTATCCGACGATTTCAAGAAGGCCATCTTGGCGGGGTTGACGAAGAAGAAGCCCACATTTGAGAAGCTATAGAAGGAGAGGGGGCGGACCTGGTAAACTTGGCATAGGCACATATATATATAAAGTCCTCAGCTCTCGATGGAGCGACGGGGACACGGATAGGGCATAGCTCGGGCCATGCAAGAAGTAGAAACGCATCGAGAGACAAAAATGCGTCTTTCTGTATTATTGGTTGGGTATCTAATTCGACGTAAATCTTCACATGCGCACGACGCAGAATCATTCTTCTTCCGTTCACTTTTCTTGCTCTTTGGTTCTTATTAAGCTCGGATGTCAGTACAAGTGCCGACAAGGGTGGCTAATTCCACCCAAGTGAAGGAGGGTGTCGGGTGGATGCAGAGCCGCCGAACATCGGGTAGTACCGGGAATGCGGAGGAGGGGGCGGCTCGACTTGTGGGAAGAGCCGATGTCCTCGTTCGGCAGGCGACAATGCATGCACATCGACTTCCTCGCGTCAGGTGCCTTAATCGGACCCGGACCCATCCTGCTGGTCCTGCGTATGCCGAAGTTTCTATAGAAACAGAATAGGAAAGAGGGGCGGGTAAGCGTTAGCCGACCCCGGAAGAACTCGATATATGCGTGTAGAGAGACGAGCGGTGCGCTTGAAACATGAAAGGGGAATAGAAGGGTGGTCTTTGCGCAGGGATTGCGTGCTCTTCTTTATTTTTTTCTCCTTCTTTTTCTTCCTTCTTCTGTTTGCTGGGAGAAGGGGAAGAGTGGTGAGTGGGTCTTACCTCATCGAGCTTCTGCTTCAGTTGAGCGACCATGGTCTCTTTGATGACGCACCTCTGCTCGTCGAGATCCTCGATTATATAGTCATGATTCTCACTGTCGATATTGACAATAATGGATTTGACGGCGGGGTCACACTCGATCAGGACGCCTTGGAGGTGGAGCGAACAGCCGTGGGAGGTTAGTGCCGGCCCAGCGAGGAGGAAGGGGCAAGCAAAACAGGAGGGCGGGGGAGGGGGTGGTCTCTCTGGGGAGGAGGGGGCAAGGGAAGGATCTTGGGCCTACGAACCTCGGATAGCCCTAGGCATTGTGGGTGGATCTATGGATGTGTCGGCGAGAGGCCAGGATGGTGGGAGGGGAAAGGGGGAGGTTCTGTTGTGAATCCCGACGATGGCTTCAAACGTCTTCAAGAGCGGGCGGGTCAAGGGTCCTCGCTTGATTTACGGCACTTCTGCTCTCAAAGAAGAAGACAAGAGCCTGCCAAAAACCCGGAAAGCTGGGACTTGCTTGCCTTGCCTTGCCTTGCTGACTCATTCAAGAGCTATCGCAGACATGTTGAGGGACAGAGAGGGCACTGTGCTGTGCATACTTCGTTCGCTCCAAATAAGATAAAAAGTGCTACACTGTTCAATTGGCTCACCAAAGAATGCAAGCCCCATCACGGCTGGATTGCCTTATTAGACTGGAGAAGCAATGGCCTCGTGGTGGACTTGGGAAAGCAACAAGAGTACGCGATTAACCGCAATCCGGGGGTCAAAGGGCGAGGGGAGGAAGGAAGACTGAGATAGGGATCTTTTCTTTCCATCACCTCAGCTTGATGTAGAAATCGCAGCGCCTTTCTATCAGATTCATCTATTGATGATAGAATCAACCAAAGATGACTTCTTTCCAATCGTCAATCTTATCATAGGCATCGGGTTGATGCATAATATCAAATGCACCTTGAAAATCCGTGGTGTTTACTTTTTCTGGCAACCAGTCACTGTTTCTGATATGAAATGCTTTCCCTATCATGCGGCCACACTTCACTACAAGCGAGATAGACAAGGGGCAAGAAAGGTGGGGGCCAACTCGGAGTGTTGAGATGCGGTTGATCCGCCAAGCGAAGAGAGACTTTGGAACATGCAGCAAAAGGCCGCACCGAAGCTCAAAAGGAAGAGAATAGAGTGGGAAAAAGGGGGAAAAAGAAAGTCTCAATGTCAAGGAAGGGCTTTTACAAATAGAAATTGAGGTGTTTGACAAGTTGGTGCTGACAAGGATATTTCCTGGACAACTTGTTGTTACATGTGGCTGGCTCGAAGGCATATGATCTCTCGATATTCGCCGAGCTTCATCTAAGAGTAGCACAGGGGGTTGGATGAGAAAATGAGAGTGAGAGATTTTAGATGGCCGGTATAGAGCTAGAAAGAGACTCGCCCTGTTTGAGAAGAAATCTGCACATTTATGTTGGGCTGGCCTTCATCTCGCTCGAGTCGAGGACAAGCAGAGGCGTAAAGCGTAAAACGTAAAACACCTGGATCGATCGGCACACAAGCTTCAAAGAACCGCCACCACCGGAAGGGGACTGGGGATGGTGTCGTAAAACCCTCACTACGCCATTGGGCGCGCGTCATTCAACGGTTATGAGGAATTGAAGGGGAGTAAAAACATTGGTGAGTGTTGGTAGGTTCCGTACCTGCCATGACCCACATGATTGTCACGCAGAGCGAAAAGGGCCGTCTGGTTCAAGTTGGGTGGATGCCATCAGCTCCTAGCATGGTCATGAGTGACGGAGTTCCAGATGCTGTGATGGAATTGACGACTTGTCTTCGTAACCGGATCGAGTTCGCAATCGAAGGGAAACAATGAGCAATGCCCACTGTTTCAGCGTAGGCGCAAAGCTCGATCTCCGGCCGCCAGCCTCCATCCGTCATGTTTTCTCCGTCCCGTGGCCCGAGGATAAGATGGATAGTGCCGAAGTAGTTGCCATCCACCAATCTGTTTCTAGGCTGCACTAACAAAAGGTGCTCTGACGATGCCCACACACCTAGAGCTCAGCACCTCAGAAGATTAGCATCGGACAAGGATCAGAGGGTTTACAGGAGGCCTCGACAAGCCCGGGCCTTTGTAACCGCCCCCGGAACACAGTGGTGGGAATCCCGGCTTGTTCCGGCAAGCTATTGAACCCCCACCATCGTTGAAATGGGATTGGGTCTTGTTTTTTTCTTCGTCTTTCTTTTCTTTGGTGGGATGGGCCAAGGTGGGCAAGGTGGGCGAGGTGGGAAAGCGCGAGGACCTGGACGTAAATGGAAGTGCATGGAGGGGTAAAAAAAAAAAAACAGTACGTACATGTACTCAGCCATTGGCTCCATCGGAGAGCGGGTTGTGCTTGTGCTGGTTGTACCTACCGTTGTCCTCACTCTGCGCTTGCTGGAGCCCCTCATCAGCTGTTGCCATCCCCTCCAACTTCCTACAAGTAGGGAAAACCTCTGGTCGTCACACCTCTAACCGTTTCCTACCCTTTCCCACCTTTCTCGTTTTTCTTCTTCTTCCATCTTCCTTCTTCCTCCCTTGTTGGAAAAAATCTAATCCGGAAATCTCCAAAAGAATTCTTCATTCTATCCTGTAAGTCCATGTGATGCTGGAGACTTGCTCCTCCACTTCCTCCACCCCCAGCTCCTCCTGGCCTCGCAGCTTTGCATGCAATTGAACCCCGCAATTGACATTTTCCTACCTAAGCTTCCCTACAACCCTTTTACATACCACGCAAAATGGGTCTCCTCCAGGAATTGAACATCAAGCCCGGTGTCATCTACGGCGATGATGTCCTCAAGGTAAGAAGCGCAACCGTCTACCCCTTCTTCGTGCATTTCGGCACTCGGGGAGCTCCTTGTGAAGCTCCTCTGCTCCTCATGTCCCGTTGGCTAACAATGCTTGTGTTGGGCAGCTGTTCACCTATGCCAGGGCCAAGGGCTTCGCCATCCCCGCCATCAACATCACCTCCAGCTCCACCGTGTTAGTAGACTCGCCGTTATCGGACCTCCCCCTCTTCGCCGTAGCTGCGACGATAAGACTCTGAAGCTGACTTGTCGTTGATGCCTCTCTTTAGCATCGCCGCTCTCGAGGCCGCCAAGGAGAGCCAGGCTCCCATCATCCTCCAGGCTTCGCAAGGTGGTGCTGCCTTCTTTGCTGGCAAGAGCATCGCCAACTCCGCCGACAAGCAGGAGGCTTCCGTTGCTGGTGCCATTGCTGCTGCCCACTTCATCCGCTCCATCGCTCCCGTCTATGGCGTCCCCGTCATCCTCCACACCGACCACTGCGCCAAGAAGCTCCTTCCTTGGCTCGATGGCATGATTGATGAGGGTTAGTACACGCCGCTGTGAAGCTGAAGCCGAGGCAGCTCATCTGCCTTGCCCCCTTGTCCTTTCGCTTTCATAATTTCTTTCTTCCTAACGGGTGTCCGTTGCTAATCGTGTCCCCTTTTGTTTGACTATAGATGAGCGCTTCTTCAAGGAGCACGGCACCCCCTCTTCAGCAGCCACATGATCGACCTTTCCGAGGAGGAGGTTCAGTGGAACATTGACACCACCGCCAAGTAAGTATAACGGGAGGTCCTCCTCGGCGATTTGCGATCGCGCACCTCTCCCATAGATGGACTAACACCCGTGCCAGGTACCTCAAGCGTGTTGCCCCCATGAAGCAGTGGCTCGAGATGGAAATCGGTACGTGATGAAGCTCCCCGGCGCGCTGCAGGCTCCTTCTCCCCTCCCTTCATATGACTAACGTGTTCTGTGCAACAGGCATCACCGGTGGTGAGGAGGACGGTGTTAACAACGAAGATGTTGACAACAACTCTCTCTACACCCAGCCCGAGGATATCTGGAAGGTCCACTCCACCCTTGCCGCCATCTCCCCTACTTCTCCATCGCTGCCGGCTTCGGTAACGTTCACGGTGTCTACAAGCCCGGTAACGTCAAGCTCCACCCCGAGCTGTAAGTTAGCATCCCGTGCCCCGCCAACTTCCCTTTAGCCATGCGCTCTTCTTGTGGAGAAACGGGGTCGAAGAAAATGAAGAAAACCCGAAGGACGCTAACGAAGTAATTGTGTGGTACAGTCTCGGCAAGCACCAGGCCTACGTCAAGGAGCAGCTCGGCAGCAAGGACGACAAGCCCACTTTCTTCGTCTTCCACGGCGGCTCCGGCTCTGCCGTTGAGGAGTTCCAGTCCGCCATCTCTCACGGTGTTGTCAAGGTCAACATCGACACCGACACCCAGTGGGCCTACCTCATCGGTGTCCGTGACTACGTCACCAAGAACATCGACTACCTCAAGACCCAGGTCGGCAACCCCGAGGGAGAGGACAAGCCCAACAAGAAGAAGTACGACCCTCGTGTCTGGGTAAGTAAAAAAAAATTCCATCCTTATGGTTCCTTTTATCTATGTGTACTAGCACAAGGACTTTTACTAATTGGGATTCGTCTTTTCTCTCGTTCTACAGGTCCGCGAAGGTGAGAAGACCATGAAGGATCGCGTCAAGGAAGCCCTCAACAACTTCTTCGCTGTCAATGTTTTGTAAACGGTTTAATGGGAAGCATGCATTTGGAGAAACGGCTACGGAAGGGTTATACGGATCGGTCGCATGAAGAACAGGTACAGCGGCTTGCGGGGCTATAAAGCTCACGGGTGGAAGGCTGCGCGACATCAGCAGGTGTCTCGAAGATAGAAAATACCACCAAAAACAATTTTTTTCCCCCAAGAAGACAAGAAGAGGCAGGCAGTCCCCTACATGATTTTACGCGACTCCATCTGAGATGGTTTGTGTACCAACGGAGCTCCCCGCGCCCTGCCGACGATAGGGTAAGCTTGTCGGTGGCGTGGTGGGGGTTGTTGGCATCACGTTGGTCAGCTCGACATCTAGGATCCATGGGCAGCTGGTCGAGCTGGTCGAGCTGGCTAAGCCAATCTCGCTCCGGCGATCCCACATTCATGAGCCGCTTAGCGTTTGAGCATTTGCGGCCAACTTGACTCTTCTTCGCCCCCATGACTACACAGCTCGTGGGCAGACATATCGCAGGCAGGTGGCGGCGAGCAAAAGTTTAATGCCGCACGCGGAGGGCCGTCTCCTAGGCTAGCTGCTTGTGGCTGAACTAGGGAAACTTTGATCGGCCATCCGCCGGCCCAAACGCCCGTGGCTGGGCCCCGAAGGTCCCGAAACGCACTAGAGTGTTGCGGATGGGAAGATTTCTAGCATTTAGTGTTTGTTTTTCTCCTTCACGCGGTAGGCAGGCGGTAGGCAGGCGGTGGGCAAGAGCGGATGTGGGGAGGGAGATGGAGGTGGAGGAGGGGTGTCATGTCAAGGAATTTGTTAGCAGTAATTTCCCGGACAAAGTGGCTCCGAGAGGACGTTAGTTTGGCAAGGCGAAGGATGACGTGGACGGGCAGAAGAACAGCATGTAAGCTAGTAGCTACGGTTGTTGGGGGTGTTGATGGAGTCCGCTGGAAAGAGGGACGAAAGGCAGCACTGGGGGAACAAGAGATTGCGGAGAAGAGGCGGTGGTGATGATGGAAGTGCTAGTGAGGAAGGATCATAGGCCAAGGTTGAAAGGAAAAGGGAAAAAGGAATGAACAAGTCCGTTGAAGTTGGCCATTCCGCACTAATAAAACCCAAGTGCATCCCGACACGGGCACGGAATCTGAGGGCCGGGTTGGGGTTGCAGCGAATGCAAAGTACGACGCCAGCTCGCTCCTCCACGCCGGCTGGGTTTCATACTTCTCCGAGGGGAAGAAAGCGAGCGAGAGGGAGGCGAATGAGAGGAGAGGGTCTTGTCCTGGAGCAAAAAGAGCAAAGGTGCGCTTTCGTGCCGTGCTGAATAGGATTGGGCAATCAATGTATTATGGGCGAGCCGCCAATTCAGCTTTTCTTGTTTCCGCGTATATTTCTCTCTTGGGGTGGAGTGTTGGAGATGTTGGTGTGTACCTCCCCTCCCTATAGCTATACGGGGGCCACCAGTTGAGAAACGCACCTCTTTGTCACCCGGTCAGTCTCGTGAAAGCACGCATATGCACCCTGGGCTCGTCTTGTCAATTTGTCCATGTTCTCCAAGCTTGGAATCCTATCCCGCCGTCAATTGAACGGACTGGCTGGCCTTGAGACCTAAGACATCGATCCCTTGTTTAACTCACTCGAGGGGTTAACGAGGAATGAGAGAGCAAGAGGAGGTGCCCGGGAGGACCCTGGAAAGGAGATGGGAGATCTCCAGATCTACCCGATCCCCTCGATCGCCTCGAATTTTCCTCATAAGCCCACTCCCCTCTTTTAGAATGGCTGCTCGATTTTAGTTTGTGCAGTGCCTCGCTAGATAGTCCGGAGTGCGTATGCAGAGACAAGATGGGCTCGGAGGGCTCCGGGCCTATTCATCGATGAATGAGTGTTTTGCATGAAATGGTGGATGGGTAGAATTGATATGAATAGGCGATTGAGCTGGATGGATATGGTATACACCCCTCCTCAAGTGCTGGAAGGCAGCCTACACGAGTTTCCTCGAGCATCTTCCCGGTCCAGTCGCGCACTTCGATCCTGCGTCTCTCTGCACTTCTCAGTTCTTTCGCGGGCTGTTTCGCGGGCGTTCACCAGGCGGCCGTCTCTGTCCTCTTTTCCCAAGGCTGCTATTGTTGTTGTTGATTGAGCAGGCTAGCGCCAATAGATCTATGGATGTCTCCTGCGTCTTTTCTTTTTTTCCTTGTACTGTTGCTCTTTATTTTTCCCTTTCTCTCGGTTGACCTTTCCCGTGCCGCTTGCTCTTTTGTACTCATCGCCTTGGTGGGCCTTTATATTAAGCAAACGCCGATAAAAAGCTGAGAGATAAAGCGAAAGGCGAAAAGGCCACTCCGTCGTTTATATTAAGCCCGCAGTGTTTTTGTGCCCTTTTGGTTATGCTATACGACATGCGAGCCTGCCGCTTCCCGAAATACGCAGACTTAGTTGAGGATGTGAACCCTAGTGCTCTACCTGTCGATAAAAGAGAGTCCTGTTTTGCTCTCGTGCCTTCGTGCTCTCGTGCCCTCTTCTTATCCTATATGTAACCTAACAAAAAAACAAACAAACATCGAGGTTGGAAAGAAGCACTGGTTCTCGAGACCTGTGCTCTCCTATCTCATCTATGCTTAATTGATCTTACATCACTCATCGATGATCGCAACCCGACCCCCTTATCTCCCTTGTCCTGTCCCCCTTGTCCCCCTTGTCCATCAAAGCGAGGTGGGGCTGGCGGCCGAAACGTTTCCACTGTGGAGGAGGTATCAGCACGGGGCAAAGCCAAGTCCGTCCGCCTCAAGCTCGTCTCCTCTTTTCAATCTTGGTCTGGGAAACCCGAAGCCGCTGTTGCATGTGCTCAAAAGAGCTCAACCCACGTAATAGTCTTGGAACCAGTCCCAGCGAGAAAAGGCGTCATTGCGGCACTCCCGCCATTGCATAGCCCATTCAGAAGCCTGACCTGAACCCACGCCAGCCTAGGCTACTTTTACAAGTACACCTCAATAACCGTAGACTCTAAAAGTACACTTCACATATTGATGACAACACCTGCACCTGTGATTTTCCTTGGACCAGCGACAAACGAACCTCGTGCCTTTTGACACACTCAACCTTTCTTTCGCACACGACACCCTTTTCGAGATCTCGACGACGCCCCTAATATTCCCATAGAAAACATTCGATATTACCAAGCGTCTCAATTCATTGTTTTCACCACCTTTCCGAATTCGATTCGCTTTCCGGCCTTTCTCCTGTGTTTAGTGGCCAGCCTCGTATCCCCAACCCCCGTCACAAAGCTACAGCAGTCTGGAGACCGTGATACCCTCTTCTCGCTTCCGTGCTCTCTTTGGTATACGGCGAGGAGGCGACTCCCCAGCGACCAAACGATAGCCGCCCTTTCAACTCGCAACTTGGCTTTCGACGAGTCGCCCTGCCCATCCCTCTCCGATCACGTCCAAATAGCCAACGGCCCCTGCCGGGGGGCGGGAACAGCAAAACGAGACCTTTTCCCTCCCGTTCCAGCGTTCAAAAACCCCCTCGTCCTCCTCAGTTACGATTGAATACTACTACCTCGATCGCCCGGTCGTTTCCACGAATTTCCTGAGCGTCGGCGTCCCACTCCTAGAATAACGAGCGCCGCAAGCGAACCTCGGCCACTTTTTCTTTTTTCTTTTTCCCGTCTTGGCAGCCAACATGGACTCGGAAGAAGACAACACCGACAGCAACAGCGTCTGGGACAACACCCCTACACCTGGATCATCACCCCCTCATCCTCTTCCTCCTCATCGCCATATGCGCCACCATTGTCCAGATCCGCCGCCGCCGAGCCTTCCGCCGCTTCGCCGAAGCCCACCTCCGCCGCCCAGACAACAGTAGCAGACTCGCCCCGACCGCCACCGGCCGCACGAGAACCCTCGCGGTGCCCGGCCAGCCCCGGACGGCGACGGATCTCGAGGCCGGTCCCGATGACCACGTCGTCCCCTCCCGCCCCGGCCGGGCGAGGCGATGGGTCGGCATTAGGATCCCCGCCGAGAGGACCGAGGTAGAAGGCCTGAACGAGTTTGGCGAAGCCCCGCCCCTTACGAACCCGCTGCGAAAAAGGACGACGACGTCGAGCTGCAGAATATGACGAGGCCCGGCGCCGGCGGGGACGACGCGGCGGACGCGAGGAACGGGTCCGTGGCCGAGCCCCCGACTACGGTGCCTTGCAGAGGAACATGGCGCGGACGGCGTACGGACACCACCCCGGCTCGGACTCGATACGCTTAGATTACGGATAGATGGAGCGTTTGGCCCCCGACGATAGATGGAGCGTTTGGCCCCCGACGCCCGTTGCTCGGTGGAGATGAACAGGCTTCCTCTTTCCATGCCGTCAACTGAAACTGCAAAGGCGACCGTGTATCTTTCTGCGCTCTTCTCGGATCTTGCTGGTAGCACAGGGGACGAATTTCTTTTCTTTGTATTTTATCGCTACTACTCTCATGACCTTTTCTTTTATGCCCACTTTATCTTGTCGACTCTTTCTCTCGCTTCTCTCCTAGGCGGGTTTGCCTTTGCTTCCTGTTCGCATGAGATGGATCTCTGGCGTTTTTTTTTCATCCATTCTATTTATCCTTTCTTTGTCTTTATGCTCGGCCACCGTCCTAGCTCGACGCGACTGACAAGGGGAGGGGAGGAATCCCCAACCATAACGTGGATGGTTGGGATGAGTATGGCCTAGATAGCTTAGCCTCAACTAAATGAATCATTTCATGACCAACCTCGCCCTCGAGCCTATGTAGATGCCCAAGTTCTTGCCACGACCTCTTTCGTCCTTTTTTCTTTTTTTTTCTTTCTTTCTAAAAATCTTTTACCTCTGTATCCATCTCGAAAGGGTTTCATGACCCCACTCTCCTACTCATTCACCTAGACGTTGTGAGGGTTGCCTAAACTCTACAAATGTCAAACAAGGAAAGCGGCCGTGCCGCTAGACCAAAGCATGTTGCTTGAATTCCTTTGACCGTTCTCGGCCTCGACTTACGTGTGTCACCTCCAGGACATTTCGAATCTCGAATACTTTCCTTCCCAGAATCGTCCAATGTGTTCCTATCAAAGAATGGATATACATCATCCACGACCAAGGGTTTCTCCGGGCAAGTGCAGGTTTGTTTTTTGACAAGGGGTTACTCGATTGTCCAGTGCCGATCTCTCAATTGCGAGCTCGAGCCTCTACCGGCTGTTCTTACGAGTGCGTAAGCATCCTATTCGGTTTTATAGGTTGTCCTCAAGGAATGCAGGTTGCGGATTCGGGATCAAAGTGAACGTGACGCCATGTATTAAAGTTGCCATAAAAATGAGAGAGACACTGAATCCGCATGCGGACCCAGACGCGCGTCGAGTATGGACTACTAAAGAGATATCAAAAAGAAAGGGAAACGGAACGGGAAGAAGAACGAACCAACACCAAGCAGTGAGAAAGTGAAGAAAAATAATAATCAACAACTAGCTTTTGGTAGGGGGATCAATGTTCGATAAAATGAAGGGAGAAGGGGTAGAGGGAAGAAAAGACAGAAGAAACAATGGGGTCGTGGGAACGGAACCAAATAAACGCCGTGCCATGTGGTTGTGCTGTGAAGTGCAAATGCGTGTGAGGAGGGAATATAATAAGTGATGCGATTTGTGTAACCAAGAGCCCGACAATAGCACCAGAAGGGGGGTTAGGCCCTCTTTCCATCCATGCCATCTCTTTCCTTCATTTGTTGCGCTCTTTTTTACTCTTCGGTCGATGTGTATATTCTAACAGGGCAAAGAGATGTGGATGTGGATGTGGATATGGATGCGATGCGATGCGATGCACCCAGAAAGGAATCAATAGGTCTTGAACAGGCAAAGGAAAGTGGAATTGAAAACGAGAAAAAGGACGAGATGAAGTAGGGGAAGAAGGAAGGAGAAAAAAGTGTACCGAGGAGGGAGGGGCTGGGTTGATTGGGAGTTGAGGTTGAAGTCCTTTTGGCTTGCCACCAGATTCTGTAATCTAGCTCTTGTCATTCGCCGACTTGTACTTCTCAAGGGCTTCGGCAAGCTCCTTGGCAAGATCCTTTGTTTTCACTTGCACCATCCAAGTCTCCAGACCAGTGCCAGCGTCATTTGATGTGGTCAGCTTGACGTACTTCTCCTCTGCCTTGTACGTGAAGCCAGGCAGTACCGCACGGTTCAAGGCAACCTGGCCCGTCGGCTCGCGTCGCAACAACACTCGGACAGCACCCGTGGTCTTGTGCTTGAGAAGGCGAAGAGGACCGACACCCTTAGTGGACCAAGGACTCTTTGCCTTCTTCTCTTCACCATCACCCTCTCCACTCTCAGGAGTTTCAAATTTCATAATCTTGGCGCGGACATCGTGCACGACAGTCTCATCTTCTTCACCGGGCCCGCCTTCCACTAGGTTGATCTGTTCCTGAGGCGCTTCGGCATCTCCATCCGTGGCTGCACTAGGGGTAGGCTTGGACGCGGCGGCAGCGGCAGCAGGAGCAGTAGTAGAAGTAGTGCTACCGACACCATCCGCATCCGCGGTAGGCTCGGGAGTGCCAGTAGCAGGAGTGGTTGCCAGGCTGGAAGCCCCACCAAAGTTGAAGGGGAATCTGGAGCGAGAAAAGAGTCTCGGGGTTAGCACGGTCAGATTATCACTGAGTGCCGAAACGGAACATACTGGTGCCGGTCGTCGACGTGCCGCCGGGAGGTGCTTGGAGCCCCGAGAACAAGGAACCCGAGGATCCGTTGGCGTTGCTTCCAAACAGGTTTTGCTGCCCGCCTTGGGGTTGCGGCGAGGCGGCCGAGAAACTGAACGATGGAGCAGGCGCTGCTGCCGCATTGGGCTGGGCTCCGCCAAAGCCAGCACCCGGAGGCGCAGGCGACCCCATCCGTGCCCTAGCCTTGCTCGCTGCAAAGTTGGGCCTCTTGATTTGCCGGCCTGACGGCGTCGTCGTCGTGCCGCCGGGAGTGCCACTGAAAGCGAACGGGTTTGCGCTAGCTTGAGGGCCGCCGGCCGCGGGCCGGCCGCGGGCGTGGGTGCGGCGTTGTTGCTACTACCAAACGTAAAGCTGCCGCCTGTCGCGGGTTGGCTTGGCGTTGCTCCGAAGTTGAACATGCCTCCAGCCGACGGTGCCGCAGGTGTGCTATCAGCAGCACCAGCTCCAAAAGTGAAACTGGACGGAGCCGACGCTGATCCTCCACCGGGTGTGAAATTGAAATTGAGACCACCAGTAGCAGGTGCAGAGTTGCCCCCAAAGAGTGATGACGCGCTGCCGTTCGATGCAGCGGGCGTTGCACCAAAGTTAAAGAGGGCGGTGCCCGAGCCGTTGGCGGAGGCAGCAGCCGGGGTAGACCCGAATAGAGATGAGCTGGCTCCAGCCCCAAATGGCTTCTTAACGGGCGAGGGCTGGTCCTCCTGCATGGCATCACCGAACCCTCTCTTGCCAGGGGAGGGTCCGTCTTGCTTCATGGGACTGCCAAAGAGAGCATTCCCCATGGCCGATTTATCGGGCTTGCTTGCCTTGGGAGTTTGGCTTCCGATAGGAGCGGGAGCGGCTGAACTGGTTGTGCTGGCCCCGAACGAGAAAGTTGGGGTGGGTTGAGACGGTTGAGCTTGGGAGCCAAACAAGTTACCGGCCCCGGACGAGGTTCCAAAGAGATTGCCCGAGGCAGGCTTGGCCCCATTGCCAAACAAGCTGCCCGTCTTGGCTGGCTCCGTGGGTGCGGCACCAGCATTGCCAAAGAGCGGCTTTGACGAGTCCGTGCCTGTCTGCCCTGGTGGTGTAGAGGTGGTACCGAAAAGACTGGCTGTCTTTGGTGTTTCGGTAGGCGCAGAGGGTTCGCTAGATTTCGTACCAAACAGAGTGGACGACTGGAAGGAAGCTGCGGGCGTAGGGCCGCTTTGCGCCTGAGCTGCGAACATGTTGGCGCTGGTAGGCTTGTTGCCGAAGAGGTTGACCTGCGGGGCGGCCTCGGCCGGCTTCTGAGCCTCAGCAGCGCCAGGAGCCTCATTTTTGGGCGGCTCCGGGGCTGGGGATTTGAACAAGGACCCCGTAGGCGGCTGAGGAGTTGCACTTGACCTGGTCGACTCAAACGGAGCAGCCAAGGATTTGGTTACAGGGCGGGAGGCATTCTCCTTGTCTGACTCGCCTCCGGACTGATCGGCGTCACCCGCACCTTGCGGCTTTTCATCCGTCGTCTTCGCAGGCTTAGCAGCACCGAAGAGATTTGAAGCTGGTTGGGCAGGTTTAGACCCGAATAGAGAACCGGATGGTGTGCTAGCGGCCCCAAAGAGCGAGGAGCTTTGCGTGGGCTGGGCAGCGAATTTCAAAGGAGTGTCCGGTGTCCATGTTTTGTTCGCGGGAAGAGTGCCCTTTACGCCACCGTTTGTTGTGGCTTGTGGGACTGGCGCGACCTCAGGCGCGACTGCCTCTTCTTCCTTATCATTGACGCGAACAGGCTGTCCATCGGAGCCCTTGGTAACGCGATCAAAGAGGCTGCGGCCGGGTGTCGTCTCCCGGACCTCGGAGGCCGTGCTCGACGCGCCGGTGTCGAATCCGCTCATACTCGACGTCTTCGAAGCGAATGGGTTCGTGGCAGCCTTCGAAGAGGCAGCGGCAGCACCCTTGCCGGCTTCCCGCGCATCTTCCTCGGCTTCGGATTCTGTTTCGCTTTCACCATCAGCGTCAACGCCACTATTCTTCGCCGAGCTTGCATCGGATAGATAGCCAAAGATGTTGCCCGACGCGCCGCCGAGCTTGTTCTTGTCGAGGATGGAGCGGGCAAGATTATTGTCCGTAGATGACGCAACGGGCTTGGTGCTGGTCGACGGGGCCGTGAACGTCGCCGGCTTAGACGCGATTTTCTCGAAGACGGATTTGGTGATGGACGGGGTAAGGGTCTTGGTCGACGATTGATCGTGATTGATGGACGGCTTTCGCTTGTTGCTGTATGATGGCGCCCGCTCAGCATCAGCGTCTCTGTCTGTAGCGCGCCGCTTGTTGCCACCGAGTTCGGTAGCCGCAGCCGCGGTGTGGTCAAGCTCATCGTCAGCCTTGCGCTTGTTTGAAGCCTTGGCAGGTTTGGGCCGGTCGGCGGGCTCTTCATCATGCAGACCGTGCGCGGCTCTCCATTTTCTTAGCACATCGGCAGACGGCCTCACGTTCTTAAACTCGTATAGACCGTAGCGCAGCATGATAAGGCTCCTGCTCTTTTCAAATTCCTTGGCAAAGTTCATGATGTTGAGCTTCCAATCCTTCTTCGAGAATATCTCGTTGGCAGCATGCTTGAGGCGACGAAGGTCGAGGATACAGAAGAACTGGCGTCTTTGGAGATCATTGAAGTCTTTAGGGCAGAGATGGGATAGATACTGGTCAGCGAAGACGGACCCGTGCTGGTCGAGGTCTTTGGGGATGTCTTTGGTCAGAGCGGCGCCCGTTAGTTCGCGCGGAGGCGAGGGAATGACCATCTTGAAAAGCTCGTTGGCTGTGGTTCCAGCCATCGTTCGACGAGGGGTAGCTTTTGTCGTTGAGTCCCGAAAGACTTTCTTCGAGTCGGGGTCGCCGCAGGCGCGAATATCTTCCGACGAGTGGTGGTAGGGATGGAAGGATCAAAGCGTGGGCCGGTGCTCGCCCCGAGGCTCGACGTCTGAAAAATGTTTCTGACATCGCTGAAGTTGCTCTGGTTCACGGTGCTCGAGGAAAAAGAATTTCCATTATAGGTTTTGCGTGAAGATGAGGCGCTCGGTGTGCCAAAGCGCTTATTTCCCACGAGAGGAGACTCGTAGGCGCGGTTCGCGAAGTTCACAGGCCGATGGGCCCGAGGGGTGCCGTTGGCTCCATCCATGATGGAAAATAAATAAATCGAGAATCAACTCGACTTGATTAATAAATATTATGATGGCGCCGCACGACTCGTGATGAGAGTGCGACGATCGCGTCTCGAGAGGCTCGTTCGTCAACTCGGGTGGTTGTTGACTACCTCTAGCAATTGGTGATGATCAGGAGGGGTGCCACCCTCTTCGAGGAGAGGGAATCGGATGGACGAAATGCGCTGGAAATAGGTGCGAGAGAAGAAAACGAGTTAAATTTTTAAAAGAGGGGAAGAAAGCCGAAAAAGGAGAGATGGAGAAGGGAAGGAATGGAATAGGAGATGGATTGATGATGGTGATGAGGTCGCGCATCAACAACGTAGAGGAAGCTATTTTTTTTTCTCTCTGTTGTTGTGCTCGGGGGCAACCGTCCTGGCGTGGTAAAAGACCAGACAAGGGGGAAGGGGTAATATTAAGCGTGTGGGCGCCTGGGCGGAGGAGGTGATCATCTGGTGACGGCACAGCCAAGGTACAAGTCTGGCCTCGGAAAGGCAGGGCGCGATGTTGTGACATAATACTGGCGGCAGTAGTAGTACTCTGCCTGCGGGTGTGCGGCTCTGCATTGTCCAGGCAAATCACGCACAGGCAGCTCGTACAGGTACTTCGCCCATAACAGCTGCATCCAACCAATACCTTTCTCGAGGAGCTGATGAAATTCTTGTCCTCACCTGGTTCGTACAGTGCATATTATGTGCACTATCAGCAACATCAGCCTGTTTTAAAGTGACTTACGCACGGTGCAAAATCCAGGGGATCTGTTGGCCAGTCTGCAATCTTTTCTTCTCGTCCTTCCAATCCCCTAGTGTACATTCACTCTGCGACAAACACAGACCATTCGCGAGGTACCTGCATCCCGTTCCGAAGCCAGGGAGAAGAAAAAAAGATTCGCTCAGCGGCGATGGAGGCGAGTTTGTGTCTACGCGCCTTGCGCAGGCCTATTATTCCTGCGCGTTCCATCTTTATTCTCGCGCCTTCTTCGCTCCCATCACGCGCTCGATTATTCTCGACTCCAGTAACCCCAACTGAGATTGCGACGGAAGATGGCGTCAATCCGCCGAGAACGACGCTGCCGCCTCCGCTAGACCTTCCGGTTCGAAAGCTCAACGATGGGAGATTCAGTCACCTTTTCAAGCTCGGCAAGGCCTACATTGGCTTTTATAAGACAGGATTGAAGAATGTTTTCTTGAACCGCAAGCTTCTCAAGGGCAAAATCGAGGCCCTGCCAGTAACCGACCGCCCTTCAGTGTTCAAGCCCAACCACATCCCCCAAACGTTCTCGCGCGCAGACTGGATCCTGCTATGGAGGGTACGACATGATATGGCGCGCATCCCAGTCTTTGCCCTAGTAGTCCTGATCTTCGAGGAACTCACACCGTTAGTCGCATATGTATTCGAGGGCATCATGCCCTACACTTGCCGGCTACCGCAACACCTCGAGAAGTCAAGGAAGAAGGCAACGGCTCGGCGCCAGTACGCGCTCGAGGAGCTCAAGTGGAAAAATCCAGACGGGGTAACTCAACTCTCTGTGGCACAGTCCCATATCCTGCGCAGTTTGAACCTTGTCAGCTCTCTGTGGGATCGTGTTGGCCTCATGCCACCAGGTCTCTGGCAGCTCAAGGGCAGCTCGCAGCTCTCCTTCTTAGAGGGCGATGATGTGTTGCTTCGAAAGGCTGGTAAGCTTGACGCGCTAGCAGCCGATGAACTGCTTCTAGCATGTACCCAGCGCGGCATAGACCTTGACCCGTCCCTTGTCGGGGCCGACGAACGGAAACAGGAGCATGAGAGAAGGCGGCTTTTGAAAGATGGCTCCGGCTAACCGACGCCCAAGAGTCGACTGAGCGGCGGCAACGCATGGCTGTCCTATTAATGACGATGTAAGTCAAAACCAGCTCCCTGTTCGTGATCGCTTGTGAAGCCCATCCCCAATCCTCATCCCCCAATCTACGATGGTCTATGGCCAATGTCTAATGTGTTATCGCTGCTTGTAGACCCGAGAGCTGGCCGAAGAAGCCTGATTTCACTCTCCCGGCCTGGCAAATCTGAGTGTCAAGGCCTATCTCGAAAAAGATACGCCTCTCGCTCATCACTCACAGATCAAACAGAAGGAAAGCAAACCATGTTTTCGGACGCTTCCGTCCTAGTAGAATAAAATTAGAACCAATCCCTCACGCCTTGTACATACATCGGAGCATGCCGGGGTCAACCCTTATATATTGCAGGCTCGTTTGTAAAAATAGAAATTCCCTTCTTCTTCTTATCTTTCTCTTTTTCTTTCTTCCCTGGCATATGTCGCGTGCAAGTGTGAGCTCATCACCCTTGGCGGCTCCTTCACCTGTCATCTCCGGCTCATGCAGGGGTGCAGGGGCATCTTCCCAGGCCTGAACATGGAGAGCTGAAGCTTCGAATTGTCATCGATAGCTTGGAGCTCCGAGGTATTAGTGAGCAGCGTCTTCCAAATTGGACACCCCTGCTCAACACCAATGCGGACGCGCTGAGCAAGCAGGGCTCGACCTTCTCGACATCCATCCCGTCGCTCGCGGGGTTGCTTGATGGGTTGGTCAGAGCGCTGATAAATTCGCTGGCCCTTTAAATTGGCAGTATCTTCAGTTGTGGGGACGGGGCATGAATAGTTCGTACCCCCATACCATTGCGCCACCCTCACAGCTACTACTTTCTAGAGGGCTAGAATCATCGATTCAAGGATCGGCATTTCATCCGGAATCTTCCGGATCAGAGCATCGGACTGGTGTTTGAAGATGCCATCTATTACGAGAAAAGAGATATCGGCGCTAAGCAGTTTGGCCCATATCACATCTTGATAGATAGAATCCTGCTTGCTCTGGGAGACTGGGCTGGACCTGAACCGGCCGGCAGGCTCCGCTAGGGCTTTGCTAGCAAATGCTCCAATTGCCCTGTGGATGTAGCCGCTACCAAACCAGATGATTTGCAGGTTTACCCGTCCCTAGCGGGTTCTAAATCGGGAAACGTTCCGCTTGGCGGTCTCCAGCTCGTGTTGGGCATGCCATTTTCTGATTCCTCCAAATTTAGTCACGTGTCGAGGCCGTTCATCAATATCCCACCCTGTCCCATTTTGAACCCAGAAAGAGCTTCTCGTCGGTATGTGAATCTGCTCGCATTTGAGCAAACCCGAAATGATCACTTACAAATATTCCTAGAACACTGCATTGACTCCATTCGTCCCAGCCTTGTGTTCAGGAGATATGACTGTTATTCCCATCCGGTAGGACGACAATCGCGATTGGATCATTTCCATCTTTGATGTAGATCATAGATGTCGCGATTCCAGTGCTCTCCGAGCGTGGCCCATCGCACGAGATGCAGCTGATCCAGCCCGGTGGCCTGAGAGAGCAAAGAAGCTAAAGCAGAGTGGTTTGTAGAGGACCTCCAATCGGGCCCTGTTGGCTAGATCTCCAGGAACGGCGTTTATAGGAACGACTCGAGAAACGCACATAGAATGGTATAGATCGTAGTATATGATGAAACACGGCTTAGCAGGTAGAGAATTGATTGTTTCCGCGTGTATACTCGGGTAAATTCCCACATGAGAATTACAATCCGGGCCCCTCTCGCGGGGCTGTGTCCGAATGCCTTAATACATTAGATGTTCCAACTGCACAGTTATCACCAACACAATTGCTTACCAGATATGTGTCTAATCTCGTAATATCGAATCTCGTAATACTAACCCCTATAGATCTTGCGACTCGCGCAATATTAAGGAAGAATCTCCCCAGCTAGATGTAACTACTTGAAATCCGCCCTCGAAGACCAGAGAGGATGCGTTCGTGGATACCAAACAAACACCTGGGTTTGACCATATTAACCAGCTTATTCCGCTTGCCAAAGCCTACAGGATCTAACCGCTATTTGAAAAGCAAACTCTATCTTGATCTAGAGCCCATCAGTCCCTGCCATGGATACCAAAACAAGCCCACCTCAACCACCGCCCGTCTTTACTACCTCGGCTGAGACTGTCCTCGAGGAAACACAGTTGGCAATTCACACCTTCCAGAAAGCTCTCGATCATATAGCTCAGGTTGTCAGTATCGAACATGCGACCTTTGAAAGCGTGCTTCGTCCCCTCGCTCACGCCGAAAACGCCTACCTATCACAATCGTACATTCTAGGGTTCTACCAGTACGTCACTACCGATGAAGCCCTTCGGGAAGCCTCAAGCAAAGCCGAGAGGATATTCAACGACTTCAATCTAGACAGACATATGCGGGAGGATATATTTGCTCTAGTAGCTGCAGTGAAAAGCACCCCAGGCAAGACACATGCCCTCGACCCTGAATCAGAACACTTCTTAACCAGGCTACACCATGACTTCATTAAGAACGGAACAAAGCTCTTAGGGAGTGAGAAGGAACAATTCCGCGAGATCCAGGCTCGTATTACTGAACTAGCTGCTGAATTTGGGAATAATTCCTCTCAAGCCGACGATGGTGGTGTCTGGTATACGCCTGAGGAGCTGCAGGGCATTCCAGAGGATCGGCTAGCCCGATTAGAAAAAGGCAGTAACAAAAACGGGCATGAAGGTGAATTGTTAATCACATTCCTAGAGCATGTAGGTCTCGTCCTAAGATTCGCTACCAACCCTGAGTCAAGAAAGAAGATGCGAACGGCCTTGGATAATCGATGCAACGAAAACATACCGTTAATTAAGGAAGTCACTGTTCTACGTGATAAGGCTGCTAGACTGCTAGGATACCCTAACCACGCTGCTCTTGAACTTGAAGAGAAGGTGGCTAAGACTCCCGAGACAGTCAACAAGCTACTAGAGAACCTCCTTACACAATTATTACCGCTTGGTATAAAGGAGCTTGAAAAGTACAAGAAAATAAAGCAAGCAGATCTCGAATCACGCGGCGAGATCTGGGACGGTCGGTACTATGTCTGGGATCAGCCATACTATAACAGGAAACTGCTAGCCGCAGAGTATTCTATCGACTACGAGGCGATTGCAGAATATTTCCCACTTAAGCCCACTATCCAAAGTATGCTCAAGATCTTTGAGCAGCTATTTGGCTTAGTATTCCGAGAAGCACGTCCTAAAACGCCCGAAGAACAAGCAAAACTCCTATGGCATGAAGATGTTCGGCTCTTTAGTGCCTGGGACGATGAGATGGAGGGTGGAGACTTTCTCGGTTACTTGTACCTGGATCTTTACGCGAGGACTGGCAAACCCTGGGCTTCTGCCTTCCCGGTTATACCAGTAGGTATCGACTCCGTAGAGGTAATGTTACAGGAGATGCTTACACTTATTATCAGGGTTATACTCGATTAGACGGTACTCGCAATTACCCTGCAGCAGCCCTGATATGCAATCTCCCCAGGCCATCAGACACAAGCCCTAGTTTATTAGACCACGGGAACGTGGTGACCCTATTCCACGAGCTAGGCCATGGTATCCATGACTTGGTATCCAAGACTACATATGCACGGTTTCACGGGCCATCAGGTACAGCCGTAGACTTTGGGGAGGCCCCGAGCCAAATGTTGGAGAATTGGTGCTGGATTCCATCCGAGCTAAAGACCCTTAGCTGTCACTACTCATCACTGTCCCCGGAGTATCTGAAGGCTTGGCAGAAGAAAGCTGCATCAAAAGTGGGGGAGAGCTCGCCTCCACCGCCAGAAGTACATATTTCCGACTCTATGGTCGATGACTTGTTACGTGCAAAGAATGTTCACCAAGCCCTCGGTCACCTAAACCAGCTTGCTATTTCCATTTTCGACATGATAATCCACCAACCCAAGTCCCACGAAGCAATCGAAAAGATGAACATTTCACAAGTATACAACCGTTTACGGCGAGAATGCTTTCCTCTTGATAGTCACTGGGATGTAGGGGAAGGGGACGAATGGGGTCATGGGTACACGACATATAGAAATTTCATCAAGGGAGATTATCACGCAGGCTATTATGGATACTTTTGTACGGATATTTTTCACCAGTATGATGAGTGATCAGTACAATTTACGCTAACACTTGCTCTTTTAGGTCGAATGTGTTTTCCGCTGATATTTTCGAGACATGCTTCAGGAGTAACTTGAGGAATGGTGCGGAGGGCCGGAGGTATCGGCGCAGGTTCCTGGAAAAGGGCGGGAGCCGGCCGGAGATGGAGTTTGTCGTGGGGCTTCTTGGTCGGGAGCCCGATCCTACTGCATTTTACCGGGAGCTGGGATTGAAATAAACTAGAATCCCGTCTTATATGACCCTGACTTCCCCAGACGAGTGTCTCGATCTCACAACGGGGGCGACAGATTGCGATATCTGGCTGGCGGCGGCGGCGACGGATGGCGACGATAGAATCTAATGGATCTGTCTACTGTCTTTTATATCTGCTGGTGCACATGCTAGCTGCTTGAGAGTTGGTTGTCTGCGCTGGCTGGCTTCCTTTGCTATCCCTTGGGAAAATTGGTGAATACTCTGATCCCGTAGCATGCGGTTTGGATCAATTGGTACTTTCACCCAGCTGCTCAATTACCTCCGGGTACCGCACCCTGTTCATTGGCTCATGGCGACCCTGCTTTGCCCCAGAATCCCAAGCCAATAATGCAACGCAGAAACAGAGGGCTCCGGAGGGCGCTCTGCCACCACAGCTGGCTTCCTCGCCAGAGTGGATGGTTCAATGGTGATTCCCGATACTATTCCTCTTGCTTAGTCTGGCGGAAAAATGGAAGACCAAGATCCCTTCCGTCTAAAATGGCTAGCATTAGCTACGAAGTATTAGGCACATTAATGGGCTCATCTTCATCTTTTTCTTCTCCTCTTCTCTCCACCTATTACCATTCTCGTGCTCCGTTACATCACCCTCTTTGCCATTATAGGTAGGTAAAGGCGCAGCGGTGGATGCGCCTGATTCCCTTCCACCCACTTACCCACCCACCTCCTCTCGATCCATATGGAGACGCGTTTGTCCCGTCAGGACCTGCCAGTACCCTTCCTCCTTGCACCCTGTCTTCGTTTGTTTTCTTTTCTTCTTTTCTTCTTCATCTTCTCTCGAGAGCCGCCAGATACCTCGCTACATATGAATTAATAGAATGGATCTATACTTTAGATGCGTTAAACTCACACCCATTCGGGGGCAGCGAAGTGTTGGACCAGCAGACTTGTTCAAGGATCAATCCAGTCTGGTTGTTCAGCACGAATCCAGATTCAGAGTAGCGCTCATTGACTACCAATTGCTCTCGTCTTGGGAGGGGCCTTAGCCTGGACGCTGGAGTTGAGCTAGGAAGCAGAAAAAGGGGGAGGGGGCAGCATTGATCCACTCCACTACAACTACACCATCGATGCACCAGTAGCATCGGAAGAGACTTCAATGTTGGTCTTGTACAAGGAGGAGGAACTGGGCCGAAGGAGTAGTGGCCAGCCAAGCCGCCCAGGATAATAGATCCTAGGGTCTGGGATTTCTCACAGTCAATCAATCGATCTAAGCAGTATCTAGAGCTACATAACTTTATAGGTCCGGGCCAGTTGTCTTCAGGGTCTGGACGGCAAATGGTCCAGAGCACAACACAACGCAGCACGCACGGCCCTTCTGGCTCCCTTTCTCCTTTTTCTGTTCCTATGTTTTTTTTCCTTTTCTTTTTTTCTTTCTTTTCAGATCGTTTTCTTCCCCCTCTCCTTTGTCACTTGGCCTCCTTCCATTACACCTGTCTCCGTTTCCGTTCCAGTTCCCCTCTGGAGACCCAGACTTTGTAACCCGAGTGCTTGGGGATCCCCTTCCGCATTAGCGAGTAGTCTCTTCTAGCAGGGGTGGCTAGAAACTTTGCCTGGTGGAGATCGCCAGCCCACTGCTCTTCGACTTTGACCCAAACCCACCCCAACGAACCTTCTTCTTCTTCTAGCATCTGCATCTTTCTCTTTTTTTTTTTTCTGGCTTCCCTTCTTTCGTCCCCATTTCCGTTCTTCCCCAAGTAACTACCCTTTTAATCCCTGGCCATCTGTCCTTCCTTTAGTTTTCAATGCTACTACTTGTGCTTCGGCCTTCATAAATGGAATAATTATTTTTCTCAGCATTCCCGCCCTACCCGCTCAGCTGCATATCCTCGCCGACGCCTGGCTGCTACATGCACGCGATCCCCACAATCAAGTTGATTCAAGAACCCATCGGCCGGCCACCTCACCCACCTCACCCACCTCGCCCACCTTGTCTAACGTCGAGTCCTCCTCGCTTGTCCTCCCATACAGAGTCCTCGAAACTAAACCACGAGTCCTCCCTGCGGACACTTCCGTGCCCGTTGTCTAACACAAACCACCTCGAGCTTTGGCCTGCTCTTCCAACACAACTAGGGCACCCGAGACCACCCCACTACGCACCTCCCCCATCGACCCCGGCGTTCTAAGACAATGGCTGGATCAGTCACCAAGCGCCAGCAGGCGCGCAATGAAAAAGTTCTCCAAGACCTGGTTCAGGGCGTCCCGGGAAACAACCTATGCGCCGATTGCTCTACCAGGAATCCAGGTAGCTAATCGCCTTCCCCTCACCCCTCACAACCGCCCGTCTCTAGTGTGCGAGCTGTAGCGGACTCAAGTGATCACCCTTGCTAACTGATCAAACAGCTTGGGCATCATGGAGCGTACGTTGACCCGACCCCCAAACCCTTGTTCCCCACTCGTGCTACCTTTGCTGCTGGAACCAGCAGCAAACCCCTTCTCCCCTTTGACGGCACGTCGTGGTACGGAGGTCATATTCACAAGCAACAAGAACTAACTTAATGCGACCACATTTATAGTTGGGCGTCTTTTTATGTGTCAGATGCGCAAGTATACACCGGAAACTCGGTACACATATTTCCAAGATCAAGTCTCTGAGCATGGATAGCTGGACTGTCGAGCAAGTTGAGGTTAGTAAGAGCCCTAAACCGGCCGGTAGCCTACGCTTTTCTCTTGCGCCCTGATCGCGCTCGTACTAACTTGGTGCCATACAGAACATGAGAAAGGTTGGCAACACCACCTCGAACAAGATTTATAACCCGCAGAACAAGAAGGCCTCGATTCCGATCGATGTAGATGAAGTAGACTCCGCAATGGAAAGGTTCATCCGTGCCAAGTATATCTCGGCGAGCTTCAGCAATGGTACACAGAAAACCGGCATCAGCGCTGGCACTTCCCTCGACGAGAATCCGCCACCCTTGCCGCCCAAGGGCAAGTTTGGTCTTCGATCCGCCTCTTCGCTCTTCCCGCTATCGTCCAAGGCAAAGAAACAAATCGCTACCGAGACTACGTTATCCCCCAATCGAGAACTGTCGCGGCGAAGCCCCTCGCCTCGCCTAGTAAATAAGCCGTCTAAAGTGTTCGGGGCCAGCATTGAGTACGACACAGGTGATACCGACTACAAGCTTGGTAGGCTCCGTGACATGGGCTTCATGGATAATTCCCGGAATGCCATGATTCTCAAGGGTGTGCACGGGAACCTTGAGAAGGCGATTGAAACCTTGATACGCCTCGGAGAGGGTGGCTCAAGGTCTCCTTCGTTGGTGTCTCCGCGGGAGAGTTCCTTGCGGGCAACGCGGTCATTGACCCCTCTCTCGTCCAAGCTTACGACCAACGGACGGGACACACCCATCACTCCCCCACTGGCTCGCCAGCAGTTTCAACAAACCCCTTTGACATGCTCACCCCCAACCGCAAACCGCGCAATCAACCGGGACGCTCCAGACCAAGCACGTTCACCTCGCCTCCACAAATCCGTTCGGTCCCCAGATGAACCAGCTCGATGCATTCAGCCAAGCTTTTCAGGGCATGACTCTTGCAGCCCCCAACAACCTCTGTTCCCCAACCATACAGGCGGCGTTCCTACCCATCCCGGGCAACCTGTCAGCCATCAACCCCAGATCGCAATGCCTGGTTCTGCTGCAGCCCCTTTTACTTTCGCCACTCATCAGACGTTCCCCCAACTCCATACCCTACAAGTCCATCAGCCGTATGCTCAGCAGACTGGCCTCTCCCCAACATCGGCCCAATCCACGCCTAGCCTTGCCTACACGTATAACCCGTTCTTTACAGACCCAAGCGTTGCTCAAGCACAACTACAATCCCCGACACAGGCACATCCGCAGGCCCAAGCCCAAGCCCAAGCACAGGCCCAAGCACAAGCACAGATGATGGGTCAACAACCCTTGACGATAACTACTGCGAGTTCGCCTGGTTTCGCCAACAATCCCTTTACCCGATCACCCACTCGCATTCAATCACCGACCCTGGGCCAAATCCCTGAGCAGTCTCAATACGTCACCAGCCCTTCTCAGCAGACCAACAACCCATTCTACACACAAACGCAATATCAGCAAGCGACCCCTCACTCGCAGGCTCAGGGATACAGCCAGCGGCCGGACAATGCCTCCATCCTTGCACTATTCAATTACCCGCAGCTTGCCCCGCAACCTGCGCCCCAGCCAGAGCAACCCCATCCACAGGCTACTGCCGTGAATGCTGTCCCAGCCAGCGTCTTCAATCCCCAGCAGCCTCGAAGTGTTTCCACGCCCTTGCCTGGCAATAAAAATCCCTTCACCATGAGCACCGGAATGACGTCCCCAACCGTGTCGTCCCCGCTCGCATCCAAGGATATCTTTGCCGGAGCCGTCACTCACGGTAGCCGCGACAGCATCGCTCTCGGCCTAGACATGGCAAGCTGGTCAAACAGTGGCCGACACAGCCCGGACGCGTTTGCCAGTTTAAGCGCCCGACACGGGTAAAGTGAAAAAAGAAGATGATGAGTCCATAAACCCTGGACTTAGGAAGTGGTTACGGGGTCATCGCTTGCTTTGTGTACATATCTTCCTCGTTAATTCTTGTACATTACTTCCCCCTTTTGCATGGCATTTGAATTCTTTCTTTTTCTTACCTCGTTAGTTCTTTCACCCCTGTTATCCAACTAATACCACAATTTATAAACCAGAGGCTTGGAGCCCTTAGAATTGCAAGGCTATATATGTACCGTTGTGATTAGTCTCTTCACGTAGGGTAGTTACAGGTATGGCCACACTACACTATGAAGCGTGCCGTTTGATTGATATGTACAAGTGGGATGTCTCTCGCGTCCCTTTGAGACGAGAATGCCATCTTCACCGAGCCTCCGGGCTCAGGATAAAATCCTCAAATGTGACCCCTTCAGGGAGATCACCCTCGTCCACTTGGGCCACCTCTTTCCAGCCCTTTAGCAAGCTTCGCCAATAACAGGTCTCCGCAGCCTTGCTCACGTATCCTCCGCCGACGAACTGGTCCCGCTGGCGAGCAGCGATGCCCTCTGCAACCGAGGGGTGCGCTTCCAGCCATGCGACGGTCTCCTCGAGGTCAGACCAATCGGGTTTGACGAAGACGATGTTTGCATCATCGGGGTTCACGTCGATAGGCCATATCTCGCGTGTTCTTTTCGAAGGGTGGGCTCGCGGGTTCTCTCGCATCTCAACCTCAAACTCTGCGCGGCCGCGGAGCAGGGCAGTCGAGAAGACGGGCCGGAGAAGGTGGGTGGTAGGTTCGAACCATTCCAAGGGTGGGGTAAGAATGACGCTTCGGCACATGCGATGGAAGGAGAAACGACCGCTGTAGGAAACACCTTCGGTATGGATCACATACTTATAGCGACAAAAGTCCTGGATCGGCAAGCCATTGGAGGCGGACGCTGAGTTGGTGGTCCAGTCTAGGGACTGGACGTCAGCCCACGCGGCGTTCCCCTTACCGGCTACGCGGACAAGGTCCTGGCGGAGGCGTGGGTTGACACCGGAAGGGTTAGCGAACCAGGGAGTACCGCGCCAGACGGCGCGTGGGTCCTTGCGGGAAAAGGGAAGTGTGGCTTCGAGGTTGGTGATGACTGAGGAGGCGGCGGGGAGGGAGTTGAGGAAAGGAAGGGCCCAGGACCAGGCGGAGAAGTGGGGCATGGGGAAGGAATGGGCTTTAGAGGCCGGTTGGGTGACGAAAGAGGAGGAGGAAGTGGTGGCGGTGGATGCGATGTGCCCGGGACGAGCATATACGAAACTGTTTGAAAGCGGAGAGTCGTGGATCGATAGAGAAAACGTCGTGTTGGGGACGGGGTTGGAGAGGAGGTAATGGCACGATAGATTTGATGTAGCGCCGCAAGTTGTCGCTATCAAGAGGCGGTGCGCGCGTTAGTGTCCGCCCAAAACAAAGCAGGGGAGGGGGAGCATAAGGCGCAGATGAACTTGCCTCCCTCATCTGCCTCGAGAGTTGTCCCTTTCCCGGAGGCCTTCGTATGTACAGAGTCCTGTCTGCGACTGTGGCGATTAGGGCTTTGCTGTTTTGAGTGTCGACCTTGAAAGGGCCGTTGGCGACAGTCCTATCCACCTCGTTCATCAGACCTGGGAAAATATCACGGCATTCGTCTTCGGCGAGGCCCAAGTCTTCTAACGACTCTAGAGACCCGGGGTTAGTCCTGGCACCGGTAGACCGTGAATTCGAGGAGACACCATAGCGGACTCGACGTATCCCAGTCTCTCCACGCCAACCAAAGTGGTAGATGGCGAAGAGAATCCCGAAGACTAAGAGGATTGGTCTAGTAAGTGACCCGCGCATTGGGCGACGAGCCATGGCGGCCGACTGATGGGGTCTCTTTCTACGGGGCTCAGGAGGGTCTGCTTCGCGACATTCTCAATGATGATATCATGGAGTCACCGAGGCTACCCCTGTAACCCCAAATTTGGGAGAGTCAAGAGAAGCTTCGATCTGGCACCAGCAAGAGGAGCGAGAGGCCCGGTATTTTAATCAAGAGAGCGACATATATGAAATGGGGAGGGGGAAGGAGTCTACGAATGAAGGAGGGTAGGGGAGGGGGTTACATCTATCCACCTGTCAAGGTGATGTGGTACTGGCGCTGCATGCTCGTACAATAGCACAGGCAGGGACCTAAAGAGGAATCCATGGGATGCGGGGGTAGTAGATGTGGGATCAAAGAATCTAGAGAGGAAGAGGAGAGGGGCGTGACGTGGACAGGGCATTATTAACACCCGGGATTATAGGATTCATCAAGTTTCAGAGAAGGGTGATACAGATCTGGGAGTCGATGGCCGACCCGGGGAAGGTCGAGATCGAGATCGCTGAGCCAAGGATTCCTACATTTTAGAACATTCAATCGAAAGGATACCAATATGCAGGAGACTGGATATCGGGGATCTAATGCATCTCAGAATTAGGGAGGTGCACCCTTCCCATCGACCCCAATTTTCAGTTTCTTGATCCCCAACTTCATTCAACTCAAGAGGTGGAGGGGAGATGGGAAGGAGCGAGACCACCTAGGAAGGAACAATAAGGAAGGAACAATAGTGGGAGTTGATTCTGAGGAGGGGGGTTCAATGTTGTTTCCCTCATTGTCGAGATGATGCCAAGATTAACAGATTGACGTCTGTACATAGTGCACGGTGTACTGTATGAGCAGTGTGGTTGGTACAAGGCATCATGCGTCACTGGCGTTGTTGCTGGCCGAGTGTGCCGGGAAACTGCCCACCCAGGACGCCGGGGAGCGGACCGTTCGGCACTGCAGACGGCAAGACGGCGAGCTACGACCAGGCGCGGGCTGGGGAAGTCGGTAGACGCGGAGTACACAGTGGGGCAAGGACGCGGGCTTCCCTGGTTTAGGACTTGATGGAAGAAGAGGAAGGGGCCAAGGGGGCAGCTGCGCTTTCTCATATTTATTAAACCTAAACGAGGACGTGGAAGGAGGTGTGCCGAAAAGACACCAGGATTCATAGATCAATCCACTGATAGGTGGGAATCGCCAGAGCAGAGAGCCTAATCCCAATTTCCCGGCGCTGGCAGTCTTGCTCCACTTTATGGGTTAATTTGTCGATCGATGTTGGATCAGTGCTGCTTCAAAGGGCCAATTTGATTGCCATTTATTAAGTCGCCTAACCTAAAAACAACGAAAACAAAAAAGTATTGCGACGTTTGCGGGGACAGGACACACCAATATCAACGAGATCCCTTGATGGCCGGGCCTTGGGTTGTAAAAGTGGGGAAGCATCTCCGGCTCTAACCTCACTCGCCCCAATCGCCGACGAGATCGGTGCCTGTGCGGAGCCTGACAGTTCGCGCTGGCGGGAGGAGGGGCCGTCAGGGAGAGAAGCCCATCGACAAAAGTCCAGCCTGTTGGATCTCTTGGGTGTGTCCCTTGAACAATGAGCTCAGTGGACCCTTGATAAACATCGACCTTCGAAATTCATACATCTTGGATGGATTGATCTATCCATTAGATGTACCAATGGATCAATGCGGGGATCATCCCATTGATGGTGCTGGGAGTGAGCAACGCTCCAGCTCTACGATTCTCGGGACGTGTTAATTGTCTCCCAACCCCTATATGCTGAATTCTTTCCCTCCTCAGCACCGCCGAGTTCATAACCACCCACCTCCCCTCCCAACCAATTGCTTCTTTCTCTTCATTTCTTCTTCTCTTCATAGAGCCATCATCAAGCATGCGACTGTCAGCTAGGTCGGACCCTTCAGCCATAACATTGATGGTCTCATACGCGCCCTTGGCCAAGCGCTATTCTTAACCCTAACCATAAATCGTGGCCGGTTTGCCTGTCATGGGCACGCTGTCGATGGCGACATGATTGGCGATGGCAGTGGTAGCAACTGAGTCAAGGCCGCCTCCGCATACCAGCCGCCTCCTGTGATCAGCTTGGATTGAACGAGAGAGAGCCGTGCTTGTTTCTCTCCTCTGATTTGGCCTGCTTGGAAATTTGCTTTGCCGGCTTTTCTTTTTCGAACTATCCACGGTCGATCAAGAACAATTGATCCATGGATGTGTGAACCTGTACCCGAACGTACCAGCTATTTTCGATCAGATGGCCTGTCCGGTTCGCTCTCTCTCTCTTTCTTTTTTCTTCTCTTTGGCCCGTTGTTGCAAGTTGCAAGTCGCAAGTCGCAAGCCTTCCTCACCTGGAGACCTCTATGCTCCCTCTTATTTTTCTTCATCTTCGATCTATTGTTCTGCTGTGAGCGTCATGGTCTCTCTGAGCGGCACTGAGGCTGGAAAAGGCGGGCCCCAATACCGCTGTTTCATAAGCAGCTCAGTGTTGAAATTAATTGCTGGGTGACGTCGGCTCCGCTGCAAGCTTAGATCTTGTCAGATCCCAATCTCGACCCGCATCCTTAATCAAAGGGCTATTTCATCGAGAGTCTATTACCAAGTTAACCCAAGAAGGAGAAAATCAACAACAATTATGACGATTACTCAAACGACGGCAATAACCCTTCTTCTTCTTCTTCGTCTCTCCCTAAAACGTGGGGAAGCTGTGGACAAAGGGCAAAAATAGGGAGGTGGGAGCGAGGACAGGAACCAACCCAAAAGGGGATGCTTTGCGTTCAAGATCTCAGGAGCTGGGCAAATATTGACCCCGGGCGGGGCAGGAGGGGCATATACTGCTGGTTCTCACGCCTAACTTTGGCCGCTCCGATTAGAAACCGGGGAGCCGAGGAGTGCCGATTTTGGTTTTGCATGCGAAGAGGCGCCGTCCTGGACGAAGACCAGCTAAGAGCTTGCAGAAATACCAAGGTGGAAACAGTGAGAACACGAGGGTCGCCAAGAAGGTTCAATACGAGGTGGCTCTCCCTGCACGCGCAGAGTGTCTGCGTTAAGGCGTCTAGTCGAACAGATGCCGGCTTTGGGGGCAAGGAGAGCGATGATTCAGGCCCAAGCCTTCACCGCAATTTCCACATTGGATCTCAGCTGTGCTTTTTCGATCCAGCTGTTTTTTCCCTTCATTGGTCCCGCACGACGTCTCCGGTGAAGACGGAGGAGGTGGGGACATGTGACGGCCGCCCAGTGCATGTTTCACGACGGGCAGGGCCAAGGCGCGTTTTTTCGGTGGCGGAGGCGATGTGCTCTTGGGCGGATTCCGGCCTGAAGCATGGCCGCCATCGCCTCCGAGAAAACCTCGGCGTCGAATGAATCCATTGTTGCACCTTTGGATCCGCTCACGCCTGCAGGTTTGCCTAGGTTCGTGGTAGTGCCCTGGTCGCCTGGGAGGATAGGAATGGCAGGAGTCAGGCACCTGACCAGTATCTCCATGGACTCCTGGTATTAGATGTGAGGATTTTTTTTTTTTTTGGAGAATTCTCGTATCATCAGACCAGGGATGATGGCCCCGGAAGGGGGCATTGTGGAAATGATGTCTGACGGCGGGGATCGAGGCCAAGAAAGAAGTGCAGCCCGGAATCTGAATATTGCACGGCCTCTTCACATATTTCCGATAGCTCTGGCACGAAATGGAGGCGAACTGGGCTATAAACTCAAAAGCCTGCACTGCATGGGCTGGATTTTGTCGGGGCCGAGGCGATGTGGGAAGATAGGCCATGGAGGAGCAGAAGAGAATGGGAGTCCGGCTACGGCTCGCCACACCATGTTTGCCAGCTACTCTCACCTGCGACCCTATCATGATATCATGTCAACTCTTGGCCATAAGAAGATGGCTAAGAGGGTATTTCTGGGAAACCGAAAGGTGTCGTAGGGGGCATGAACCACACGCCGGCGAGACGGACAGCTTCCAACGATGCTTGCATGAAGCCTTCTACTCAAGAAGGAACAAGGACCACCCCCTCCCCACCTCCCCCTCCTTCTTATTTTCCCTCCCTCTCTTTGGCAGACCAAGGGACTTGCATTTCAACCTTTTGAACTGCGCTGCGCCCGTTATGCGGTTGTCCCTTGCGTATGCTCCGATATGCCATCTGGTCTCGCGCCAATGGTGACGCGACATGACTCTCTACTTCCGGAGTGACGGTCGCACAGCAGCGGCCTGACCCAAGACTGCCAGGCCAGGCGGCCACTCTCCGATGATAATAATGATGAGTGGGATGGCTGGATTCGAAGCAGTGACACGCTGCCCTGCATTCCCAAGTCAACGTCGGTGTCCTATCACTGAATGCTGATGCCTCTCCTCGGGTAGCTGCGTCTGTCTGGGGAAACGATGACCATGGCCGGGTTGGCGGGAGCAAGCAGCCCTATGAACCTCTCCATTGAGGCACGAAGCGAAGGGAACAGGTGAGAGCTGAGATTTTGGGTTCGTCCTCCGCGAGCGATCCACGAGACGAAGTGGTATTAGAGCCACAGTCCTAATTCAAGGAGAAACCGGAATGGCAATGTGGTGGACGGTTTGACGAGACTTGTACCGCAACGCTCGGCCCACACCCGCTCAGTTAGCACTACGCCGCTCCGGTCCTTGGATGGAGCTTGGCGAGACTTCAAGGAGTCGAGGAGTGGCGGCCATCCACAAGACTTATTACATCTATTATGGGTGCCTGATATTGTCGCGAAGTCGAGACTAGACCCCCTCTTCCAAGGCTGTTAGTCAAGTGGCTGAATGAGTTATCTAGTGATCAGCATTCAACCTCATTTCTCAGACCCTTTCCACGCCGTCGTGCACTACCCACCCCGTTCCCAGCTTCCCCATCGCCTCTCACCTGTACGTGCTCCCTCCTTTCCTCGACCGGTGCCAAGCAAGGTCATCGCGTATGAGCTGCCTTGCTAGAGTTAGCGTGGCTGTGACGACTAATAGCTAATATTCTTTTCTTTTTCCCTTTCTCTCATAATACCCGACCATCATATGCAGATGGATATCCTCGACGTCCTCGACATCCCTACTTGATCATGGGGTTATTATACACTAGTCTCTCGGTATTTGGTGGCTCTTATCAAAATTTGATCGATGCTCTCAAGTTGTAGGGTCAATACATTTAATATTACTGAGGTAGGATGGAAGGAAAGGATACGACCGGGCTAGCTCGTGACTTGTTCCTGTTTTTAGTATCAACAGGGAGGAAGACATGGGAGGGTGGGTTGGATTTCTCGAGTGGCGTTTGCCTGTTCACTCGTCGTCTCACTTGTCCGATGCTCGCCCAATGCGGCAAAAGCAAATAATACGACTTGCTTTCTTTTTCCTTTTTTGGCTGCAAGGACTGGGGGAAGAGAGCAGGGGGGTAGGGCATGGACCTGCCAGGAACATTCCAACCTTTGAGCCAATGCCATGCCGGATGATGAGATGGAATCTAATCCTGTTTCTCTCATTTGTCCTGGGCAATCCTCAGGATTGACAGACCAATTCGGTTGGTTTTCAGCTGTGGCCAAGATGCCTCGAACATGGCTCATGCTCGTGCTACCCTAGCCGAGAAGGTGCCAGAGGAAGAGAGGACTCGTTGATAATACGATTTGTCTCATCTCGTCTTGGCCATCTATCTTCATCTTGGTTGCAATGGGGTTTGACAGTGTCTCATTGCCTCATGTCCTCCCTCGCCTTCACCTTGACCTTTGTTCTTCTCCCTTCTTCTTGTTGCACGTTATTATTCTTCGCGCCACGGCTTCCTCCCCTATGTTCCAGACCCTCTGTGCCAAGGTTGCTGCTTCTCCGATGTGACTTGCTTTTCTAGACCCTGATCGCTGCTGGACATTTGGATGACTGCTTTGCTGATCTGCCTGATCGACGATCAAGCGGTTCCTCTCGTCCCTCCCCAACCCCCGACGGGCATAACGCAAGGGACGAACGGCATAATCCCAACTTTTTCTTCTTTTTCTTCCCTTCTTTTTTTTGTCCTTTTGTCCTTTTGTCCTTTTGTCCTTTTCTCCTTTTCTCCTTTTCCCCTCTTTCGTTTCTCTATACATCACGCACATCATACGGTGAGTTGCCAACTGGCTCCTCGTGCACTTGGCCGGCATGGAACTACTTGTAGCTTGTTGCATTGGCCGGGAGCAGCAGCGCCCCTGTGTCCGGTCAACAATTGATTCCATTGATCTCATTCCTGGATCAATGTATTGTGTTCACTACTTCGATATTACACTAGACGCGAGTTGCGACGATGACTTGACCAGCAAATTCCGAGTGTCGTCATTGGTCTACCGCCACCAGTGCCGTCGTCTCGTTGGCCGCCACCGGGTCCATGGCTGACGGCGAAACCCTTCTTGCGGTTGGGTCGGACCATCGAGCACAACCGTGCACCAGCCAGTGCTGAATCCAATAATATACCGAACTGATCTTATGCCGTATTATGTGAGGTTCGGAAGGGGTGGGGTGAAGCCAACTGGTCCTCCATTCACATAGACCAAGGAGGAAAGGGGCAAAGGTGGAGGGCTCCCCTCTCTTCCCGGGGAGTGTGGATGCGATCCATGGAAGCACCCCGTGATCCAGGGATGGATGTTATTTTGGATTTTCTGATCAAGGTGATAATTCTCATTATTCGGGGGTAATAGCTCAGCCCACTGCGAATAATACATGGATGCGGGCTTCATGGGAAACATCGAATCCAGTCGCACACGACAAGGGCCTGTCGCACGCTTGCAGCCAAACATTCGACCTTGTTTTTGTGCGCTGCGTCTTGCTCCAGTTCAAGCAGCTCCGTCCCCATCACAGGCGGAATCCGAATTAGGAAATGAGATGCTGTTGATATTCCAAGTAATCCTACAAGCGCCTCGTTCGGGTACACGACTGTGCCATCGTGCCCGAGGGCGGAATGTTGTAACACGGACACCAGCAGAAGGCCCTTCCATAAAAGTAAGGAAAGAGAAGGAGAAATAGCAAAAGGAAAAACCAAGCAGTTGAATCCCAGCCCAAGGGTTGGATCCCGCAAGAAACTTGGGATACCGGAAAATTTTGGAAAAGAGGAAAAAAAAAAAAAAAGAAAGCATAGGGATAATCCACATTCTTCCTCTCCCCAAGGATTCGTTGGGAAGATGACGCCCACATCATTGTAGCCAACCCCCTCCCTGGTCTTCTTGTCTTTCCAGAAACTCTAGGCGAATAGAATGGCGTTGTCCTGTCTCGTTCAAATCTCCAATGTGAGCATGTGGGCTTGAGAAGTCGAGCGCCCGTTGCCTCCAACGCCGTGCCCCCTTGGATAGGTCTGATCTCGATGCGTGCACTACCCACCACCCCATCCTCTCTTCTCCTTTCGCCTTTTGAGTTCCCCCTTCTCATTCTGCGCGCATCCTCGTCATCACGCACGCGCCGTTCACTTACACACCACGTATTATCGTAATCATTCTCCAAGGATGGAAATTAATCCAGGCTCAGAGCGGAGCAGGGCCCAAGAGCGCCTCGCCCCACCTTTCCGGCACAAAGTAAGCTTCTTCTTTCTCGTATCCTATTCGTAAGGGGGCAGATGAAGCTTTCCCCTTTGCCTCTGACTGCTAGGGCTGCTGCCAGCCTCTCTCTCTCTCGCGCGTGCAACCACCCCTCCCTTTCCGCCGGCCGGCTTTCATACCCGCTAGTGGGCTGTAGACTGAAGAGGTCGTGACGAGAAAGAATCACCCGATATCTCCCAATCCTACCATCCCGTCTCTCTTTTGTTTTTCCCTCTCTTCCTTAGCTGTTACCCTTTGATGCCCGCTCCGGCTTTCCAATGAATAGCGCGGAAAACGGACATCCGGCGTATACATGATCCGTCGCACGCTGAGTGTGGTGGCCGTGATGGACGGTCATGTTCCCGCCTCAACCCGCATACGAATTGAAAGGCTACACCCTCACGTTTCCTCTGCCTCGCTTGTCAAGACCAAGGCGTCCAGGCAAAGAGTGCCGAGCCCACGCTCGCTTCAGCTCACCCTTGGTCTTTGGCTGAGGCGTTGTACAGAGGAAGCGCCTTTGTTGACCTTGAATGTTGCCCTTTGTGTGGATTTGGCCTCATAGCCCTTCCCTTGCCTTTCATTCTTCTGCCGTTTCCGAGACTGGGCCATGATTATTACAGCCAACGCCCAGTCAGGTCAAGGCAATGGATCCCCAGCATTCCATCCTTCACGCCCCCCCACCCCCCTTTTCCCTCTCTTGCCTCTTAGAGCTCTCTTTTCTTTTTGTTTTTGCTTCTAGCAGACGCCACACACACCCAGGTCTGTGCCAGAGTGTATCGTGGGCGGTGACCAGGGTCCACCCCCATGCACGAGATGTACGGAGTACAGCTAGATCCAATGCCATGCCTGCCGTGATCATGCTAGGTGGGCCTCCTCGCGAGTCGTTGGAGATATCCCCAGATATAAGAGCAACGGGAGACCTCTCATCCCGGAGACTATCTTTTAGCATCCTTCTCGGCCACCAGATCTAGTCTGTTCGAGGGTCGAATCGGTACCCGTGTTGCGTTTGTGCTTGTTTCTTTTTCCTGCACTCTCCACTTTCGTTCACTTACACTCGTTTCCCGTTTTCTTTGTTCTCGTGAGGGAGCTTTATGATAGTTGAAGCTCCTCTATAATTTTTACTTGCTCGGTTGTCAGGTCCGAAGCTACTCCGCCGCCCATCTCCATATCTAGCAACATTGCCAGAGATGCGTGCCCCAAGCTTCTTCCTCTCCGGGGCTCTTGCCACCCTCGCCGCCGCTGCCACCGTCGAATACGACTGGGACATCACCTGGGTCACCGCCGCCCCAGATGGATTCTCTCGCCCCGTGATCGGCGTCAACAACCAGTGGCCTTGCCCGCAGATTCGCGCTACCAAGGGCGACACCATCCGAGTCAAGATGACCAACTCGCTCGGCAACCAGACTACGAGTCTGCACTTCCACGGCATCAACCAAGTCAGCACAAACTTCATGGATGGCCCAAGTCTCGTCACCCAGTGCCCTGTCGCGCCCGGCGACACGTTTGTGTATGAGTTCTTGGTAGGTCTTGGCTCGCCTTCCAGTTTTCTTATTATTGGTCCTTTCCATACTAATGCCAGCTTCTTTATGGGTGATAGGCTGATGAGGCGGGCACATATTGGTGTAAGTAGAACACGTTCGGTGGAATCTGTACGGCGAGGATTGCTCCAGCACGGATGCTAACCTGGTGGCCGACCGTTAGGGCACTCTCACAACATGGGCCAGTACCCCGATGGGCTTCGCGGACCCATGATTATCGATGACCCGGAGGATCCGTACAAGGACGAGTATGATGAGGAGTACATCCTCACCATTTCCGACTGGTGAGTACCTTTTAGTCGGGAATACGAGCGAAGCATTGGTGGATTAAGGACTCTTGCCGCTAACAAGAAGCCGCCCAGGTACCATGAGCAATCTCTCTTCCTGGGACAGAACCTTTTGAATCCCAACAACACCATTGGCGCGCCGCCCGCTCCGAACAGCGTCCTCATCAACGACGGCCAAAACCTCGACTACCCGCTCGAGGTCGGCAAGAACTACCGATTCCGTATCATCAACATGGGCGCATCCGTGTCGGCCATGATCCACTTCGACTCGCACGACATGAACGTCATCATGAACGACGCCGCCTACCTTGAGAAAGAGATTGCCTACCAGCTCCGCGTGACTCCCGCCCAGCGATACGATGTCATCATCAAGGGCATCGAGCGCGACAACCGCAATTTCGGCGTCCTCGTCTCTCTCGACCGCAACAGGGACTATAGCACCGCGGCTAACCCCGTGTGGCCCCAGAACGCGACGGCGTGGCTCGTGATGGATCCCGAGGGCGAGAGGAGGCCCGACGTCGTCGACGTCTGGAGACCCTTTGACGACTCTCACTTCAAGCCCCTCGACGGCAAGAATATTCTTCCTCCTCCGGACAAGACTCTCGTCTTCAACTTCCAGCCTTGCCGTGATAAGTACGGAATCAACAGGTACGTGCTCAGCTATTTGCCCCCCCACGCGTCTGCGTGCTAACATGGCTTGCGCCCTTCCAAGGCAATGCGTCAACGGATCGCCCTACGTCAACCCCAAGGTCCCGACCCTGTACACTGCCGCCACCACCGGAAACTTCAACAGCAACGAGACTGTCTATGGAGCGGTGCACCCCTTCATCGTCGAGTATGGCGACATTGTTGACATCGTAGTCAACAACCACGACGGCGGAATCCACCCATTCCATCTTCACGGCCATCATTTCCAGGTCTTGGCCCGGCACGCGACCGGCCGCGGTGACTGGCCCGGCGAGACGGATTCTTACAACCCGGTCCCGCCCCAGAGGGATACCGTGTCTGTGCACCCCCGATCGTACGCCGTTTTCAGGTTTCAGGCGCACAACCCCGGCGTATACCTGTTCCACTGCCACGTCGAGTGGCACGTCGAGATGGGATTGACTGCCACCATCATCGAGGCCCCAGACATGCTCAGGGATCTCAAGATCCCCAAGGACCACATCAAGGCTTGCAAGAAGGCGGGCATTCCCACCAAGGGCAACGCCGGTGGCAACTACAAGAACCCCCTTGACACCTCCAATATCGACTACGAACCTCCTGCCGAATATACAGGGTAAGTGCTTGTTGAATCCTCATACGGCCCTCTATTCTTGCCGAGAACCAAAAAACGTGACGAATCGATGCTAACTGATGCCGTGAACCATTAGTGCCCAGTGGACCCCGACGCACCCCACGTGCAAGAGGCGGTCGCGAGTGATGAGGTCGCTGTAGTGGGCTTGGCTTCGTAGGGTGGGCTGGCCTTTTCTTTTTACCTATTTCTTTTTCATTTTTTTGTCGTTGCGGTTTTGCGAGCATATCCATTGTTTTAATTCTCTTCTTCCTCGGGTCGTCCTCGAAGAGGGTATGTGGTTGTCAGATGGGTCACTCGCCGAGTCACCAGATTTAACAACGCTGACAATGGGCCCATTCATCAATGGCTTTCATGAGTCCTTTGTAAATGCCACAAAGGCACACATGGATTCATGTCCTTCGGAACCACCCCTGTCGTCGAAGGCGTGTAGCGTCGACGCTAGCTTGGGGGCATGGTCTTCGTTCAAGGCCATGCCTCTCTAGCTGGGCCCATTATTCTTCTCTTCTTCCGAGGTCAGCACCCGAGTCTATATTATAATATCTTCATTTATTCTTTAACTGCCTTCTTTATCGCTGTTGTGGGTGCAGGAAGGGTGTGCCGAAGCAGTCGGCGGCGTGCCCGCTCCCCGTTCTCAACTTAGTCCCGTGAGACCGACTCATCGAGAGGCGAGTCGCGGTGTTGTTTCCGCTCTTTCCGCTCCTCCAGCGTTCGGGAGGTAGAACAGACTGACACATGATGGATCTCGTGCCTTTCGTATACACCTGAGGCTAGAAACACAGGAAAGGATCAGGAATATCTATCTCCTTGTGGATGAATGGGGTAGGCAAAGGGTTCAGGTTCTGATTGATGGGCGTGTGAGTGCATGACGGGGGACAAAAGGGATGTTGGAGCCGGGACGCGCTTCCCCTACTTTTGTTCCCTTCTTTACTTCTTGTTTCATCTAAGCGAGGGCGAACCTTTCCCCGGTGCAGTCAATCAGTCAAGCTTAGACTTCAATGTGAAGCAACTGTTGCAGTCGCCTTAGATCACGAGAGAGACTAGAGTGGAAAGGGCGCGGACGTCGAGCACGGAGTGCTACCACGAGGAATGCATCGGCGGCAGTGGGCGTGTCTCGTCCCTGTCCGTCCCTACATGTAGCCCCTAAAGTGCCACATTTGAACCCAACTCGCATGCTTGATAGGGCAAAGTCTCGTATTCCACATGGTTAACATGACCTATATAGAAGCTAAAAAGGGGAGCAAGAGTGATCAGGAAAGGAGGGAGAGACAGAGCCCACAAGAATGGGGTGGAATTAGGAGAAAAGGCGCAAGAGGGCAGATGGAGACGGGTAGGGAGCTGGAGAGGGCGTGAAGAGGAGAATTTCCAACGTATAGCGGCGATAGGTAGCGATAGAAGTGGGAGCGGTGAGTCGGCTAGTCTCAACTCTTGATAGTTTACCTACCTACCTTACAAGACGGGAGTAGGAAAGAGAAAAGAAAAGAAAGGCATCAGTAAGCAGAATGTAGATGACTGCTCACCTCCGGGCCCTTCTCCGGAAACGAGCCTCCGTGAACGAAGCACACCCTACGGAGTGGTCCGAGTTTGAGTTTGGGCAGTCAGCGAGAGACCAACTTCCCTTTTGCAGAATGGACCCGAATTTTGATGCCCCCGGTATAAGCAAGGCATGAAGTAGGTTAGATGCTCTCTCGGAAATGCCCCGAGTCTGCCCATATGGTATACAGGGGAAGGAAGACACCGGGGGCCACTTGCCCATGTCTTCTTTTTCGTCTGACCACACTTCCATTTCCCAAGATAAGACCTCGCACGCCCCCTCCCTCAAACAAGATTCATCCGGCGATATGTCGTATTCCGCTTAGGGAAGCTGCCACAGCTATAGTCGACCACGATGCAGAACCTCATGTGCATGGCCGGACTAGTTTCTCTCAGGAAGCCGTACAACCCGGCGGTGGCAGCCAAGACAGCCAAGACGGCGACACGCCTACCCAAGGACAAGAGTGGTCCAAAGGTGCAAGATCCACCGGGCCACAGAGTCACCTCTAGCGCTGGGCCGGAATGATACTCGGTAGGGCTGAGCTGCGTTGGGAACGCACGCCACCTCGTACTTAGACCCAGCTTTTAGCGCGAGCGTGGGTCCGTGGGAACAAAAGGCAGCGAGCAAGAAAAAAGGGACACCAATCTGGGATACCCGAGTGGGTGCGGCTCTTTGTTTAGATCTGCAGCCACAACTGGAGCTAGGCCTGCGCCTGTGAGCTGATCACGGCCTGGGTATGTTGTTTTCCCTTGGAGATAAGCGCTGAGGGCAGAGAAAGCTGAGCCCGGTTGAGACGGGGAGATAGTGTTCGTACTCAGCCTCTCCGGGAGAAGTCCGAAAGATGCGGGGCCTTGCGCTCGCACAGAGGGAACGGGGCAACACGCTTGACCGGAAATGGGCGCCGAAGAGAGCAGGGGCAGGGTAGGGTAAGGCAGGGTAGGGCAAGCAAGAGGCCACGCTCGGAGCTTGGGCACAAAGGGGAGGGAAAAACAGAAACAGCTGGCTTGGTAAGGAGTGAGCCGCCTTACAAAGGTGGAAGAGGGCGCTTTGGGCTGACCCGAAGCCAATCAAAGGTGGTGGTGGGTATAGATCTATGATTGTTGCAAGCGCGGCGGGCGGGTTTGGGCCGCCGGGCTCGAAACTTTCCGAGCGCACATCAGCACATCCCGCGGGAGGAGACCGGGCGGAGGGGACAAGGGAGGAACTTGAACCCTCCAAAAGGAGAGGTTGTTGTTTAATCTGGTTCTGGGGGTCATCACAAATCTACATGTACGACTCGAGTCTCTCTTTCCATCGCCCTCGACTTGACGCCGATAAAAGGTGGTTAGCGAGATGAACGAGGTGAACGAGATGGAAGCAGAGCGCATTACAAGGCGGCGCGCGGTGCAATACATGATGCGAGGGCGGGCGGCTCCACGCTCCTACGATTTGTGCCGTTGATACGATAGCCTCTCGGCCGCAGTGGGCGGGGCACAGGCGGATGCTATTCTATCATGAACACCCGGCCGCGAGAGAGGAACCTGTTCGGCGGCGAGTGTTATCACGTCTGACTCGGCCTGGAGGATTTAGGAAGGGGAGAGGAGAAATTTGGGTGGGAAGGGTAAGAAACCCGGAAGGATCAGCGGCGGGAGTGAGGCACGTCACCGCCCACCCGGACTTCCGGACCTCGGCGAGCCAGCAAACCGTGGATCCACTGGATGGGGGCCTGGCTGCAGGAGGACGAGGGAATACGATGCGCAGAGGCGGATGCAGAGGCAAAGTCAAGGGTGGTGGGACAGACGAGCTGTTTCCTCTCAAGCCCACACAGAGCCCCCATGGCAACCAAAGGGGAAAAAAATAAGAGAATGCACCAACTATCAAGCAGGGGCAGAAGGAGACCCATTTCCGTACTTCGGGGATTATCAATGAGGTGCAGGAGACCAACAAGATCCCTGAAAGGGCACGCTAATGCCTTGGATGACGAAAGTTAGACTGTCGACACAGCTATCTAAGACAGCGCACTGATGCGATCTGGATGTTTTTTTCTTTCTTTTTTCTTTTTCTCTCTTTTTCTCTCTCTGCTTTTCGGTTGGGAGGTTTCTTTTTATTGCTTCTCCCCTAATACCGATGCAGCTTATTCCCCCTTTTTCTACATTGAATGTTCGAAATTGTGTCATCGGAGGATGTTTTGGGGAGGGAGAGAAAGGTCTGCATTTGCGCAGCTTCAATTCGTCAGCAGGTGAGATGTCGTACGGGTTTGACATGCCGACATGGGTGAACCGGCAACCTGAGTTCCGATAGCAGTGGGATCATGAAAATGATCGAGGGAAGAAGCGAAGATAGACAAGGTCTGTGTGAGAGCAGCGTGGCTCCGTGGCTCCGTGGCTCCGATCGAGGATATGTCCCCGAGACTGAAACATATGGTGAGTTCGATACCCACCGTAAGGGGCGTCGAGTGCGAGAGGGTCCGTCCCACTGACCTGTGAAGGAACTTATGGGCGGCGCGGGGGTTGCCGGCGATAACAATAACAACAATAGTAATTATAGTAACGGCAGAAAAGAACCTTAAGAATAGACAAGTGCTATCGGATTGCTAATTTGTTGTGTCGTGTGGATGGAATGGATTCGTTGGATCGTCTCGGGCATTAGAGGATCTGAGGTATTGGTGGGGATCGCTAAAAGGTCGCAGCCAGGGAGCCACTAACCAAGTCACCGAAAGATTGTCCATGAAATGATCAAAGTGAGAAAACGGTAGATACTGCACATCGTATGGAGGAGCGTGCAAGAGAGTACGAGAGCGTGCGGGCGCAGGTGCATCTCCATTTCATCTCCGAGGAGCAGCAGACCAGCCTGCCCCGGCCTGGAAACGGGGGAAAGAAGATAAAAAGTAGGTTCAGAAGAGGCTGGTCCAATCTTGAAGAGAAAAAAAGAAAAGAAAAAAAAGCCAGGTGCTGTGAGTGCCTCCCCACGTGCGAGGTTGCCCCATCACTCAAGACGTGACGAGCCGTCGACTACGACTACATGTAAAGGGTCTACATGGGGCAGAGGGCGTCAGAGTATGCAGTCATTGTGCCGGGAATCGTCAAGAGTCTGGAACCGCAGGGCGGCGCAACGAGAACAGAGGATAGAAGCAGAAAAGATCGAGAGAAAAAAACAAATTTGACACTGCACGAGCAAGGCTGGTTGATGAATGGAGAAGAGACACGCATAGGTAACCATGCCTTGGCGCAGACGCTCATCTGAAGATTCAAGCACGAGATGCTCGATAAATGAAAGAAGAAAATAAAAAGGGGTCCTGAATCAGAGCTCATGAGCTCATGAGCTCTGCTGTGCGGGACTGTTGGTCAAGAGTAAAGGGGCCTCTCCCGTTCCAAGCCGATTCAAACAGTTTGAGAGTTTTGAGTCCGTCTTGTGTTCAATGTGCAATGTTGCTCCTGAGCTCTGCTCTCTACTTCCACCCCCATGATGATCTGGCATACGGTACCTTGGCGGACAGTACATACATCTAGGGATACATACGTCTATGGATCCATGGATACATCCACGATGTAATCTAGAAGAACTCACATTGACACGAGTGCTAGTGTCAATGGATCGTGCTGCAAGGGCGAGCGCGGTCTGCTATCTATGGGCCTTGGAACGATAGTAGGTCTCTCTCGTTGATATGCCGCTTCAAGGGGATGGCATACACTAGTGATGGACCCATAGGATAGTGGATGGATCTATTAGATCCCTTCGGACAGTTGCTCGTCAGGTGCTGTCTGCGGAGGTGCGGTACGGTATACTCACGTAGTGTGCCATGCAGTGCAGGCAAAAGGACCATATAATCATTTCATTGTGAACCGCCGCTGGTACTGAGTGGCCTTGCCCGTAGAACTGTTGGCATCGATTGATCCTGTATGTAGAGGAGAGAAGACGACGGGGGCCACGTGAGTGCCAGGATGATCAATGGCTGGCATGTCCCGGGAAAGACTGGTCGTTGCTTACATCTCGTCTCCGACGCACTTAGAGGTCCTAATTGAATGCTCGGAGCAAGCGTTGGGCCGACCTGACCTACGTCAGCTCAGCCCGGCCGGTCCAGCTCAGGAGCTGAGAGCCAGCCTGTGTTACGCTGCAATCCACTGATTTGCGTGAGGTACCAGCAGTAGCACCGCATCGCACTGAGGGGCTGACACCACGGATCCAAGGCGGGTGTATGTCGGCTAGCCTCAACAGTGCCGACAGTGCCGACAGTAGCCCGCAGCCTATTTTAGCTTGCAAGGAATGGGACGGAGCACCTAGGTTTTAAGGTTCAAAGAGCACTTGGGGCCCCTCAGTTGCTAACAACTGTTGCTGGCGGTTCACGAGCCTGGCAGCGAATGGGCGCGTGTCACGTCACGGTGGGGCCCTGGACGAGCTCCAGTCTTGCCAGAGCTCAGCCCGGACAAGACTTCTTCATCAAACACTCCTCCTGCCTAGTAATACTTGGTCTCTTTTTTTTTCTTTCTTTTTCCTTCTTCTCGCCTTTTCCCCCTTCCTTTGCCCGCCCGTTGCATCTCGGACACGCCCCCTTGGCACCATTCCTCTAATCGCTTTGCTCTGTCTCCACCTGGGGGCAATCTTAAAATCGGCAATCACCGTGCTAATCTTGTCCCTGGAAATTCTCCGCCACGCCGTCGTCTCCTGTCTCACAACGTCGCACTTTAATCCCATCTGTGGGTGAGAACTGGTCTCAGCCCGTGGGCATGGCTTTGCCTACCCCATTGTGCTTTGGACTCCGGATCCCTGCCCTACTCTCACGCGAGCCCGGTTGATCCCTCTCCGAGAAGTGCGAAATCTTGTACCCCGTCTATCCTCTGTGTGCCCAAGTTGGCCCTTGGACTCGAGTCAAAACGAAAAGTTTGGCCTCGACAGTTGAGTGGTTGTCACTCCGCAATTGGAGATGCCCACCCCTCTAAGACGAAGGGCGAGGGAAAGTTTCCGGAGACCCTCCCCGCCCCCTCATCTGGTTATAGCCACACGGCTATTGCTCGCTTGATGTGGCGATGTACTAGTCAACGAATGCAGCTCCTGGCATCGACAGGGGCCAGAGAGAGAGAGAGAGAGTGTGTGTGGTGGTGGTGGAGGCTTCAACATAACCCCCATCTCCGATACCAGTGCCACATGTAGTGACGCAACTACCGCCTCGCCCACTAGACCGCTTATAAAGTCTTCGGAGAGCACATGTCTGCGGTCAGCATCTCCACGCCCATGTACCTCCATGGCGCCCAAGCCTTTGTGTGGGTGGTGCGGGCCGCAGCACGTTCGGTACTGGTGATGAAGGATGTCTTGCTACATGGCCAGGACGCGATGGCGTCGTTGACGATCTGGTCTAATTAGATGTGAAACGGAGAGACTTTCTACCAAGGACTGAATCACTTAGAACGGCCCCCTTCAGCCCGGTGCCCTAGTGCCCACCATCCGACGCTACCCTGGTGACCGACTACGAGCGCACTTGAGACCTATCTGGAATGCCCGCTTGCTTGGAAGCATACACGAAGCATACTATTAACGGCGTTCAGGAGCCCTATCATTAGCCTAGTAGACATGTCTTTCCAGGGCCGCTATTGAGACGAGACCCTTAGTGAGCTCGCGGGTGTGCGGTTAACGCCGAGATATCGCTTCGAATTGCGCAAGGAAAACAGGACCGCAAGTTGGTTGGACGGAAATAGGTCCCTTTGCTCATGACGCAGGCCCATCATAGCTCCCTAAATCTTCGCCGCGCAACAGAACACATGCTAATCTTCATTCTGCAAAGGGCCTGCCCCTAAACCCGCATATATCATCATAACAATACTAGAAGGGGAAAAAACTGCTTCTAGATTTAAGCAGCTACCCTGCGGTGGCCGCTTCACTCTTAAATTTCTAAGCCACCCACATATGCTTACTACTTTAGCCAGCTTAGACCTCGCAGAGCGACGCGTGAATTCTGTCTCACACGCTTCTGGATCAGGGACTCTCCATTGGCCCGCGCTTTCTAGGCATGGACCGCCGGTCGATCCTTCACACATAAAGACCCAGCGAAATGAACCCGAATCCAGTCAATACACTCGAACGAGATCCTGACTTGGGTCCCTTTTTTGTTGTTCTTTTTCTTTTTTTTTCTCTCTCTTTTGTGATGTTCTTTCTTTCTTTCTCCACCACTTCCTATACTGAGAGGACACCAATCTTCTTTAACCACCCTCTTCCTTGCCTCCTTTTCCTTGTGAGAGTCGCCTCCAGACCGTACGGCTTCCGTCCACGAGAATCCGCAACGTTGCAGAGATATGCGTATTGCATGGCATCGGAGCACTCTCAAAGGATTGGCGAATTTGTGATTATATGCAAGCCCTTGCTTTCCTCAAGTGAACTGACTAGCTGGACCCGGCCGTGATTGACACCGTTTGGCGCCATGGGGTAACGGGTGATGCTGGGCATGCAGGTAGGTGTGGGGAAGGAAGGGTCCCGGGGTCGGGGAATACCTCTCGCGCTGCCGTTCAACTGCACCGTTCTCTTATTCGCGTTTACGCAAATCTATACTCCCTGCGCGCCTAGGCCGGGCTGCTTTTGGGTGACCGCTTTTAACAAGATACTCTCAGGTTTCTTTTCTTAGTTTCTGAAACGTTGCTTTTGCCGTGTTCCTGTCTACCTTGCCCGCGACAATACGCAGTTTACTCAGACAGGAGCAACAACAACATTGCCCTTTGCGAACCGGGTGTTTCGACACCTATTTCTCTTTCCATTGGCCCAAAAGGGGTGTACTGAGAGCTGGTTTTGGCCGCCTTGCGACCAAGCTCCTTACCAACTCGAGGGTCACCTCGCCTGCCCGTCGCCTTGGGGATGTCCGACCGGACAATGGTCGCTCACTACACCAATTCTAGATCGTTCTATCCGCAGCTCCCTACACCCTACCTGCCATATTTGCAGCTGGCAGCTGACTTCATGGGGATGCCTTGATCTAGTCTGCAGACTCAGACCTCTCTCGTATGCGCTGGCATATCCTTTTACCCGCATCTTCTGTCCCCTCTTGACTCTTTTCTTTTTCCCATTCTATTCTTGTTCTTGGTTTCTCCCTTCTTTGTCTATAACATTGATAGCGAACCCACTGGCTAGCGGTATCCGTCCGCAAGCCAAACCTGCATACTAAATGTCACATCTCGGGGATCTACGGGGAGTTTCACCGGGCTTCCGCTAGGGATCTTGGATGCCTCTCAGCCACGAATCACTGCCTGAAAGGTCACTTGCTGGACAGGTCTAGGCCAGAGACTGGGGCTGGGACCCGAGAGAGGAAGTCCGTAGAGGCCTTGTCTGGTGGACTTGTGCCTGCTCAATATTTATTCAGGCGACCGCTGAGATATCCTCTTCCGCTGATATATCGGAGTTGGCTTACACGAGACGGCGGAAGTTGCATTGCATCACTATTATTAGCAAACGGCCTGGCTTGAGCGCACCTGGCCCGTTCAGTGTAATGCTGGGCTGCCTTCAAAGGAACGGATATCAAATTGTGGCTCCTTGCTACACATCTCTTCTAGGTTGGCCGGACAGTCAATCCGCTTTCGTTTTGGCGCTTTCTCGGCCGCTTCTTAGGCAAGGCTGATTCAACTGGCGTCACCATAACATCGAGAGACCTCGACGCTGGGTAGTGGCCCCGCGGTTCCGCCACCCTGGTTCTTCTGCCGTTTGCTCTCTCCAAGATTCACACCCTTTCGTCCTTGAACACCCCCCTTCTCTATCCCTCTCTCTCTCTCTTCCCCACCCCTCTTGCAGGCTATCTTTTGTAGCCGTGTCCGAGAGAAGGAGCGTCCTCACATATGTGGGCAATATTCCCCTCTCTTGACTTTCGGTCACCGATGGGGTGTGTGGGGCAGACGGACTTGGCTCTGCAGACTCCAATTACTGATATGTGGATCCGGGCGTGTGTATACGAGTGTAAGTCTCCCCAAATCGTAGACATGGCCACACCCCTTTCGCGCCTAGGCCGGTCCCTGGTTGGACTTTGGTCTATGCACCCGCGAGGCGGTTTCCAAGTACTGCGACTCAACCGGATATTTTTGGCCGCTAACGAGAGGTCAAAGCCATGCGGGTCGTATCATGAGCCTGCTCGACGAGCTGACCGACCTCTCAAGATCAATATAAGTTGAAGCCAAAGCTCCAAGCTCCCTCAGACTAAGCTCCGTTCTCGATTCTCCTCCGCAAACAACCGCCAGCTCGCTTTTCCGAAATGGCCGACACGGACAAGATGGCGTTTCTCCTCTTTGGAGACCAGTCTCTGGATACCCATGGATTCCTCGCAGAATTCTGCCGGCAGGGTAATCCAAGCATTCTGGCCAAGGCGTTCATGGAGAGAGCTTCCCATGCTCTACGAGACGAAGTTGATCGCTTGAGCAAGCTGGAGCGTGCCAATATCCCCTCTTTCAAGACACTCTACCAACTCAACGAGAAGTACTACACACAAGAGCGAAAGCATCCCGGCATCGACAGTGCCCTGCTCTGCATCGCGCAACTGGCTCATTACATTGAGTAAGTACGCCCCTGTCCGTTCACTCGTTTTGATCTTCTTGTCATCCTTCGGCCCAAGAATATCAACCGCCGGAGTTAATGAAGCACATGGATGGATGCTAATGCTCGGACCTAGCCGAGTTGAGAAGACACCCGAACAATGGACTCGTCACGACCAGACCTTCTTTGTTGGTTTCTGCACCGGTCTTTTTGCCGCCTCCGCTATCGCTTCAACACCCACCGTCTCTACCTTGATACCCCTTGCTATTCAAACTGTATTGCTAGCATTCCGCACCGGGTCCTATGCTGGCGCATTGGCCGAGAGGCTTTCCCCGCTTGCCTCGGGCACGGAGCCGTGGACCATGATTTTCCCCGGTGTCGGTGAAGAGGAAGCTACCAAGGCGCTCTTGGATCTCTCCAAGTCCAAGGTTCGTGGCCATCCTGTTGGTTGGCGTGATGGCACCCATATTAAAAAAGCAAAGATTGATTCTAACCTCCCATCAATAGCAATTACCGTCGACTAGCCGCGCATACGTCAGCGCCGTAGCCCCTCGAGCATCGCCATATCCGGCCCGCCCACCACGCTTCGGACTGTCGTAGAGCAGCGCCTCTTCGGGTCTAATCCTCTCACCATTCCGGTGTACGCGCCCTATCACGCTCCACATCTCCATGCTAGCGTGGATATCGAAGAGCTGCTTCAGCTCGATTCGCCCGAAATGCGGGCCGTTATGGAAGACGCGAAGCCCCGATCGCCCCTCATGTCCTCCAACGGCACTTGGTTCAAGGAGGAAACGACGAGGGATCTTCTCAAGGCCGTAGTGTGGGAGTGCCTTAACGAGCCCCTACGCTTCAGCCAGGCATTCGAGAGCTGCGCGCAAGCTGCCAAGTCGTTTCGAGGACGCCACTGCCTCATTATCCCACACGGGCCAACTCAGGCCGCCGAGACCCTCGCCAAGGTTGTCGAGGCCGAGACTACGCTCGTGGTGGACGTCGTGAAGGGTTTAAAGATTCACAAGGAGAGCATCGGCTCCTCCATCGGCAACCACGGCCCCCAGCTTGGGCGGTGCCGTCTCGCAATCGTCGGTATGGCTGGGAGGTTCCCTGATGCGGCTAGCCACGAAAAGCTTTGGGAGCTTCTGGCAAAGGGACTCGATGTCCATAGGGTCGTGCCCAAGGATCGCTTCCCTGTCGAGACCCACGTCGACCCCACTGGCAAGGCCGTCAACACTAGCCACACGCCTTACGGATGTTGGATTGAGGAACCCGGTCTCTTCGATCCCCGTTTCTTTAACATGTCCCCGCGTGAGGCTTTCCAAACCGACCCAATGCAGCGGATGGCCATGACAACTGCATATGAGGCGCTTGAGATGTCTGGATACGTGCCCAATAGGACGCCATCTACGCAGCTTGACAGAATCGGCACCTTCTACGGCCAAACCTCCGATGACTGGCGAGAAATCAATGCCGCGCAGGAGGTGGACACTTATTTCATCACCGGCGGTGTTCGAGCCTTTGGGCCTGGCCGAATCAATTATCACTTCGGTTTCAGTGGTCCCAGTCTGTGCATTGACACTGCCTGCTCGTCAAGCGCGGCTGCGCTTCAAGTAGCGTGCACGTCCCTGTGGTCGAACGAGTGTGACACTGCAATCGTTGGTGGCCTCTCGTGCATGACGAACTCGGACATCTTTTCTGGTCTGAGCAGAGGACAATTCCTTTCCAAAAGGGTCCTTGCGCGACCTTTGACAATGGCGCTGATGGATACTGCCGCGCCGACGCGTGCGCTTCCGTAATCGTCAAGCGTCTCGACGACGCGCTTGCTGAAAAGGATAACGTTTTGGCCGTTATTCTTGGCACTTCCACCAACCACTCGGCCGATGCCATTTCCATCACCCATCCTCACGGACCAACTCAATCCGTGCTCTCGAGGGCTATCCTCGACGAGGCTGGTGTCGATCCTCTCGATGTTGACTATGTCGAGATGCATGGTACCGGCACGCAGGCTGGCGATGGTACAGAGATGGTTAGTGTCACCAACGTCTTCGCTCCCGCCAAGAGAAAGCGGCCGGCCGACCGCCCGCTTTATCTCGGCGCAGTCAAAAGTAATGTGGGCCACGGCGAGGCCGCTTCAGGCGTAACCGCGCTCATCAAGGTTCTCATGATGCTCCAGAAGAATTCCATTCCGCCCCATGTTGGTATCAAGGGGAGATCAACAAGACTTTTCCCGCAGATCTATCCGAGAGGAATGTCAACATTGCTTTTCACATGACTCCGTTTGTGAGGAACGACGGAAAGCCGAGGAAGATCTTTGTGAACAATTTCAGTGCCGCGGGCGGTAACACTGGTCTTCTCCTTGAGGAAGCTCCTAAATACGAGCCGGCCCTCGAGGATCCACGCTCGACACATATCATTACGGTGACTGGGAAATCCAAGTCTGCCATGATCCGCAATGCTGAAGGCCTCGTCGCGTGGATGGATAAGAACCCTAGCACACCCGTCTCGCACGTGGCATACAGCACAACCGCACGCCGTATCCAGCATTACTGGCGTATGAACGTGGCGGCATCCGACCTCTCCGAAGCTCAGGTCCTGATCAAGGACAGACTCAAGGAAAACTTTGTTCCCATCTCTACAGAACAACCAAAGGTCGTCTTCCTCTTCACTGGCCAGGGTTCTCACTATGCCGGTCTCGGAAAAGACCTCTATGCCCATTTCAGCGTGTTCAGGAGGCTATCAATGAGTTCAACAAGCTCGCCCTCCTCCACCAACTCCCGTCTTTCCTTCCGCTCATCGACGGCAGTGAGCCTGATGTTCAGAAGCTTTCTCCAGTCGTGGTTCAGCTCGGTCTCTGCTGTTTCGAGATGGCCCTTGCCCGGCTCTGGGAGTCTTGGGGCGTCCGGCCCGGTGCCGTTCTCGGTCACTCCCTTGGAGAGTATGCCGCCCTCAATGTCGCGGGCGTTTTGTCCGCCAGCGATACAATTTACCTAGTCGGTAGCAGGGCCCAGCTCCTCATTGAAAAGTGCACGGCGGGAACGCACGCCATGTTGGCTGTCCAAGGTCCTGTTTCGGCTGTTAAAGAGGCTTTGGGACCACTCGGCGAACTCGTCAATGTTGCCTGCATCAATGGACCTAGGAGACGGTCCTGAGCGGCACCGCCGAAGAGATTGTTGAAATCTCCGAGCTTCTTAGCACCGCGGGCTATAAGTGCACGCAGCTCAAGGTTCCATTTGCCTTCCACTCCGCCCAGGTTGAGCCTATCTTGGATGACTTCGAGTACCTGTCTCAGTCCGTCGTTTTCCAGCGTCCCAAGGTAGCCGTCGTCTCTCCTCTCCTCGGAAAGCTTGTGGAGCAGGAGTCAATCAATCCCGCCTACCTACGCAATCATGCTCGGGATGCCGTCGACTTCCTTGGCGCTCTTGTGTCTGCTCAGGAGGCTGGCGTCATTGATGAGAAGACGGTTTGGCTCGAGGTCGGACCCCACCCGGTATGTTCGAACATGATCAAAGCCGCCTTTGGTGCTTCCACCATTGCCGTGCCTACGCTCCGCCGCAATGAAGCCACCTACAAGATCCTTCACGCAAGCCTTTGCACTCTTCATAGCGCCGGCCTGAACATCGACTGGACCGAATACCACAAAGACTTCGAGGCTTCAGTCCGCCTTCTTGATCTCCCTACCTACTCTTTCGACTACAAGAACTACTGGATTCAGTACACCGGAGACTGGTGTCTGACCAAGAATAGGGTTGGCACCAAGCCCGCGGCACTCATGGAGGCTCCTAAGCCCAAAATTTCCACATCCGCCGTGCACAAGGTCACGAAAGAAGAGGTAAAGGGAGACACGTGCATAATTGAGACGGAGACCAACCTTTCCAGAGAAGACATCAGGGGCGCCGTGTCAGGCCATGTGGTCAATGGTGCTCCACTCTTCCCCTCCACCATCTATGCAGAGATGGGCATGACTATCTGCGACTATGCCTACAAACTAGTGCGCCCGGAGGCTAAGAACATTGGTGTCAACATCTACGATGTTGAAGTGCCCAAGACCCTCATTTTCAACGAATCCCTGGACGCCCATATCCTCCGATGCACGGCCACATGTTATCCTGCCAAGGGCACGGCTGAGCTTGTCTTCCACACTGTGGAGAACGGCAAGAAGGTTGACCACTGCTTCTGCAAAGTAACTTACGAGGATCCCGAGGAGTGGCTCACAGAGTTCGATCGCGTCAACTACTTGATCAAGTCTCGTGTCGACCACCTCCTTGAGGCAGAAAAGGTCGGCAAGGCATCCAAGATTGGGAGGGGCTTGGCATACAAGCTCTTCTCAGCTCTTGTCGACTACGATGCTCCATACCGTGGTATGGAGGAGGTTGTTCTTGACAGTGATACCTGCGAGGCCACAGCAAAGATCGTTTTCCCTAAGCCAGAGAAGCCCGGAAACTGGTTCTTTAACCCTTACTGGCTGGATAGCTGCTGCCACATCTCCGGTTTCATCGTCAATGGTACCGATGCCGTTGACTCGAGGGAGCAGGTCTTCATTTCCCACGGTTGGGGATACTTGAAGCTAGCAGAGAAGCTCAATGAGAACAAGACATACAGGTCGTACATCAGGATGCAGCCTATCAGGGGCACCAAGATGATGTCAGGCGATGCCTACATCTTTGATGGGGACCGTATCGTCGGTGTTGTTGGCCAGATCAAGTTCCAGTCCATTCCTCGCAAGGTCCTTAACATGGTCCTCCCCCGCGGCAAGGCCCTCGCCGGCATGGCGGCTCCAGCTCCGGCTGGTAACAAGGCGCCGGTTGCTGCCTCAAAGCGCCCCGCGGCCAAGGAGAAGACGAAGCAGGTGACCCCTGCAACCATTGGCGCGGTCAACGCGAAGCTTAGGGGCTCCGTCGTGGCTGCTGTTCTGGATATCCTCGCCAAGGAGGTGGGTGTCTCGGAGGACGAGTTGGCGGACAACATTGCGTTTACCGATCTCGGCGTCGATTCGCTCATGTCGCTTACCGTGAGCGGGCGGATAAAGGAAGACCTCGATCTTGACATTGACAATCACGTCTTCGTTGACCACGCAACCATTGGCGCCTTCAAGAAGTACCTGGCCAAGTTTGAGACGCCTGAACGGAAGGAAAGCGTCAGCAGCTCGGGTGAGTCAAATTCGACAGGCTCGGATTCCGACACTCCTGAGATCGGATCAGACTCCGACATCACCACTCCCCTCGAGGGAAGTGAGGATGGTTCGGTTAAGGGAGGCGAGTCCTCTTCGAGTGACCTTCAGGACATCGTCCGGGGCACCATCTCCGAGGAAATGGGCGTCGAAGTAGACGAAATCATTGCCGCTCCAGATCTAGTAGCTCTCGGCATGGATTCGCTCATGAGCCTGTCCATCCTCGGCACTCTTCGCGAGAAGACGGGTCTCGACATCCCCTCTGACTTGTTGACGGCCAATACCTCCCTCGTCGCGGTAGAGGGCCCTAGGAATCGGGCCCAAGCCCAAGCTGGCAGCCAAGTTGACCCCCAAACCTGTGACCCAGCCCGCAAAGTTGGCCTGCCCAACTGCCGCCGCCGCCGCCGCCGCCGCCCCTCGTCCCTCGCGGATCATCAACACACATCCGGGAAACACCACTGCCACCATCGTCAAGCCTCCCCGGCCGACGTCCTTTCCCGATACGCATCCCCACCGCAAGGCCACCAGCGTTCTCCTGCAAGGGAGCGTGCGCACCTCGACCAAAAACCTCTTCATGATCCCCGACGGCAGTGGCTGCGCCACCAGCTACACCGAGATCAGCGCCATCTCCCCTGACTGGGCGGTATGGGGCATGTTCTCCCCATTTATGAAGACGCCCGAGGAGTTCAACTGCGGCGTCTACGGCATGGCCCAAAAGTTTATCACCGAAGTCAAGCGCAGGCAGCCGACTGGGCCTTACTCCTTTGCAGGCTGGTCAGCGGGCGGCGTCATAGCCTTCGAGATGGTTAACCAACTCGTCAAGGCCGGCGATGTTGTGGATAATCTCATCATCATCGATGCGCCCTGTCCCGTAACTATCGAGCCCCTTCCTCGCAGCCTTCATTCCTGGTTCGCGACAATTGGCCTGCTCGGTGATGGCGATAGCTCCAAGATCCCGCACTGGCTTCTCCCTCACTTCGCTGCCAGCGTCACCGCCCTCAGCAACTACACCGCAGAGGCCATCCCAGATGACAAGTGCCCCAGGGTAACCGCCATCTGGTGCGAGGACGGCGTGTGCAAGTTGCCTACCGACCCCCGTCCGGACCCCTATCCCACAGGCCATGCCTTGTTCCTGCTGGACAATCGTACCGATTTCGGTCCGAACAGATGGGACGAGTATCTCGATTACAACAAGATCCAGACAGCTCACATGCCTGGCAACCATTTCTCTATGATGCATGGTGACCTCGTAAGTTCCTCCCCGCTAGACGCCGGCGGTAATGTCTTAATATCTTCCCTATTCAGAATACGGTTTGCTAACCTTGCTTTCTCCCCTCGATAGGCAAAGAGACTTGGCGATATCATAAGGCAGGCTGTCACTGACGCCTAACTGCCGTTACCTTTCCCTTCTTTCTCATTTCCCATTTTCCTTTGTCCCTCCCCGGGTTTCCTTTTCGTTCATGTCTTGATTTCTGCACCTGCAAGCCGTTGTATATGAGGTGGCGATGGAAAATTGTCTTCCCTGGCTCCAAGCACAGATCATATTCCTTTTCCTTTTCTTTTTTGTTAACATTGGAACCTTGATTACGCGTCCTTATCTCTTGTTTCCTTCCTTTCTCTTTGCCGTCTTTCGTGACAATCTGCCACCAAGGCAGATTCAACCATGACCCTTCCACTCGATGATATCGACTGATGGGTGACGCACTATCAATTTGCAGCTCAGATCAATGCTGCTTTGCATTTCAACAGATCCCAGCCTTGTTTTTCAACCCCTTTCCAACGCTTTTATATCATGTTTCTAGTCGGATTTGTTGGTTTTGGTTTTGCTTGTTTATAGCCAGAGTGGGTGGACGCGGCGCCATAAAGACACGGGATATATCTTTTCTCTCATCTCTCTTTCTTTTCTCTCCTTCCTTACTTTCTTTCACCCGCTTATTGGAATTTCTTGTCTTGTGTTGTTGCCCTTGAACTAAGTCGTCTGTGTTTCATGTGTTGCCCTCTTTCTCTCCATGCGTCTGTTCAAGTCTACCTTGTTTGTCTTTGTCTATTCGGTCTGAAGCAAAGTTAATATATTTGCTCGAGCTTCAATCTTTTTCTTCTTCATTCTCCCTTTTCTCCAATCTCCTTCTCTTCTCTTCAAATGGTTCGGAAATTTTCTCATTTGCTTCTTTTCATTCGACATTAGTTTTTACTTTTTACTTTTGGGGCCTTCCCTCTTGCTTCTTCTTCTTCGTGGTCTCGACTTTTTCAACTGTCAACCCCAAGTCATCAGTTGACTCGATCTGATGCATCATTCTTTACTAGGACTCTCCAAGGCCATAAAAGGCCTTGTTTTTCTTTCTTTGTTCACTTCTCAACTCTCCCTCTTCTCGCCCACAGTCTTCACTTTTCCATAGTTTTCTGTTGCAATACAGGCTACATAGCGATAGATACTACAATGAAGGGCCGCCCAAGGCTCGCTTAAATTACAACCATGTGCTCCCGGTTGCGCCCACGAGTGAATGCTGCATTCGCAGGGTATTTCCCTACGTTGTCCGCACAGCATGTACCTCTTTACTACATGTCTCTCTAGCCGTTAGCACGGGAATCCGGCGAGGTTGGTCTAAGTATAGGTGTGGTGCATGCATGCCCCGGGACTTTGTTCCCTTTTTCCGTCTACCGTAGATATGACCTCGCCACCACGAAATGCCGAAGTTGGAAGGGAAGAAAGCAGTAGAGGGTGGGGGCAGGGGAGACTGGCCCGCTGTTGTCCTTCTCCACGTCTACCTACAAGGTAATGATCTGTGTGCATCTCTCCTGAGCTGTGCCACCCATCTCAGGCCCCTGAGGAGTTGAGGCATCCTCTATAGATGCATGGGAGCATAATAGATTGACGGAGACAAGGGCCGCATGATGGAAGCGAGCCCTAGCGATGGCTCGTATCGGTGAGCAAGATACAAAAGCAGGTACAGCTATCCTTTCTTGTGGGAGGTGGCCCTACTGTGCCGCCTTTGTTTTCTTTTCTCTTTCATCCTTTTTTTCTTTCCGAGTTTGGGAATATCCTAATGGCTCCCATTGTTCTATGCCATAATATAAAGGTTGCCCCCTCCCCGAAGTCACACTTTTGTCAAAGAACTCTCGGGGGCTGTCGATACAGTAGAGGCCTCTAATTTCCTCTAAAGCGCGTTGTATATCACGGTAAGTAAAACAGTCAGTCGCATCAACGTACCAATGCCAGCAAGAGTATGGAAGACGTGTCAAGAAGCCGGACAGTGGTAAGCCCCTGGCTGACAGCGAGTACGTATTGCACGCTCTCGCGCGGCCTTGGCAGGGTGGAAGACGTACGATTGGCCATGCGTGACCTGTTTTCTATTTCCTTTGAGAGGAATGGTAGCGTAGGATGGGTCGGCAAAGCTCGTGCAGAACATCATGATTAACAATTATCCGCTGCACTTCCTGCGGACGAGTTAAGGAGGAACAAGTAGATGACTGGCGGCGTGGCCTTAGGGCGAGACTCGCGTGGGAGGCGATCTTGCGTCCAAATTTGGAGGGGAGGCCTAGAGAGTCTACATATCGCACCCAGATCTTTCAATGCCCTCAGAGCGCTCCGTGTATAGTGAATGTAGGATCAAAGGCTCGATAAAGCAGAGTCACAACATGATCTCCTCGATCCATATCTTGAGATATCCTAGTTGTAGGCTGCACCTCGATCCCTTCATCTGCGTTTCAAAACATTTCGACATACGTGAGAGTGCTTCCCAAGGGGCCCCATTGCCTAGAACGAGGAATAGAGATACTGAAAGGTATGTCTACTCGCCAAACGAGGGCCCGGCTATTCTGCCTAGTACCACCGTGCTGCTGTTGGCAGAATGGCAAGACGGTCCCGAGCTCAAGAAATGAGCACTGGAGGATGTGCGATCCGTCCCCCGTTGCGCCCACTACATGGGACGGAACCCATGTCGAACCATGAAACCCATTTTCCGGGCGCGCACCAATGTATACATGTAGGACCGGAGAGTACGTGAAGGGGAATATGGAAGTTCAAACACACGCCCATATCCTGGCATCGTGTTTTCACACGTTAACAGGCCAGTCCGCCTCAATAAAAGGATTTGATGCTAAACCACCTCCTTAGACACATGGAGTCATAAGGAGCCTGGTTCCTGTAAAGCAACGGCGCCTGATGACCACCTAACCGAGAGGCGCCGCGGCGTACTATTGACGGGTAGGAATTGTCGTTTATACTACCGATGCCAGTGAGGCTTGCCCAATAGAGCGGAATCGCACTTTTTCCCTCGCACAAGATACGGTGGATGGACGGACGCACACTCGCACTAAGCACCTTGCCTAAGGACCTTGCCTAAGGACCTTGCCTAGTTACACACTTGCGAGGAGCAAACTATCAAGGCATGACATCATGCGACGAAAAAGTTTGGGCTGAAGATGATTTTGATGCTCGTCCTATGGTCGGAATATCCAGTGGATGGCATACGAACTCCACCGTGCACTTTCTACTTCGTACATCATTTCGTATATTTACGTCTGCGCGCTTTTCTCCGACGTCTGGGGCTTTGAATCAACAAAAGCAGGCGCATTCCAATCGACCAAAGAAGAAGTGAAGCCAGTCCGAAAGGGAAGGGGAAGTGAGTAAAAGGAAAGAAAGGCGATGAAGAAAAAAAAAAAAAGAAAGCAGGAAAAAAGGAAAAAGAAAAAGAAAAAGGAAAAAAGAATTATGGCAGGCACTTCCCATTGGAGGTGGGGCATATCACAGTGTACGAAGTAAGCACGACATCAGATTCCCTTCTCTTCGAGGCACCGAGGCTCGCTCAATGGTCAAGCAGAGTCGATTATGTCTCAGGTGAAGCTAGCGTCGCTTGGGTCATGGCAAAGAGGGCGGAGGGGGCAGAGGTGGCAAAAGGGGACAAAGGGGAAGTTTGGTCCGTACTATCTTCCCGATGGAGTGGCCGACCCAGAGTCGCATGCGTCCATTGATCCAGGGCAACCGGTTACAGCGTTCCCGTCAAACAGCTCTCTGCAATGGAACCACACCAGCGCCTCCGGCCTCCGGGATAAAGGGCCTCTTTGTTTTGGGATCGGTTCTGGTTACGTATGCAGTTTGGAACTCTGGCTTAATCCCAACGACGTCTCAAATCCTTGCTGAGCCCGTCATGCGCGAGTCTGGAGAGGCCTGGGGTTATGCGCCCACCTTAATCTTGTTTCCTGTCCTCGTTGTCTTCGACCGAAGTCGTGCATGTGATACGATTCGTGAATACGGCGTCGCAGGCTCCTGTAACGTATGCCGGATTAATTGCGCCCTCGGTGAGGGCGGGTGGCCTTCCCACAGCTCGAGTGAGCTCCCGTCCCGGTATCGAAATCAGTGGGGCTGAATGACAGACCAGGGGGATTCTCGGACAAGACATTGAACATGACACCGCCCAACCCAACCCAACCAGACTGGCTAGGGGTGAATAATAACACCACCACCACCACCACTACCAACACTGGGTCCAATGGATAGAGGAATACCAAGGTAGTGGAGGGCAAACTAAATTTAAGTGCTTTCAATGTTGCAATCTACGTCTCCGTCCAGGCACGACCCACCGCCCCACCGGCTTGATAGTCAAAATTGATCCTAGGGGCATCAGCTGCCACCAGCTCGTGGCTATAACGGTCCCGCCTACCGCGTATTATCTTCATTTCAAAACAAGCCCTGTTGGATGGGGCCAATTTCGAGCTTGGGGTCATCAACATCAGATGGTACCTTCTCTCTTGCTCTGAGGAAAGGGGAGGTGCCCTCCACTGATCCGCCACTGATCGACCAACGAGGGTTCCTCAAGCCTCATGTCAAGAGGGATCGTCATGATGCTGGGCAGGGAACCCCTTCTAACAGATGTTTTATGGTTTCGCCTTAGTCCCATCATCATCAGTAAGATTTTCAGGGCAGGTCGTTCCCGCCCCAGGCCCCACCCCAAGACTGGCTCGAAATGGCTCAGACAGACGTGGCAGTTTCTCCGTGCGAGCTTGATCAGCCGCAAGGTCCTGCCGTTTTTCACCTTTTTCCCCCACTGTCTTCATTTCTCTATCATTTCCTCCCTTCTTCTATTATCTTTCCTTTTTTTTTTTTTTTTTTCCTATTTCTCGTCTCTTCCATTTCTCCCAATCCCTTTCTCCGTGTGATTGTCTACACTAGGTGGTGTTAGGGGTACCTATTTTCCGCTTGCCCTGCTTCCAGCCTCAAGTTTTTCCTGCATCTAGAACGAAGTGCGTTTTGCGCGCGTCCGGGATGGGCTATAGCCGACGAGCCTATGCTTATTGATGTATAAACCCGGATCTTCGCTGCTAGGGGTGTTGCTTGTCCCGCCCTCGCTGGCTTAAATCATCTTGACTGTGTAGGTGAGGTGTGTGCTCGAAGCAAGAGCAATCATATCGTATTGACTTGCTTGGGTTCTCTGTAGCACACCATGTATTTCTGTGTATTGATTGATTAGGATTAGGATTACCTCTCGTTCATTTTTTTCTCCCCCTTCCCCTTCCCCTTCCCCGCTCTCTCCCTCAACCCCTTCTCTTTCCCCTGTTGGTACCACTGCCCTTTAGTAAGGGCAGTTCATCTACGAACCTGGCATTGATCCATGGATCAAAACCTCCGCTAGCCTGACGTGACGGCTTGAAAGGGGAGGCTCGTCGTTGCCGTCGCGAGGATGAGGCCTGGTAATATAAATGGCCAAGTATGGATATGGGGGAAGTGGAAGTGGAAGTGGAGGTGGAGGTGGAGGTGGGGGAAGGGGACGAGGGCCCAGCAAAACGAGCCGGGGCCGTTGTGCCGCATTGGACGCACCATGCTCATGGCTGCGCTAGCAGGCTTGATTAAACCTGGCGCCTGTTTAACCGGCCGGCTGGCGTGTTCTCTTCACCGTGTTCGTCTGCTGCTGTCCCGGAGGAGACACAGCGTGAATTGCCCAGACCAACCGGACTAGACCTAGACGGCGGCGGCGGCTTGTATTCGGTTCCTCGCCCCTCGCTCAACCCTCACTCAACCCTCGCTCGTCAGCCTTGCCCCCTTGGTTGTCTTGGAAGAATTGGCTCTCTTTTCATCGTCGACACATCACTTGCGCCCGTCCCATCTTCCCATCGCGTCCAGGGACCAGGACGTAACGCAGTACCGGAACCGAGGCTGGATTGGAGCCCCCGGCCTGCTCTTTGGGGTTCCCGGATCGACGCTGTGGAGAGTTCCCCATCCTTCCAGCTTCGAGACTTTGGATGAGGCACGAACCGAGGAGAAATCCGGATGCTTCACCTCCAGGGTACTGTGCCGTCAGACCCAATTGACTGTGGCGGATCAATGGGAGTGCGTGTGTGCGTGTGTGCGGATGTGCGTGTGTGAGTGTGTGAGTGTGTGCGTATGTGCGCCGCTTGTATTTACCGTTGATGCTTTTTTGGTTTTATTTTCGGCACCACATTTTTCCACCGCATCCATCCACTTGCGGTCGTTGGTTCCCCTTCCCTCCCCTCTCGCTCTCTCCCTCTCGCCCTCTCGCCCTCTCCATTTCCTTCTCTCTCTCCGTCCCTATCAGTCCCATCCAATCCCCTGCCGACCCTGTTCATATACGCTGATTGGATTTTGCCTCATTACTCCCACATGCAAGTCCCGTATTAGAACTGTACATCCCGACATCCATCGCTCTCCTGCCTTTTAGATGCATACTATACTTTCTACATTAACGGATGTCTTGACCTCCACCAAACCAGCCGCACGCTTCGCTTGCCACCTACAAGCTCGCCATCCACACTCATCCCTATGAACTCTACATTTTCCCTTCTCTCCCCCTCCCTCTCTTAACCTACACCCACGCACGCACGCGGACATATACACATACAGATCCAGATACACGCAAATATACACGCTCATCACCGTTGGCATATAAGCTACTATAACACTCGGATGAGCCGCCCCTCCCCGCTTAGCTTTCCCTGGATCTCTTGAGGAAACAAGCGGCTTCCACCAAATCAAAACCTCGATTTCGTTTTCAAGCCTTTTTCGGGTCTTTCTTTTCTTTTCTTCTTTCTCTATCCCCCTCTCTCTCCCTCTCCCTATCTTTCCGCTTCTTATCCACTTCGCACCCTTTTCATTCTTCTTTGTTCAATTCATTTTTATTCTTCAAGATTTCATTAGGAGTTCGTTCTCTTTCGTCTCTGATTCTTGCTTTCCTTTTCCTTTCTTCCTTTCTTCTCTCTCGTCGTCTCCTTGTTTCCTTTCCCAAATCACCCACCTAATCATTGGCACGCCTCTTTACAACGTCACAAGAGGTCTCTTCCCGCTGCCTGTATCTTCTGGATCACTCATTCCAACTACATAATGGCCTCCAGCGCAAAACCTCGTCAACCCCGCCTGCGTGCATCTTGCGACGGGTGCTTCATTGCTAAGGTGAAATGCTCTAAAGCACGTCCCATATGCTCACGCTGCTTGGCCTGCGGGCTGGAGTGTCGATACTCGCCCTCCAGCCGAGCAGGGAAACCCAAGTCTGATAGCACGGCAGTGGCTGCCCACGGAAGCCCATCGCACCGACATATGAACCCCATGTCCGGTATTCCAGACGAAGCTGCCATGGCATATCAGAACCATGCCACTCCCTAGGCCTGTATAAGCTCGAGACTGGGTGGCACACGCCACCTACCATGGACGGGTCCATGAATCCGGGACTTGGAGTCCTTGGCTTCGACGATCCGAATCGGCGGAATCCCAACGTCGGATTGGAAATGTACGGTGTTGGGACCAGTTCCTGGGCCTCCTCGGCCGAGATTCCAGGAGCCATGTTTGCAGACATCTCCATGGCAGCTCAGCTACAGAATAATCACGGCCGTTCTGCCTCCATAGATGCAGGAATGCAAATGCCCATGGTTCATCCCTGGATGGATCCTATATCTGCAGCAACACCAACGACACACCACGAGATGATGAACTACGATACTCCTACCTCACTACCCACCCCGGCAAGCATGGGATCCAACTATTTCCCTAGCCCTTCTGTCACGCCAAACGTACCGCACCGTCATCGCCCAGCTTCCGTCGGGGCCACCGCTCCAGCCGGGGGCGCCAGCTGCACCTGCTTTACGGTGTGTCTCCAGTCTCTACAATCGCTACACAACGCGTCGTCCCCAAACCACCCGCCATTCGACGTCGTCCTGTCATTAAACAGGAAGGCTGTCGAAGGGTGTGCTACGATGCTAGCTTGCCCACGGTGCATGAACCGCTCGGGAACCCACACGGCGACTATGCTCCTCGCTACCTTGATCGGTAAAATTACCACCTTCTACAGGAACTCGAGCCAAACATACTTTGACCATCCAACCAGCACCGCCGCCGCCTCCGCCGCCGCTGTCGGGCTTTCAGACTGCTTACCTGGTAACAAGGGAGGCTCTAGCCCAAGCAGTGGTTTAGAAGTGAGCCTTGGTGGCTATACACTGGGCGGCGAGGACGGGCGGTGGCTGGAACTCGAGATCTTGAATCGCGAACTCCGAAAACTGGAGGACGTTTATTCCCAGTTCCGGGACGTATGCACCGAGCTTTCCGACGACCCAGATATGGGCAAGGCCATGGTCGAGTATCTCGGTCACACACTTGGGACGACTCTCGAAGTTGTCAAGCACCGACAAGGCAGAATGCAATTCGCCTAGACGCCAACGACCAGTCACGCTGTAATCGAGCCCATTTCAATTATCGTCCGCTATCTTCGAGTAACTTTTTTTTCTTTTCTCCCTTCCTGGTCCGTATTTTTGTTCAAGCGGGATTCATTGTTTCCCTTGTATCGGCTGTTTCATTTTCAAAGGGTCGGGTCAGGATAGGATAACGAGCGAGCAATTTCTTTCCAGGGCTCGCGGCAGCATGAGAGCTTAATGTTTATATCACCTAATGAGTTTCCGAGGACAAATCAATGAAAAGTTCCGTTTCTTGTTCAAAGCCTCGTCTTCTAGTGGCCCAATGTCTACATGTAATGTTTGAGGAAATCGCTGCCAGTATGCATCCATGGACCTCTACTCATGGATGTCAAAAACGGGGCATAGTACTCGACGTGAGTATACTAAACTCTCCAGCAGAGTTACTTGTCTGTTTACTGCTATTCCCACCCTCATTAATACCTCGGCAACGATTTTTCCTTACATGTAGCTTTTGTTAGATCCCAAGACGATGCTGAGGTACGGCTGATTTGATTGGGTATCAATAGTAAAATTTGGTGGACATCCATCCATATATCAATTGATGTACATGTACTTTGAGAAAGCTCCTTCCAAGCTCCCCTCCCCGCCTTCCATCAATTGATAAAGGTATAATAGATCTAGTATCGTTGGCTATTATAATTCAACGACTCATCGAGACTGCCTTTTCCCCGTGCCCATCTGGTGTCAAAGAAGCGGCAACGACAAGTAAGCGGATGATATTATAGATGGCAACGATCGATCCATCAGGACAAAACTCCGTGCACGACTGGGCAGACGAATCGCAGTCGAGGATGGGTTTCCAATTTTAGAAGCTCTTGCTCTCTGGCAGCGAGTCTCATATAGGGTGGGGAACCAGCCTGTTCAGCCGAACTTCTTTAACCTCCAGCTCTCCTCAATTCAAAAGGCTTATTATCCTTTATTGTTCCAGCCACTCTGAAGGACGAGAGAAAAAGGGGGAGCAAAAGGGAAAGAAGAAAGAGAAGTCGTGGCGGGAAGAAATCTTACCAAGAATGGAGAACAAAAACAGAACATGCCGGCGAAAAGCTCAATTCCCCCTCCCGATGGAGGAAGTCATCTAATGTTCAAAACCCCAGAAAAGTCTATCCAACCTCCTCCACGTCGGCCCAGCAGCACAAGCCCTGGTTTCCATCGTTGTGTGGATACTGTCATTTAAACGCCCTCGTTCATGCGGATGGCTACATTGCCTTGATGGCCAGGTGACGGCCTCTATTCTTCCGAGGAGACCTCCTTCTATTCTAAGGTAAGGGTAATAAATAGGGTCGGTCTGTTCCTGGGAAGCCCGAGAAACAAAGGAAGTGCTGCACGAAAAAGACCGCAGCTGGAACAATTATCAGTCGAGAGCCTTTTCCCCAACACAACATTTCGAAGGCGGGGAGCGCAAGTCAGGTACCTGGTCGACGGATCCACGTCCCGTCGAGGACACCACCATGCTGCAAGACAAGCGGTGGCAAGGTTTGAGCTCCCCACCAGTCCCCAACTTCGGGCGTGCAGGGTTGACATGGACAGACATGGATGTATTATATGCAGGATCTTGGCCAGCCAGGTACGCACAGTCAGGCATACGCACGAGCAATTTGTGGGGAATGTGAGCAAGGGGTGATTGTGAGTGCTCGCAGCCCACAGAAAAACCAGGTGTCCCCATTGCAGCTCCTTTGGCGGTTGAACGAAGGGTTAAAAAAAAAAAAAAACTGCCAGTGTAAGTGTTTGAGGATGCAAAGGAAGGGATAGTTCCCCGCACATGAAATAGAGATGAAAAAGGACGGCGAGCAAAATAGCAATATATAAGCAGATTCTCATGCTACTGAATACAGTTGATGGGACTGGAATGAGAAGCCAGTCTGCAGAGTTCCGAGCTGAGTTTGCTTCGCTATTTTTCTGTTGGATCTATTGCTTCGACACGAGATATGCTAAGTATTGGTTTGCTGTGGACTGGCGAGCTTTGTCGCTGGTGGAAGAGTGGCCTATGTTCTCCAATAGGCCTTATCTGCCGTAATGGATATGGTGTGATGGGGCTCGTCGTATTCGCGTGCGGAGGGACGTGGTTGCATGTTAGGTCGGCAGCAATGCAGTGCAGCGATAACACCAGCCAACGTACAAAGGGACAAGGGACAGCTCACTGAAGAATTTCCTACCGCTCTTCTGCATCTAGCTGCACTAAGGCGTCATAAGAAGGGGTGGAAGGTGCCCAACATGGTGGAGGCTGCCGTTAGAGCCGCTACCTCCTCTCAACGCCAGATGATGCTTTGTCGAGGGAACTCTAGGATGGGAAACTTGCCAGAGGCTTTTTTCCACGGGCAGCAGTAACAAGATTAGAGGACCATCCCTCCACTTCCGTGTGCAATTGCCATCATTTGATGCGCTTAATCGTTAAACAAAGAAGAAGCAGTCTCAATGATTGAAGGTCGAGAACTTTCTAACTCCGAAGTAAAGCTAAGGTCGGGTAAGGGGAACCTAGGCTTTCTGGGGGCCGGGAAGCTCAACCATCTAGCCGCACCATTATTTGGTTCGAGAAATGTGGGGGCTATGTGGAGCGAAGAACCAGACCCCCATCGGAAAGGAGGTTTTATTCCACCGGCACTGGGCAGGAAAATGCCACGGCGTGTGTGGGAAGAGATTGTAAATAGAGTGTTCGGCAAAACTGTTGACAATTTAATTCGGCCAACCAAGCGACGGGGTGTCGTGTCGAGGTTGGCGTCCCTCGCGGGATCGGCTCATCGTCGTGCCGCATCCGGTGAAGGTTCTAGTAATAGGGAAAGTAACACTTTTTTCTTTCTTCTTCCTTTTTACCCCTTTTCCCCTTGCGTACAGGCTGCCTCCTCTCCTAAACGAAACCGGACTATTCCGGGATGGCATGCCCTAAAGTTGATATGCCGAAGTACGGAATATGAACAAGCTGAAACAGAACAAGTCAACCGGCATTCTGGCTTGAGGACGATGCGGGGACGGCGGAAATCGTCGATGAGCAGAAATGTTCAAACAGATTCGAAATCCCCTGCACCCCGTCATGCTTTTCAGACAGCGTGCTCGTAAAGGGGGACATCGAGACCCAATTCCCGTAAGTTGGGAGCACTTCCCGGATAGACATCGAGATTCAGCCAGGGTAAGCTATCGTTAGATTAACGAAGCCTGCAGTACCGAGGCCTAAGCCGAGCGTCGACAGATACAAGCTTCTCTATGACAGATCCAGGGACTAGCAAGTTAATTGGGTGGCAGAGGAGAGCGGACAAATGCCACTTTCTGTATTTCGGACCGGCGTGGGCCCATGTGCGATAAAGAGCTTGGGCATATACCAAAAACCGCTTCAGGGCTCACCTTGACTCTCTGGGTCGTTGAGCCCTTCAACCCATCCATACGGTACGGTATCTAGCAGGGGCGGGCGCGTTAGGAAGGGGATCCCTGTCGACACCGGACTACCTTGAAAGTCTTGTGTCGCAAAATAACTCTTAAGAAGCATGAACCTAGTGGCGCGAGTGCGTTTCCCCTTTTATGATTGGCCACCGGTCATTCCTGGGTTTTGTTCTCCCAGTACTGTTTGTTTCTCCCTTCTTTTCTGGTCCGCGTACCTGGCGTTCCTGGAATTCCCGGATGGGATGGAGTTGTCAAATATCGAGACAATCTATTTCTCCATCCTTGATGCGTTGACACTGACCCGTGCTTTATCTTTTAGTCAGCCGACAGCATGATTTTCTCTTCGTGTTTGCTACCTGAGGTGTGCACCTTCTGCCACCCCTTGCTCTCTTGTCTCCCCTTCCCTCGTTGCTGAGCAGTTTTGCCATAATTCCTGTATGCCGTCCAGCTGATGACGCAGGAATCAATAGCATCAATTACACCCGGAAGATGATGAAAGATCTCCAAATAAGGCTAAGGTCATCGCTACCAGAAACCAAGGCCGCCCCATAAGCATGATTTATTTTCCTTTTTTTTTTTTCTTGTTCTTTTTTTCGGGTTGGCGCGCGTCCAAGCCCAACATGTATCTTCGTTTCGGTGTCCTATTCCCCAATCAGCTCGGCAGGCTAGCTTTGCAGTTTCAACCGGATGCATGGCTGAGAGGAAGCCTCGTAACCTGGCCATCTTATGCAAGTCATCTTTATTCCCACATAGCTATAGATACAGTAAAAGTCTTCAATTTTCGATTCCTCTCCTCCAGGGCTCCTTCATGTTTTGAATTGGTACTAAATAGTTGCTCGAATTGTGCCTTCCAATATTGCCTCTATATGCGATCAATTGATGTTACTTTTAGCTTATGAGGATAGAGGAAATGGGGAGATGCCGCAAGTTGCACTAATAAGCAAGACTTGCCTTTCTTGGTGTGAAAGAAGGCTACCATAACACCCTATTGGACAGTGATTCGAGGAGGCCATTGCACTTGCTCGAGTGACAGGGGTTGGTGGGGAAGAGTATGGTTCAGCCTTTCCGCTTCGAGTTTGGCTGACCTTACTCACCCATTTTGCCACGCGGCGGAACGGGCGGGCATGTAACCTCTTGGCCACTCCTTCTCGTCGCTGCCAGACCACATATTGCCCCTTCCCTTGCAGACACCCAATTGCTCTTTCCCCACTAATTGATCTCGAAATCAACCAAGGCCTCGACACGGCACAGACTCCCCTACGCTAACGTGAATGTTGATACATTGGTCAATCAAAAATCGAGTCCGCTTAAATTGGTCATTGCCATCTCTTCCTGCAGGGGAACAATGATTTTCCTTGGTCAACCAACAACTGAAATGCCGGCTACTTTACACACTGAGCTCCAAGTAGGAAACAACCCCGAGGATGGGCACGGCGATGCATTCTCCGATAGTCGTTTTTGATCGTCCAAGTGCATGCATCAACGCGCTTGCATTTTTATTTCCTTGATCAGCAATATGGGATGGAGGGGAAAGGAAGCCATCAGGGAGAGGAAGGTATATGGATAGGGAGTGCTAATAAATCTAATCCATTGTGTGAGTTACGCAAGTGCGCTCACCATCAACATTGACGCAGTTAAAACTCGTGCTATCTTCCCGCGAAGCTTGGAAACTTACCGAAATCAGCTGAGCGGACTGTTCACAGCGATAGCTTGCACTCACACCAAGGAGCTCTCCGCTCCGGTCTGGGCTGATGCACTCGCCGGTCATGAGAATAGAGTCGTCATTCCAGGACCTTGTTTCCATATTGCTTGCATCACCAACTACCGCCCGATGCTTCGCTTTATGCCTATTTCTGGCTCCATGTGACTCGCATATTCCTACTCAGGAAGCCTCAACTACCTACAGATACGAGCACCAAGTGCAGCTCGCCTGTCTTGTGAACCAAACTACGGATGGGTGATCAGAGTGCAGAATCCGCACCCACGGCACAGATTTTAGCCGTCTGCGAGGTGTTTGGGATGTCACACCACCTCCCCTTTATCGTTATTCCCTCTATAACTCGATATCGCTCAATCATGATCTTAGTTTATTACCGGGTTGTAATCCGATTGACGAGACAAAAATCTCCATCTTAACGAACTCTTCTTCTGAATTCCAATCTCGAAGTGGCGTTGAATGGGGACCTTTTGAGATATCACAATTTCGCCCGCCGCCGCATACTCTGGTGCTAAAGTGGGAAGGGAACATGACGGGTCTCATAACCGAACCTTCACTGCTAGCGCGGTGAGGCGTAGTGGCCAGCTATAACTCTAGTAAGGGACAGACGATACCAACCATTTTCTCCAAGGTTTGATTTGGCTTGGCGATGAACCCGTTACTAACTGGGGAAAGGGGAAAAAAGAAAAAGAAAAAGCATGGTCAAAATGGCTGGGTCGCCATTAAGGCCACAAAAAGTCTGCACTATAATCTCTCCACGTGTTAGATGGAACAGTTACTATGAGCCAACTCGGCGCATCGTCAAGCTTGATAAAGTCTAACCTAGTCGTCGAGAGTAAGTAGCTAAAGGAACTCTCTCCCAATCCCGAAAGCTTGTCAGGCCCCATGGCCAGGCACTGGTAAAAGCCTTTGTACCCCATTCTAGCTCTCTAAGACTGGTGGTAATGGAAATGGAACCAAAAATAAGAGAAGAGGACAAGGTGGTGGCGGGGGAGGGGGATGACTGCGGCGCGCGAACACATTGTTGAGGATGGTGGGGACCAGTCCGGGTACTGCATCGCCCACGGACAAAAGGTGATGATCAATTATCTCCTGACTAGCATGCAGTGATGACACTCAAAGGGAGGCTGGATCTCTGGCGCCCCTACCGAGGTACACAAGAAGCCCAGAATCCAGGTCTGCTGCGAGACGCAGCGAATGATCGCGACTAATCTCGAGGTCGGAGGGTCCCATCGATACATACACCACTTTTAACGCAGGGAATGGCGGCGCACCAAGGCAAATTATTGCAAGCCACGTACGAAAGGAACTACCAAGTACGTACATAATGGGCCGATTAGGCCCTCCCGCAAATGGAGAAATACGCGGTCAGGTGAGAAAGAGACCATGGCAGTAATCATTGATTGCAGCAGCAGACACGCATATGCAGATACAAACATATACACACGCGGACATTGCATGTTTGGCTTGGATTGGCGGGAGATTAGAAGGTAGGGCGAGGTCTTTCATTGCCTGGGCTAGAGGGCCGGTCAGACAGACATCTTCCCCAAGGCACATACCCCACATGTAGTTTTCTTTGAGAAAACCAATTATGGTGAAGAATATTCTTATGTGAGTGCCTCTCCGTTGAATCTGAACCCTCAGCCAGGCCGTAGAGGCGCCAACTGGAGGTAAGGGTCGAGTGGGTACGACTGTATTTGGTGGGTTCAAAGTGCCCAGATAGAGAGCAAGGTCGAAGAAGCAAGACGGAGTGAATGGAATAAAGGACTCTCCACCTCTCGTACGCCCAAGGTGGCCAAGCGATACTGGTAACTTGGTGTGGCGAACCAGAAGCATGGCGCATCGAAGGGTAGTGTTGACATTGGACGATGCAGTGAAACGATGCGGCGACACACCGCACACCGCCGTTTGGCAAGACATGAGCGCAGTGGGGCGGTATAGCATATCGATCCATACAGGTGAATATTTGTCGACTCTTCTTGGGGACACTCTTGGACTAGTTCCTGTTTACCAACACCTAGTTGAGGAGTAAATCAGTGACCTACATGATGAAACAACCATTATAGGACAGCCGGTGAGTCTGCCTCTGAAGTTTGTAACAATGAGAATGCGTATTTTGTTGCTTACACCCTTGATTATTTCAAATCTGTATGGCTAACTGCTACGCTAAAGTCTAGAAACGATCAACGACAGAGGGTCTCATGCAGTCTCCTGCTTCGTCTCTACACGCCCATGTGGCAAAAGGAAGACAAAAACAGATGGCCCTTTGCCCTTCCCTCTTGATATATCGCCCAAGGGTTTGAAACACACAAGCCAACCCTATTTTGCCTCTCAGTGGAAACTATGGCCTCGCGGGAGATGGTTCGTCAAATCTTCCTCGCACCACACGCCTCCAATTCTCTATGCTATTGTCTTGTCATTTAAGTAGCGGATCCACCGGTGAGCTTGATGACTTGGCCTATATGATTGCAAAACTGTGTTAGTCAATGTTACGCGGCCTGGGTGATCAATGGAGACATATTTGGGGTTTGGTAACAGGGGATTGGTCGGAGGGGACAGGGTTTCGTACCGTTGATCCACTCGCTCTCTTCCATGCAAAGCAAGGAGACAGCCTTTCCAATGTCGGCGGGGTAACCGACGCGCTTGAGAGGGCACATGTTGGCAAGGCCTTGGTCAATGATATCCATGGACATGCCCTTGTAGCCGCCGGGGACGTAGTGCCAAGAGTTCTCGTCGTACATGTCGGTCTTGACGCCGCCAGGAGCGATGGCGTTGACGGTAACCTGCTTCTCGCCGCAGTCGACGGAGAAGGCTCGGGTGAAACCCTCGACGGCGGACTTGGAGCCGGCGTAGAGGGCATGGTTGTGAATGCCAGTCATGGACGCGGCGATGGAAGAAGTGAGGATAATGCGACCTCCGCGGCTGCAGTACTTGAGACCCTGCTGGGCGACGAAGAACTGGCCTCGGCAGTTGAGGTTGAAGATGCGGTCAAAGAGCTCCTGGGTAACATCGAGCTCGGACGACCAGACCTCAGTGCCCGAGTTGGAGACAACGAACTCGATGTGACCGTAGTGGGCCATAACGCGGTCAAAGAGACCGGCAACCTCGGTGGGGTTGCTGATGTCGGCCTGGATGGCGATGGGATCGGTGCCGAAAGCCTTGAGCTCGGCAACGGTGTCCTCAGCGGCCTTGGCGCTCGAGCCGTAGTTCACAACGACATTGCAGCCGCGCTTGGCAAGCTCGAGGGCGATGCCCTTGCCAATACCGCGGCCGGAACCGGTGACAACGGCGACCTTACCAGCGAAAGGCTTGCCGGCATCGACCGGAGCGTCGACAACGGAGGCGTGGCCAGCAGTTGTGGGGGCCGAGCTGCCGAGGTTGGCGAGCTGGTCGAGAGGGTTGTTGAAAGTGGCGATGGGAGACATCTTGTGTTCGAACTGTGAGGGAATGGGGGAGGTTGTGCGGGAGGCCTTGTCCAAGGGAGGGTGTCGCGTACACTGGGTGTGTGGGTCGCTGTACTGAAAACGGGTAGTTGGGCGAAAGAAGGGTATCAAGAGCTACGAATGGAAAAGAAAAGATGGGAAGTCAGTCGAAGGAGAGTGAGGCTGTTATAGTTTGGGGATGAGGAGCGAAAGGAAGAAAAGAGGACATCAAGGTCAACGGCAACAGGGCACTTATATACATCTGAAGGGGGTGGCATCTGGGGATGATGGGTTCGGCGGAGGAGTGAAAGGCGAAGTAGCGAGGGGCGGGGAGCGCAATGGAGCGACATGTCCGCCGGCCGCGCTGGTTTGTGGGCGCGCAGCTGGGCATTGGGCCAAGGGGGAGGAGGGCCGCTTTGCGTTGCCCCCTTCCAGCCCGACTGGGGCAACCGGGGACAAAAGGGGAAGGGTCTCAGAAGCCCGAGTCTCCCATGGCAATGCGAATGCTAGGACCCGCGGGTCCGGACAGCGGAGTGGGAGAATTGGTGCGGACATGCAAGGGTTGAGGACAAGGGATTAACGGGTGGGGTGGGAGGGGAGGGCTGATGACGGGCGGGCGGTAGGCACGAGCGGGTGGCGATGTTTCGTTCCATCGTGGCCGGGGTTCATCAGGGCGAGTGAGGTCGATATCTCAGCAAGCGGTAGACGCGAGATTACGAGGTCTGGACTGGAGGGGATCCTTGCCCATTTCGGTATCCATGGTTCGCCCAACGGGGAGGGCTCTGGCAGCGCGCGGGCGGCACGACTTCCCAACGACAAGCAACAGTGCTGAGGGTTGTAAAGATACGGACAATAAAAAGGTAGGGTAGGGCGGGTAATACGTCGACGATGAGGCGCGGGCGGGAGAGACCTCTTTCTTGTTTTCTTCATCTGGTTTCTTGTTTTCATTCTTCCTTGTCCGTGGCTCCTTTCTTTTCGCGGGCCGCCATGTTGGGGCTGGGGTGGAGCAGCGCGGCATCGACAGGCGATACTAGACCGGTTGGGAAACTTTCAGGGTCCTCGAGATCTGAAAAAAAAAAAAAAAGAAAAGAAAAAGGATGTCTTGGCATTCTAAGGAAATACGAAACGCCGCCAAACCACTTGGGCTCGTTCAAGGTTGTTGAGGCGCGATAACGGCCGAATGGTGTTGTCGGTTCCACTGTCTTGATTCTCTCGGTGGCAACGATGCCCCCCGCGTCCTTCTCAAAAGACAAAGAGAAGGCGAAACACAAGAGAAATGGTGGAAACCTCGACTGTGTCCAGTCTTACCGTCCTGGAGGGCTAAAAACTCGAGAAATGGACGAGGGAGGACGGATGGCGAGGATCGATGCCTGTTCCAGAACAATGGGTGGATCAATTGAGCAATGACGACGGCTCGATCTAGGGATATCCAATCATTGGGGAATCAACAATTCGAGCAAGATGGCATCCATCCATCCATCCATCCATCCATCCATCTATGACGGATTTGGTAGGTTTACATGGCCCAAAGTCTAGGCAATAATCGAGGCATCTCCAGCTGGAAGGTAGTTGCGCACGCTGCACATAATTGACATTTCTATCCGCATGTATTCCGACGAAGCTGCGCTCGATGTCCTCCCTATTGGGTGACAGGCGATTCTCGAGAGAGCCCTTCGCGTGGCTAAAGCCGCTAAGGTGCCGGCCAGAAGAGAAGCTGACCCCTATCAACGCCTCGGGAGACGGGGTGACATCCATGGATGGGTGAAGTCACCTCGAGTCTCGGAGGAACTAGGCAAGAGTGAGAAAGATCTGAGACTCGACGTGAAAATGAAGAACAAAACAAACATCGCACAGGATTACCAAAAAAGAAAAAGAAACGAGACAGAAAAAGGAAAGATAAGGAAAAAAAGAAGAAAAAAAAAGAGAAAGCGAATATGAAAGGGAGACCGACGGTTGGGCTGCAAGTCTTCAGTGAAAGTGAAAGCGCAGCGCACGGAAAGAAAAAAAAAAAAAGAAAAAGAAAAAGGACAGGATGTAAGAGGAGGAAAGCCAAAATAGGACACCAAAGAAATGTGGAGGAAGGTCAGCAAGCTGCGTGTTAGAGACAGGACATTGGCGACATTGGCAACATTGGCGACAAGGGTCGAGGGTGGGGACTCAGCCCGCATCCCCGTGGATGGGGCTGCACAGGAAGGCCGACGGCGTTTTTGGTCAGCGTAGGGATTCTCCGGCTCGGATCCCCTCAAGGACCCCGAAAAAACCTGGGCACACACAGCCCCTCCATACGGTGCCCGGACCCCGCGCCAACGAGGGGCTCCCACCCCATCGGACATCCGGTGCGGGGAAAGGCAAAAGAGAGACGGACAGCGAAGGACAAATGAAGATAAATATAACATTGGGATGAGAATAACGAACAACGGGAAGAAAATGAAGGATTGTGAAGAGCCTGAACACTCCCACCCAGGTCCTTTTTTTTTTTTTTTTCATAGCTTGAGCAGCTACGTTTGGTTTCTCACGTCTATAGCTTCGTGGTTTTTTTAGAGCCAACCAGGAAGCCATCTTGTGTGGGCTCAAGACTGGAGATGCCTGGGATTTATTGCATTTTCTGGTCAAGGGAAACTAACGATGTAGCAACTCATAAAGCCTCTCTCCTGCAGATGCGACAAATCCACGCTTGCGAGCTCGTTCTATTGGGGGCTGAAGTTGATTTTAGGTTGCGCGGGTAACCTAAATTGGGGGCCGTTTTGCCTCACGGTCTCTCAGCTTTTGCAAGGGGGTGTGCGATTTGCCGGGTTACATTGGAGGCAGCATTTGCCGAGCTTGGAGCCTGCCTTGCCTGCCCTGTCCGTCTTCGCTTGGCTCCGTTTTGGCATTCTGTGCGTCGATACCACTCCACTCCTCTTGCCTCGTACAAGTATGCGTGGCGCCAAGAGTATTATTGGTAGCACATTATCGTCGTGCTCCGTGTGCTTATGTAAGTAACCAATTTGATGTCTTTTGTTGCTGCATTTCGCCCATTCTTGCGAGGCAAGCGAACTTTGATTAGCAAGTGGACAAATTCAGTGCATTGTTTTGAATTACATTGACAAGAGCTCCGTCTCTTCCCGGTCACTTTCTGCTTTGCGAGACTGGGGAGGACTCGACTAGACAGAAAACTGTGTCTGACTCAGTCGCCTTCCTCAGAGGAACACGTGGAGTAAGGTTCCTTCTTCTTTCAAGTTCCCCTTCTACTATTCTCGTTCTTTTGTTCTTCTAACACCTTGTCCCCTCTCTCCCTCTCTCCCTCTCCTGATCTCTCTCTTTTTCCCCTTTCATGAAGAACACATGTAGGTGCGGCGGAGAAGGCAGCAATAGCGGGGTCAGCCTCGTCTACGCCCGTGTGTGCGACAGCGTTTAATGTTGGCATCGAGCGGCATTGGGAAACCGATACCGCAGCCTTTTCTCTTTTGGCCCGAGTGAGCCGTCACGAAGGCCGGAGCTACTTCCACGTCTTAGTTTCGCTGCATTTGTTTACATCCATGGATCAATGTACCCATGGTGAATTGTTTGTTTATTTTCCCCACTACCGCCGCCCCTCTCTCCCGGAAAATGGAGGCGGGCGGAAATAGGATGAAGATGTCTTGGAAAAAAGAAAAGCGCAGACTAGGAAATGCAAAGAGGAGGGCGACGGCGCAGAAAACAAAAAGAAAAGAAATGGAGAAAATAAAGAAATTGAACAAGCAATTCTGGGAGAGAAGGACTGGAAATCAACTTGAAGAAACGGGAAAAGAGAGAAATTGAGGATAGACGCCAGCACAATACCAAGGCACCCTCAACACAATCCGTTGATCCAATCCCACTCCTTCCCTTCGTTGCCCTATTCCCCTACATGTACATGTAGGCTCAAAACAGCACGAGATACAAGTACGAAACGAGAAAGAAAAGAAACAAGGAGGGGAAACAGAATAAGAAAGAAAAAAATACACAAGCCCACATATGTCAGTCATTTACTCAAGATGGTTTTGTTGAGACTGGAGTCATGAAAGCAACCTCACCCCCAGATTCGGATTCTTTCTCATCCCCTACGTACCTCATCTTTCCCTCAATTCCCATCTTGGTTTCCCACTCCTCTAGAGTCGTCATCGCCAAATACCTAGGGCGAGTGAATAATATAACCCGACCTAGCTCAGCTGCGGGGTCTCGCGCAGTAGCCTCCTCACGCGACATGTGCTCTCTTGAAGTCCATGCAATGTCTACACCTGCTCTCTAGCCCATCCCGGGAACTAACGGATGCAGTCTTGACTAGGCGCGCCAGGTCTTGTTTCTCTCGTATCATATACCCCCTTTTTTTTTCCGTACGTGAACTCACCTGGTCTTGTGAGGAAAGTCAAGGTCACGATCTTGCTTCATCACCGCCTCAGCCAGCCCTCCCCTCACCAAATACTATAGTGTAGCCTCTCGTTATCTATTTTTGCCGTTGCACTCAGTGCCCCTTGCCAATTACCCGTGGTCCCGCTCAACCCCCTCAGCCACCGTGTTTTGCTATTCCACAATACTACTGAGCATACGACCTTGACTCAGTGGCGCCTGCCCTGCCCCCGCACATTCGCGAGTCAGCTCGGGCGACGTATAAAACCAAGACTTGGTTTGTTGAAAAGCGAGCGGTATTGTTTGCGCGTTGAACGCCCTCCCTGCTGTGTTCCCCTACATCCATGTATGACCCCGCTACGCATTAAGATGTTAAGGGTTGTACCCTAAAATCGCAGGCCAAAAGCTCAATATCCCTACCGCGCCACCTACTGCGGCTGTCGTCTATCTCTCAAGGCTCCAAGCTTCTCACAAGGAGAGGGTCCAAGGATACAAGATGGTTAGCCCATGCGCGAAACCTGGACGTGAATTCAATGTTGCAATCAAGGTTCTCTTGTTATCAGACTCTACATGTAACTTTTTTGCCCTGTCCATATCCCTGCCTGCTAAATACATGCATGGAGATTCGCCACAACGCCCTTACTCCCACCGTCTCCATTCTTTATAATTCCGTTCAACCCCAGTGGTAGATATATATATCACATATATATGTGTATATATCTATCTGTGGATATCGATTCCCGTAGATGTAAATCTCCCTCCCAAATCATGGGGGCAAAATGAAAGAAGAAAAAAAAAAAAAAAAGAGAGTAAGAACACAAGGGAAAACGCGTTTAATCCAAACGACGTGTAAACTGGCAAACAACGCTCCCATAGAACAGAATTCGGGAAAAAAAATCAAGACCTGCTCCTTAGCTCCTGTATCCCCGTTTTGTTTTGCTGCTTGCAGATTATCCTGTCCAACGATTGAAAGGCAGTCATTCGCCGCCTCAGATACCCATTTGTCCCATGCTATCCCCCGCCCAGTGGCTCCCAAGCATCGCCAGCTTTCGCTTGATGCCATCCCCGATACGGGTGCTAATGCCTTCGCTCAGGGTCGAGAGTCCGTACGCCAACACGTTGCATGTCTTGTCCAGTCCTATCGTGCTCCCATCATGTCTCGTGAGGACAGGTATCCCGTCCCTTGACCAGAGATAGGAGATGATGGCCGCGTCCTCTGGCGTCACTTGATCAACCGCCACCATATCACCGCCCTTGATGTGTACCGGCGTACTCGACCTCTTGATCGTAGGGGTCGGTGTCTCGCTTCGATCCCCCTGCTTTTCCCGATCGGCGAAGATTGGGGAGTCAACATGGGTGAAGCTCGATGAGTTTGGCGCTTTTGGAAATCGCTATCTTGTCTTCCAACGCTGTCTGTCCAAAGAATTACCGTTGCACGGTATATCGCGGCAGACCACCAATTCGGTCGTCGGTTGACCGGCATCGATCGAACAAGACGCAACACCTGGCCCGAGTGGAATATGGCCTCCTCCCTGTTCGAGATGCAACGCTTATGCCTCTGCGAAAGATCCCATGACGAGCCGTCGAACCCCTCACGGCGGGCTAGCCTCTCAATCTCAGGAAAGTTGGTCACCGCATTGAGGGAGATGAGGTGGTAGAGGACAAGATTGCACTGTGTGACATGGCACCCAGGGGTCTGCTTTGACACTGATATCGAGACTTCGTACCACTTTTGTAATAGGCCCTGAACTTCCTCTAACCGGAGCAGGGTGCTAGACTTGGTCGGCGTCCGCGAAGCCGAGCAGCGACTGGCGACAGTCTCAGGAAAACACGACAGCATCTGGCGTACGTGGCAGAGCAGCGACTGGAGGGTGGAGAAGCAGTCGCAGGTGCATGGGAGTGATGCTGCCCTGTTGCCTGGCAAGGTTGTTGTGCAGGAAGTCGTGGAAAAGGTCGCATAGGGACGGTGTCATGGCCGTCGAGCTGAGAGCCTGGGGATTTACGCTCAATTCGCCCCCAAAGAGCTTTTGGACATGAGACATCCATTCCTCTGCGCTTGTGGACATCCATAGCACCTCTGCACCCGGAAGTGGGCACTGCAAGTCTGAAATTGCGAGCGTCGGCGCCGTATCATGGAATAGGCTAAGCTCCTGATCAACCATGACCCAATTATACACAAGCCTACGTTTGCATCACTGTTAGTCTCTTGTACTTGGCCTGCGTGTACGACCTTGAGGGGGGATGCAGATAGAAGAAAAACGAAAAGCAAAACCGGGCCACACGCACCTATTTTGCGATTCACGGTGAAGCCATCCGCGCCATTGAGATTGGGGATCCATATTTGTTTGCGGGACCATGCCCGCCCTGGACTCCAGCATTCCCGCGTGTTTGAGCATCTGTCATCATTTCGTACAGCCGTTAGTGGGTTGGAAAAGAAAATGGAGAGTGTATCGCTGACAGTCACCCTGCACGCGAGGTTAGAGGACTTACCGAAAGATACATTCCCCGCTGGCCCATGGCGATATCCATGAGCCACTTGTCTCCACTCCAAGCCCCGAGGATAGTAAAGAGCAATGCACATCGGAGTGCGACTGGGTCTGCCGAGAACTCGACATTCTTTTCAATCGTGTCAAACAAGGAAATACGGCAAGTTTCCGTCAAGCCAGTCGCCAGGTGCCTCGCCTCCGCCATGGGAATCGCTGAAGCGCCTTGCGCGATCATAAGTAGGACCAGAAGGGTGGACGCTTGATTATTGACCAACATCTCGTTGGGGTCTACGCATCCGGCCACGACCAAGTTGAAGTAGCTGGACAAAGTTCGTACGTGGCTGCGAAGAAGATATTCTAGCATCTTGTTAGGAGGGAGAACGATGAAGTTGAAGTTCCCTGGGCTCGGGTATCCGGTTTTCGGGAGGCTATTTAGGCCTCCGCGATGAATATCCAAAGCCTTGTGGAGGAAAAATTGGGTTATAGCGAGCATCTTGTCCCGGGTTCTCTGTGTCATGGGAATGACAGCCGTTAAATCCGACGAATCCCAGTCCGCATGCTCAAGGTACTTTTCCAGTGAGAGCCAATGGCTCTCGTCCTTGACCTCTGCTCTAGGCATTCCAGATGCACAATGGCCGTCCGAGGGCAAGAGCCGGAGTAAACCGGAGGATTGCAGCGTGCCAGCGGCCACGAGGATTCGGCGGCGATGATAACTTCGAACTCGGGGATCATACCCTCGACCATGGTGATGGGGAGCTTCCATGGGTTTCAGCATACTTTCGTAGTCACCAGAGGACAACATGCTTGTGTTGCTGGTGTGAATGGATCCCTGTGAAGACGTCGAGGTCATGGGCTCCGACCCGGAAGAGATGTCGCTTAGTTCCGTGAAAGCGGTACCAGCGAGAGCACCGGCCGTGATGTGTAGCGGACCAGCGTACATGTCAAGTTCGAGCGCGTAGTCGGACGGCCACATGAGGAGGTCGTGGTAGTTGGGGTCAGGAGATACAAAGTCCCTCCTAGCGGCAGCATGTCTTCGAGGCTGTCCATCCGGCTGGTTGGGGAAGAGAAGGTCTCCGGGCTGGGTTGGAAAGTTAACGATGGGGTTCTGCGAAGAACATCGACTGTTCTGGGATCCACCATGGGAGAAATCGGCGAGCTCAGTGGAGTCATGTGCTTCACTGGAGTGGTCGGGTTGGGCAACACGGTTGGGTCGATATCCATGAAGGCTACCGGAGGCATCATCGGTTGGACCTGGGGCGCTGATGGCGGGGGCATCAAGCCGTTTCCGTTAAATGCAGCACTGGCCTGAGCGGCCCTCACCGCGGCCTTTGATGATCGACGAGCGAACCGTGCCGCGCAAGGAAGGTTCTTCTCCGCACATCGTGCGCACGGAACCCTTTATCACATCCGGTTTTGGCATTGGCGCAGTTCTGGCAGGCAATAGGTGTTCTCCCGGCCACAGTCGGTACGCCCCTGGCAAGGGCTCCATCGGATCCCGAGCTTCATGATACGTGGAGTGATGCCGCTGAAGCAGGTCTCTCCTCGCGAAGGAGAGCTGGCAGGCGCCGCACCGATGCGGTTTGACGTTTGTGTCTGTGATGGACCACATTAGCTGAGGTGAATCTTCATGCGTTGTTCGAACGGCTGCCCAGCACAAGGAGCTTACGGCTAGGAATATGTCTCTCGAGATGCTCTTTTCGTGTGAAAGACTTTCCACAATAGGCGCAAAAGACAACCATGATAAAAGGCTTCGATGGCTTCGGAAGTTTCGGGTCGTGAAGGAGTCACCCTTTGCGATGAACCCCAGGGTAGGTAGTCTTTCTCTTTCTGGATGGCGGGTTCTATATGCGTAGATAAGTATGTGATAACCGCCGAAGAGTAGCCTCTTTCGAAGAGGGAGTGAAGCTCTGATTAAAGTCTTGAGGGAATGGATGGAGACGAATGGGCAGAGTTGACTGCTGGTAGGTAGTGATCCCTCGACGGAAACTTGGAAAAAGAAAAAAGGAAAAAGAAAATAAGGGACCTTTGACCAAGAGCAAGGGTATATATGAGTGAAAGGTTGATAGATGGATGTATGAGAGGGGACCAGAGATATTAAAGACCCCCAAGGCGCAATGGGGCGGAGAGGTATACGCCGCCTTGGATAGTGTAAGTCCCGTGTCGCACCTGGCAGGATTCGTTGTGCTTATCCTGTGGAGCATTTGACCTTTTGGCCCAAGAGGTGTTACTTGGTGAGTTAGATCGTAGGACATTGTCCTGGCTGTGGGACTTGTGTGCGTATAGGTGTGCGTGTGTGCGTGTGTGTGTGTGTGTGTGTGGTGTGTGGGTGCGTGTGCTGCCGAGGCGGTGTTCTCGGCGGATAGAGGGCCTCGAGCGAGCAACGGTACGGTCAAAAGAGATGATCAACTGGGATTCAAGACAGCTTTGAAGGGTACCGCTAGCGGCAGATGAGGTGCATCTCCCGGGGCGTCCTTCAGCCGCGCTGGCGCTGGGAATACATCACTGGCCTGTATGCATGCAAAGTCGTGGAGCCAGCTTCATGGACCCAACCAACGATCCATTGTGGAGGTACGCAAGGATAGGACGGGAGACAGGGGTCTGACTGGACCGGTACATAACTATCCAGGCGCCAGTCGCGGCAGGCCCTTGTACCGTATCATGGCCCGTGAGGACGGGGTGACCTCGAAGCTCCTCTTCGCCGAGGGTCCAAAATCATTTCAGCTAGTTTCGTTCACGAGCTATTTGACGGCAGCACCAGGGCAGCGTGATGACGATGGCAATTCAGGCTCTAATGGGACGCAGTACAAGGGCCGAGGCCAGTTCTCTAAAGTGGACCAGTCTCAGTGAAGCTCCGGGATCGACCCTCTAGGAGAGACAGAGGGAGAGCCAGAAGCTTGGTAGTCTCGACCGGGCAACGATGCTGCATGTGTAAGACTTGTACTTGTAGGGAAAATGATATCACTAGCGTGTCAACTGCGGAGTGAAGAGGGAAAAACAAGAAAAACCCAAAGGAGAGGATGAAGAGAGGACATGAAAAAAAAAAAAAAAAAAAAAAGAAAAAGAAAACTGAAAAACTGATAGATAATTCAATGGAATGGATCAATTGATTGTGTATGGCTGTCAATTAGGCAAACTCGCATTGTCTCGCTAACCCTGGCTCATTGAATAAATGTAGAAATGGAGAAGAGAAGAGCTGTACCTCTCTCAGCAGCCAAACCCAAACCCAAACCCAAACCAAGAAAAAAAAAAAAAAAGAAAAAGGGCAACAATGGTACGAACAACTCTGGGGCATCGAGGTAGGCTTGGCGGTGGATCATGCTAGCAAAATAGAATGGGAGGCAATGAGAACATTGAAGGCTCACCTTGTCGACCATAAATGCGTCCCACTCGCTTGGCCCTCGCAAGACACTGAGCCAGGAACCAAAGACAGGAACTGCGCGATCCATTCACATTATGTGGGGATAGACCGGGGATGGGAGGGACAGCCGAGAGGGTGTGTGGAAATGGAGTGGAATATCCCAAGGAATCTGTAATATCATGCAGAGGTGGTGATACTAGACTGTGAGCAGTAAAGTGGAGGAAAGGTACCTAGCATAAGGAAGTAAGGAACGAGAGAGAGGGAGTGTAGTGTGTGCGTAGTGTGTGGGGAGGGAGGGACGAGGAGGGGACGAAGAAGGCGCAACCAGCTTGAGCACTTGAGAGAGCACTTGAGGGGAGGAACGAGGGAGACGGAGAGGGAAATGAAGAATCAACAGGGAAACACCCAGTAACCAGAGACATCTGCAAGAAAACGAGGTGCATGGCGCTTGTTATCGTGTCGTTGGCCAGGTGGCCTGTGTCCGATTGACTGAGACATCCTCCAAGAGCGAGCTTGAGCGCCTTTTCGAGCAAGACGAAAAGGCGGAGTGGGAGCTAGCGGAGTGTTGGGTTCACTTGCACATGGAGATAAACCAAGAAGCCGACTGAGTCTCCCTCGCTGCTGCCCTGGCTAGCATGAAAGGATCGAGATGAGGGGCTGGGGGTTCTACGACTGATACCAGTGTAGGTTAAGTGCTTATTATTGTGTACGATCAGTTGTTCCCTTCTCCTTTCCTTTTTAGGCTTACGCCTCTTGATCTTCTATCACGCTCACTTCGGTTCCCTCGCCAATCTTTTATTTTCATTTTTTTCCCCTTTGGTCATGACCCTGAGGGGACGTTGGCGCCCCAAGGGCTGGCCTAGGCCAAAGCTATCAATGAGAGGGAATCGGCGGGCGAAAGTGGCGGCAGTGCATGTTTGGTGGCAACGATGGGCATTGCAATGGTCACTAGGCGTCTGTTTTTGATCAAGCCACCGCCATAGAATTGTCTCCCAGCCGTTAGTAGGGGAAATAGAGCAGACACGCCACCGCCTATCTACACCACCTGGACTGGTAAGATACAGCACACTGACACGGTTTAGTTTTCGGTGCGGCAACAGGTCCATCTTCGGATGGATGGCGTTATGGCGATGGCGTAAGAGCTCGTGTTCCAAGCCGGCCCTGAACTACGTCTCAACCTGGGCCAGACATGGCCGTCTCACAAGAAAAGGGCAAAAGAAAAGAGAAAAATCTATAGATCGACTGACTTTGTAGTCGATATTAGGATCGCTTGCTCGGGGCCATTGAGTTGGCGGCATGAAAAGGGCGGCGAGGAGGGGGTAGAGGCAATGTCCCCAAAGATAGCCCTCCTCCCAACATGATTGGCCATATCGACGACAAGATATCGTCCGGACATCTCTTCCTCCCGTCACCCCCTCCCTTTCTCAGGGCGGCAACGACAAACCCGAGGGGAGGAGACAAAGGGGTACGTAGTAAATGTTTTGCTTAGCTCGGAAATAGTGTGAAGTCGGTGTGGCAAGACAAGCTCCCAAAACCATCTGGGTCGCCTTTCCGCCAATCGCCCTGGAGACCTCTCGCAATTGAACACCAGAGCTTGACTTGGGGAGAGGCACAGAGCTCGAGCGTGTCCGATGCTCATCCGACGATCAGTAACCGGAGGGACCGCGCTCGGCCTAAAGACCGCCTGTCTCACTAGAGTCCATTGCTCCCTTATTCGCAATATCTCGGCCACTTTAGGCTTACGTTTTCTAAAACAGGAGCAAGGACCCGAATCCTTAGAGCGTGGAGACTATTCGTCCTCTCCATTCCGCGGCAGCTTCAGGGCCGCACGGGAAAAGGCCGTAAACGGGGCAGGAGAGGGAAAGTACATGGCTGCTGGAGAGAAAGCCCTGGTAAGCCTTGTACCGGCCGGTGCTCCATCAATGCATCCAAAGAGAAAGTTGATGCGACCTACCAAGGTATTGTCTGTAGATCCAGAGATCCGACAGCTACATGGAGAGATGCCCATTCATTCCCTCATTAGGCAAGCGGAGGGGGATGGTATGGCATGGTCCTAGTCTCTTCCTTTATTGTTTCCTTTGTTTTTGTTCTTTCTTTTTTTCCTCTCAGCTTTATATCCAAGCTTGACTGCGCTGGTCATTTGGCCCTCCCAATGTAGGTCGGCCTTGCTGCAGATCTCTGTCAAAGGCCTTTGGCTCCACCCAATCGCTCAGCCAAAGGAGTGGATAATGACCACAGTCCCTCACTCACCTACAGCCGCGGGGTTCTAGCGATGGTTTGAAAAAAAAAAAAAATGGTCTGTGGTCCTTGGTGAGAGAAGGAAAAACTACAGGTCAGAATTGATGCAGGTTTCGGTGCAGACACTCGGGAGCCCTTCGTGGCTAGACGCACGCCCACCTTTGCTAAAGGCAACATGAGTTGAAATCACAAACTCGCCTGGCGGAGGGCCTCGCACCTCCCATTAACATCAACTGATGGTGACTCGTCCTCGAGCTCCCTACCGCAACTTGGTCCCAAGTATACCTTGGGGTGCAGGTAGAAGACCGGTACCAAATCGCTAGGAAGAGAGTAGGGCCATCTTCACCATTCTTCAATGTCTCACTTCGATGCACGTAATGGACAATCCTCTTTGAGTTAGCCTCCTCCCATTGCCGAAGCCAAAACACGGCCATTGGGTCCACGTTACAGGTACACTCTTTGGCTTCCCTTCAACACGCGCTGGGCGGGGATGTACTAGCCAAGCAGGATGAAGTGTACAAAGACGGTTGAGAAGCAACATCGCAAGCAGGGTTTCAAGCTTGGCTGACGAGCCGAGGTAGTACCCGCCTGATTCGTCGAGATCCCACCATATCAGCCCCTGCTTCGTACTCGTCTTTGGCAATCTTGCCCGCCATTTCTCTCCGACTACAAAGCTTCCTGCGGATGCTGGTAAAGCCTAGGGCTAGGATACTCTCACAAACCATCCATGGCCGGCCATGCATCAAATGATGTACATGAAGCCGCCGGCGAGACTGGCGAACCTCAAGCCGAACTTTCCAGCCGTCATGGTTCAACTCACCTAG